TATGAATCCATAATACTTGTACATATATGCAGGGTACATGTAATATTTTGATACAAGCATACAATGTGTAATGATCAAATCTTATTGGGATATTGATCACTTCAAAAATCTTTCATTCCTTTTTAAAATATTTTCAAGTATGGGTTTCAGAACATTTATAATTTTGTTTGAGTTGGGACATTCTAAATCTTCTAGCTACTTTGAAACATAACAATAAATTATTATTAACTACAGTCACCCTATATCTTCCTTCTTTCTTTTTTTTAACTTTCATTTTATTTAAAACTTTTTTTTTAACTTTTAAGTTCACGGGTACGTGTGCAGAATGTGCAGGTAAACATGTGTCATGGGGGGGGTGTTGTGGTACACATTATTTCATCACTCAGGTATTAAACCTAGTATCCATTAGTTTTGCTCATTTTTAAATGGGATTGTCTGTTTTATTACTTTTGATTTGTTTGAGTTCCTTCTATATTTTGCATATTAACACCCCTTATCGGATGTATGGTTTGCAAATGTATTCTGTCATTCCACAGGTTGTCTCTCAACTCTGATTATTGTTTTCTTTGCTGTGCAGAAGCTTTTAAGTTTGTTGTAAACCCATTTGTCTATTTTTGCTTTAGTTTCCTGTGCTTTGGGGTTATATCCAAGAAATAATTTCCCAGACCAATGTTAGGGAGTTTTTTGCCTGTGTTTTCTTCCAGTTATTTTACAATTTCAGGTTTTAGATTTAAGTCTTCAATTCATTTGAGTTGATTTGGTGTGAGGTAAAGGTTCTTCTGCATTCGGATAGCCAGTTTTTCCAGAACCATGTATTGAGAAGACTGTTCCCATTATGTGTTCTTGACATCTTTGTTGAAAATCAATCAACTGTAAAAGTGTGGATTTATTTCTGGGTTCCCTATTCTGTTCCATTGGTGTATGTCTGTTATTAGGCTGGTACCATGCTATTTTGATTGCTATAGCTTTGCAGTAGATTTGAAGTCACTGAAAACTACATAACATTGATGAAAGAATTTGAAGAAGACATAGATAAATAGAAAGATATCTGGTGTTAATGGATTGGAAGAATTAATATTGTTAAAATATCTATTGTACCCAAAGCAATCTATAGACTAAATGCTATTCCTATCAAAATTCCAATGACATGTTTCATATAAATAAAAAAAATCTTTAAAACTGATATACAACCACACAAGACCCTAAAGAGTCAAAGCAATCTTGAGTAAAATGAACAAAGCTGGAGGTATCACATTACCTGATTTTAAAACCTAGTAATTATTCAAATGTGATGGGAACTTGCTATTTGAAGCATATCTTGCGATAAGTACTTTTGCAAAGCAACAAATTAAATTGCCAATCGAAACACTGGCCTTTAATCTAGAACCAGAAATACCATTTGACCCAGCAATCCAGTTACTGGGCATATACCAAAAGGAATATTAATGATTCTACTATAAATATATATGCGCACCTATGTTTACTGCAGCACTATTTATAATAGCAAAGATATGGAACCAACCCAAATGCCCATCAATGACAGACTGGATAAAGAAAATGTGGTACATATACACCATGAAATACTATGCAGCCTTAAAAAGGAATGGGATCATGTCCTTTGCAGAGACATAGACAAAGCTGGAAGCCATCATCCTCAACAGGCTAACAAAGAAACAGAAAACCAAATACAGCATGTTCTAACTCATAAGTACAAGTTGAATAGTGATAACACATGGACACAGAAGGGAACAACACACACTAGGGCCTGTTGAGGGGTGGGCTGGGAGGGGAGGGAACTTAGAAGATGGGTTAATAGGCGCAGCAAACCACCATGGCACATGTATACCTATGTAAAAAACCTGCATGTTCTGCACATGTATACTGTTTTTTTTTTTTGGAAGAAATTTTTTAAAAAGAAAAAGAAACATTGGCTTTTAATTTTTTTGTTTTGTAAGTCTGAATTATTACATATTGACTTGCCTTAAAATACTGTGCACTTAGACTGTCTTTTTTTAAAAAAATGAATTTTAATCTATTTAAAATGTAATTCAACTTAAGCTTTTAGAGCATTGCCTGTTTCTAGTGAATGATTAATAAATGTAAAAACACGCTTCCTTGAATTTACATCAGTAATTATAAAATCATCTATCAGTTTTAAAAGCCCATTTGTACCAGGCATTTGTTTGTCCCCTGGCATAACAGTGACTGTATATGAATTCATTTTATGATTCATAGAATCCCCATGGGCTCATGGTGATATGGGCGTTTGAAATCAGGCCAATTGATGTTTTAATCCTTTCTGTCCTTTAGGAAGAAGTGGATTAAAATCTATGTTTTTGTTATTTAGTGTTTGTTGCACTGAGCTAAGATTATAGATAAAATGTAGAATTAGATCATTGCTAAATGGATTTGTAATCTAAATTAAACAGATATACAGGATACTGACCTTGGGAAATAAATTGTAGGAGTGACAACTTGGTGAAAAACTCAGGAACAAACAAAAAAAAATCTAAACAGAGATAGCAAAGTACTCTATTATTAATATTTGCTGGTAATGGACAAAAGCACAGAATGAAAAGGTCAATTTTTGAATCCAGTTCTACCCTGAACTCCTTGCTTAATTTTGAGCGTAGCTCCTCTCTTTGCTCTGCATTATTTTCCGTATCTTCAAGATGGTTCATTCATTACAAAGAAGTTGGAGTCATGTATGAAATAATAAACATGAAATACTTCAAGTTTCTCAGAATAAAGTTTCCACAACAAAATGAAATAATAATAGGGATACACTGTGTGATTTACTGCTGATAGTTTATCTTATAAAGCAAGTAAATCAGGGGCTGAAATTTTATATATTAGAAGGATTTATTTCAAAAATGATTTTAAGAAATATACAATCAGTAAATTTGAAATGAGCCAATCTATAAAAATTTGATTCATATACAACTTTTGGAAAACATCTTGCATTATTCAAAGTTATGCCTTTGTGGATTTAATTAATACTCAACACAAAGGGCAATTCTTTAGGATAAGTAGTGTGTGAAATCAGTGGTACTCAGAGATATATGACATTTGAGCCATTGATAATAATAAAACATTAGTAAATGTAATTTCATGTTAAGTAGTTAATAATAATTTATTAAATAATAATTAAGAGAAAATCCATAAAACTGTTACATGTCTTTTAAATATTTTCCGTAATGTTAAATATATTTTCTAATATAGAAATTGAAAGTCTTGAACCTCTCTAGATTACAGGCAAAAGAACCACATGTGCTATCTCCTATTAAAGTGAGTGGTCAGTTAGGAACATTTTGTGACATTGGATTGAAGACCATAAGAACTAATAATGATTTCAATGTAATAATTAATTATAGACAATTTCAGAATACATAAAACTAGTTTTCAAAAGTTGTCTAATCCTATATTGAAATAAACTACTGCATATAATCTTATGAATTTGATTACAAATGAGGCTGTGAATTATCTTAAGGACAGGATGAATGATGGGAAAGTGAGAAATTTCCTAATATGGTTCAAAGACTTGAATACAGCAAGACCATATTGCACAAGAACTAACTGATGTAGTCGCCACATTTTGAAAAGGTACAATGTGAAGTCATGCTTCCAAGTTCTATGACAGAATATCCTTACCAAAATAATATTGGTGTCCAATATGGAGCACAGTAGATGGGACAATGTCAAAAAGGAATGGGATAAAAAAAGATGAGCAGGTTGCCTTCTTCCTTCCCCTTAAATAAGCCCCACACACACCTAAAGAACTGATTCTGAAATCATGGAAAAAAGCTGTAGTTGTTGGCCTTCATCCGCAGAATTTCTCTAGGTTTGCTTCTTATATCCCTTGTTCCTAATTCCCCTAATTTCTTTCTTTTTTTTTTTTTTAATTCACCTAATTTCTTGGCACATTTTCTTTGATTGGATTCTCTGTCTCTTTCATGCTCCTAACTTTACTGACCTGGTTTTATACCAGCAACTCTGCTTTTCACTTGTGCTACTCCTCAATAAATTGATTATTGATGAATTAATTATCCACCTATGACCACATTCACAATAAGTCATGAGTAAAAGGCACCTACTCCTGTTCCCCAATGTAGCTCAGTAGAGACTGCACCAATATGGCTGTGGCCTGACCATTCACTGTTGGATTATGAAAGGATATCCAACTGAAACTCAAGGGAATGAATTCAAATAAGATTCATCAAGTCAGAGCACGTATCTCACCATATTCAGATAGCTGAGAATAGCTGGCCATCTCTCCGTTAATCAACTACTCCCTATGACATAGTCTGGTTTGTGTTGTAATTCTTGGTACATAAAAGCCTCTCAGAAAATATTTGATGAAAGGGTGGCTAAATGAATAAATAAATTATTATAAACACTATAAGATCTAAGAATAAGTACACTGGTTGTTAAGGGTGTGCATGAAATAACAAAATATGATGAATTCTTGATTAGTAGTATATATTTAATGAAGATTTCCATTTATATTTATATTTATATCAAGCAAAAAAAAAAAAAAAAGAAGCAGCCCAGCACAACTATTTGTCATCACTTTTTAAATATCTGCGGCTTAAAAACAGTTTTGAAAATAGTTACTTGCCTCAGGTAAGGTCTGACTTCTGTATGGGCAGTAAAATATTGTAAATCCTTACACACTAGTACATACCTTCATAGAGGGCAGTTAATAAAAATACCAATTTGGCCTAAATCTTCCTATTCTGGTTCATATAGGAATATATAGATGTACAGTCAACTCAAAACATATTCAAAAAATTTTTAAAAGATGTAAGAGATGTATCATCCCAATTTCCTGGATTTAAAAAAAGCAAATTGTGCTCTAGAGTTCCTAAATAAGAATGTTTACAGAAATGGTTGATGGAGGCAGCATGGGCTGGCATTTAAGATGCTTACTGTTTATCAGGAGAAACATTCTAAATACAGTGCTTCTCTCTCTATCAGCTCAATATTTTTTGTTTCTTCAGATTGATAGGCTGGATGTGGATAGCTTGTTTAGCAACATTGAATCCGTGCATCAGATATCAGCCAAGCTGCTGTTATTGTTGGAAGAGGCCACAACAGACGTGGAACCGGCCATGCAAGTAATTGGTATGTTTATTCTCTTCTCGAGTTCTACAATACAACAGGAAATAATTTTTTAATAACCTCCCTTTGCTTTGGTTTTATACTCCGGACTCACCATGCTTCCCAGGCGATATACAAATGCTAAACCCATCTTTGGGCTCATTGTAATCATACAGACTCTGTATTTATTTTCAAATGGATTTGTATCCATTTGCTGAAGTCCCTCAGTGGCACAAAACATACCATTTGCTTTTTAATTTCCAATCGTTCAATCTCTTTGCTTTCCAGATGTTCTGTAATTTTTAAAGTGTCTAACATTTACTTGATCCTTAAAGAATTAATTATTTAAATATGCTAATAGCTTTGCTGATTTTCAATACAATGTTTTTTTTAGATCTTATGTCCATGAATCAATTAATTTTTTTAGGTCATAAATTGCTTACATGAGAAATGTAAAACTATTAAAGGAATGTAAGTTTAAAATTTTACACAAATTCTACTTTTTTCTTGCTTTCTCTTTTTTTCTATATTATTTGCCTTCCAAATACATTTTTACTCTCGATCAGATATATTTATTTTCTTACTCTGATAAGATTTTCAAAAACAATAACAGAAAACATAATTCAAAAAGTATTGAAGCAAATTTTTATTCTCTCCATTTCTTGGGAATTTCCAAGGGAATATGTGCTATGAACTCCTTGAAGGCAGTTTGCACATCTAAGACATCATACAAACAGTGCCATGTAGGCTAAGAGCTTTTTAAAATTATCATTTCTCTATTTCACATTTATCATTCACAATATATCCTCATTACAAAAATACTAAAACAATTCAGAATCACATAGAGTAACAGTAAAAGTTTCTTTCATATATCCCTCCAATGCCACTGTCTTCCCCACAAGTAGCCACTTGTTTAATATAGATCCTTTCTTTGAGATCCGCACACATAGACTATACACAAACACCTTATGTCTTTACTGATCAGATCTTTGTTACCTTTTATTTGTTACAGTTATAAAAATGGCATGAAACTGGTCTTGTTTAATATTTATAGAGAACCCAAGTTTAATAAACAAAGCTGATCATATAGATGAAATATGGTGAAAGAAATGATTCAGCAATAAAGCCAGCTCACTTAAAAAGATTTCTTCCAGACAGTTTAAATTCAATTCTTTGTGATGAAACGTCTCCTCAAGTAATTATTGACCTCAAAGGGAAAGATGGTAGCTTTACATTGAGAAATGCAGCAGGGGTCATCTTTATCTAGAGGATCAAGATCAACAACACCAGGAAATAACACATATTCACATTATGAACCTTATGCACTGAGGGAACATTGTATCTGTGGTATTTTTAACCAAAACATGTGTAATCATGACCAGTCATGAGAAAATACTAGATATCCTCAGACAAACTCAAATGAGGGACACTTGACAAAGGAACTGATCAAAACTATTCTGGGCTGAGCACGGTGGCTCACATCTGTAATCCCAGCACTCTGGGAGGATGAGGTGGGCGGATCACAAGGGCAAGAGATTGAGACCATGGTGAAACCCTGTCACTACTAAAAATACAAAAAATTAGCTGGGCATGGTGGCACGTGCCTGTAATCCCAGCTACTCAGGAGGCTGAGGCAGGAGAATTGCCCGAACCCAGGAGGTGGAGGTTGTGGTGAGCCAAGATCGCGCCATTGCACTCCAGCCTGGGTAACAAGAGCGAAACTCCGTCTCAAAACACACACACACACACACACACACACACACACAAACACACACACAAATATTAGCTGGGCATGGTGGCGTGCACCTGTGGTCCCAGCTACTTGGGAGGCTGAGGCAGGAGAATTGCTTGAACCTGGGAGGTGGAGGTTGCAGTGAGCTGAGATCGCGCCACTGCTCTCCAGCCTGGTGCCTGGCAACAGAGCAAGACTCTGTCTCAACAACAAGAACAACGGCAACAACAACAAAACTATTCTGAAGTGTCAAAATCTAAAAGATAAGGGAAGGCTCAGGAACTGCTACAGACTGTAGGAAACTCAGGCAGAGTAACAAATAAATGCAAGTGGGAGCCTGGATAGAGTCTAAAACAGTAAAAGTGCATTAGTGTTGAAATTCACATAAAGTATTTAGTTTTGTTAATTGTATTGCACCAAAGTTGATTTTCCTCCTCTGACAATTATATTTTGATTATGTAAGATGTTGATGTTGGTGAAGCTGGGTAAAGAATATTTGAAAATTATCTGTACTATTTTTTTCAACTTTTCTATCAAAAATTAGTTCAAAATAAAAATTGAAAAACATGATTTGTAGAAAAACTCAATTGAAGATGTTTATAATGTCAGGTTCACTAATCCTAGAATTCCAACTTTGAAGAAAATTACAGAATTTTTTTAAAAATCAAGACAATGAAGCCATATTTGAAAAAGAATCTGTTGGAGTCTTATTTTACCATCCTTACCCTTGGTATCTGGGCCAGCCTTGTGACTTGTTTTGATCAATGAAATGGGGCACAATGGTGTTCTACAACAACATTATGACTTTTACTCTCTGCTTGTGAAGACAGAGGCCCAAACTGTCCAGCCATTCCAAGCAGCATAGCCAAGGCCTCAGGCTTGAGTGTAAGGTCCTTGTCAGCTGGCCAGTTGGCCCCCAGCCAGTCCACCAACTGACGGAAACATAGACGTAAACCCCATCAATGCCAGTTAAACTTTGCCCAGTTATTGACCCATACAATTATGAGCAAATGAGCAGTTGTTGTCTTAAGCTTTTAAGTTTTGGAGTGATTCTTTTTTCCTGTGTTAATTGCTAACTAATACAGGTTAACACATGAGAGAGTAATTTATTTCAACTCAAATGGTGAGGGAAAACTTGATTTGGAAAGATCTGAGCTTGAACTTGAAGGATTTAGAAAGGTGGAGATTGGGTGCAAAAGGCTTTCTAAATGAGAAATAGGGTGAAGGCCTCAAAACAAGAATACAGGAAATTCTTAAAAAGGACAGCAGCAGCCCTACGTGACTGGAACACATTGCTGAGAAGGCCTCTCTCAGCCCAACATTGTAGATATATCAATAGAAGTTCACTAGCAATTTCCATCACTAAATATTTTACCAAAGCACTTACATTTCATATGATAAGCTGATTGTTCGTGAGCTGTTTCCAAAATTATGTTACCACAAAAGCACAGGTGTCCCATTTCTTTTTCCTTAGATGGCACAAATTAAGAGTTTGTGATTCACAGCTGGAGTGCCAAAGGGGGAATTTTCCTGATACTTAGATAACCTAGGAGGAAAATTTTCCCCAATATAACCTTAGGGTTTGGATAAGGTTCAAGTTTAAACACAGAGGCATATGCTTACAGATCTGAGAGCTCTGAGGAAATTGTCTGTACTGTCATGCCAAGATACAAAGTGGATTTTAAAATCTTGACTTCGGCACAGTGTCTAGATAGGAAATTATAGACAGGAGTATGGGATGTGGCTCTTGTTTCCATGTAGACGACAGTGTAGAGTTTAAGAACATATGGGTTTCAATATCAGGTTGACTTGAGTTATATCTCGGCTTGTCCTGTTGCTAGGTTTGTGATCTTAGGCAGTTACAAACCTCATTGAACTTCAATTTTTCAACTGGAAACTGGAGGGAATAATACTTATCCCATATGGTTTTTATGAAGATGTGACAAAATTACATGTAAAGAATGATAGCCTAGTGCCTATCCCTAATTAATAGCCAATAGATGATGTTATAAATTATTATCCCATGAATATTAGATTTACCCATCTATTTAAAGCTTGATTTCTTCTGTATGTAACAAGTGAATAAAATGTGACTTTTTCTCAGAGGTCCTGATCATGTTTTTCAAACAAGTCATATTTGCTAGATTTGTTTGATTTCTAGATGCTCCCTATATCTATGCATCTAGATTATTCATGGATCTAATATGGTGACATATTTTCTTCTAAAGGGAGATTTAACATATCAATTGTCATTTCCAAATTTGGTAGAATGAACAGGAATGGCAGTAACTCCAAAGATGGCCCTCAATGGACCATGCCTCCTAGTTCACACTGCAAGATAGTCTAGTGTCATATTGGCTCTGGACTGGCCCTCTGATTCACTATTACAATGCAGTGGAAATGACACCATATCAGTAACTGGGCCCAAGCCTTAGGAAAGCCTGACAATTTCTACTTTCATGATTTTGGAAGCCTGCTGTTTAAAAAGTTGAGTTACCTTACTGGAAGTATCAGAGAGAGAGAACGCAGATGAGCAGATGAGACTATGTAGAGTGAGAAAGTGGCACTGCTATCCCAGCAACCCGGCAGAGGGCAGTCCCCCAGCTGTTCCTGCCAAGGCACTAGATTTGTGAAATTAGTCATCTTGGACATTATAATCCGGATAAGCCCTTAGATGACTCAGATAGGGTGGATGTCAAGTGGAGCAAAAGAACCATAGAGCTGAGCCCAGTTAATCTACAAAATTGTGAGAGAAAATAAAAATGGCTGTTGTTTCAAGACACCAAGCATTGGGATGGTTTGTTACATAGCAATAAACAACCCAAAAGCAATTGTCCTCTTATATGTGTTTGCATATTACAATGTTTCAAAGTATTAAAACAAGACTGTCATGAACATGCTTGAATCTACTTTACTTGCTTACCTCATGCATATTGTGCTGAGAACCAGCCTGAAAGGCTTTTGATAAAGGAATTGAAATTTCTCATATGCATTTTCCAGACAGTGATTCTGTCCTTGGAGAGAAAGAATTTAGAGCATTCTGCTCTTTGAAGATGTAGTAGGTGATGCACTGTTGTTCCATAGCAGTGCTTTGTTCCCCTAAAGCAATATCTCTTGTGGGTCCCTGAAGTAGGAATCTATGCCTTTAGCAGTGAGTTTGTGAGAAGAGTATTAGTTGCTGACAATTCATATCATAATGCTGTGTGGGAGATAACTACAGCAGTGCTCACTTAAATGAGTTTTTCAGTATTATTATTGCGTGTAAGTGTGTGTATGTTTACTCAGGACACAGATAGGCTTGACCTGATTAATTCTGGCCAACTGAGACAGGTTTCAAGGGTCCTAGACCTGCATACTTGAATGTGTGGGGTCAGTGTGGAGGTTTGGGGGACACCCAGGTGCAACAGCTGAAAGATCAGAATGCAAGTGTTAGAAGTAACAGAAAAGCTGTCAGCTTCAGAGAAAATGATGATGGGGGAATTGGGTTTTCAGGATCAAGGATACACCAATTCTCACAAGAAAGAAAAATCAGGAGGAAGCAGGTACCAGGCTGTAATATGGGGAGGAGGGGTGATGGTTGGACTTCCAATCTCTTGAGTGGAGTGAATATGGGTCTCAGTGCTGCTAACTTATTCCTTATAATAAAAATAAAATAAAGGTGGCTTAGTAAAAAGTCTCACAGTTCTGATTTCTGAGGAGAATTGTTAAGTTCTAGGATGCTATGCTGATGGAACCTGCCAGTGGAAGTCAGTGGCTTAGCTGTGCCAGGCGTATTGGAGAGTTGAGGTCACATTTGAATATGAAAAGTCAAATATTGCACAAGATACACACAAAAATAAATTTCTAAATCTCAGGAAGGAATGTAAGAATCTGTGAGTTCCTGAGCACCTTCCCAGCCTCCAGGAAACTAAAATGAGAAGTACATAGAAAGAGTAACAAACCTTGAAGGTACCCAACAGCCTGGAAAGAGAACGGCTTCTTTTAAATTGCATTTTAGGTTTGGAGGTACATGTGAAGGACACGTAAGATTGTTGCATAGGTACACACATGGCAGTGTGATGTGCTGCCTTCCTCCCCATCCCCTATATCTGGCATTTCTCCCCATGCTCTCTCTCCCCAACTCCCCTTTGACAAACCTGAGAATGACTTTTGAAATGAAACAGATCCGTGTCTTAATCCTGGCTGTCATCACTAGCTCAATGGCTGTGAGCAAGTCACTTGGGTCAGTGAGGATTGCGTTTGCCTGCCTGGAATAGAAACCTGGCCAAAAGGGTTTAACAAAAAAGGGGCTTATTTTTCTCATGTAACAAGAAATCCGTGACTCACGAGTCCAAGACTAGTGCAACTGCTTGCTGCTCCTTGACGCTCTTCCCTTCACAATGCTCAGTATGTGGCTTTTGACACCATCCCCCAGATGGCTACTCCACTCCCAGGCATCGCTTCCTAAAGACAGTGATGCAAAACCACCTCCTCAGAAGGCTTTTTTCATTTTGAGGGAACATAACCCTTTCCCAGTGACTTCTAGATATACCTCATTCTGTTTTGCACATGTGTTATTTCATTTCACATATATATATACACACAAACACCTTGGCACACACACTTGGCCATCTAAATACCAGAGATTTGGGGAAAGGTGAATATTTTTAACTGGGTGTGTTACCAGTCCAAATTCTATGGGTTTGGAAGAAGGAAGAACAGATAAGCCAATAGCAATGGATTCCACATGCATTTGTTCATCCTTTCAATGAGAATAACAAGACATCCATGGCAGGAAAATACCAAACATAGAACATAACCCTCCAGAATGTACATTCCATGAGAAGAGGAATTCTTGTCTGTTTTGTGACCGTTGTGTCACCAGCATCCAGAACATTGTCCTTAAAACTATTTACTGAATGGATGAAATTAGAGATAATAGTAAGTGTTCAGTGCACTGGCTGGCACACAGAGGGACCAGGAGACGACTGTTGTTATTGTCATCACTGAGTCTGCCTGTGGTCAATGTCATTGTAAGATGTCAATGTCATTTTCAGAGGCTGCTAGGTAATATAGAGCAACTAGCTACAGCAGAGGCAAGCTTTCTCAAGAGGGGCATTTACTAAAATGAGAGAAATGGAAAATCATGATTGGTATAAGACAGGGTATTCCTCAGTGTTATCAATCTTACATTTAAAAAAAAAAGCTATTGTACCTTTTTCTGATCCAGCCAGCAAAAACCTTCACTTTCTCAGAGAAACAATGTTGCCTCCAGATGCCAGTTGTTAAAGAATCCCGACCTGGAGTTAAGTGTCTGGGGAGCCAACAGGGTTCAGGAAGAAACCGTGAGCTGTCATCAAAATATATAGCTGTATTATTGAATGTTAGAGCTGGACTAATATTTAAAGAGCATCTATTCCATTACTGAGATAAAAACAGTAAGAGCTATTTGCCCAATTTACATTAGTAACTCTGGACACAGTCAGAAGAGACTCTAGCTCTTCCAAATACAGGCCAGAGCTTTTTCCTCTCCAAACACTGACCTACTCCATAGCCCACTAGCATCCCCAAGTTTGTCCTGCTCAGCTGCTAGCCACCTCCCATGGCCATATGTGCTGGGTGGATGCCACCTTATCTTCAGGGCAGTCCCTTCTTTGAGCACGCCACCACAATTATGACACTGTCCTCCCTTGCACTGCACACAGAGATGATGATGACAGGTCCCCATCCTCCACTCTGCTCCTTTCTTTTCTCTGTTTCTCTCTTTAGGATCCAGCTCTTTTTATTCGGCCTACTTCCTCATCTCTCATTCCCTCCTAAACCCAACCCTCTAAAAATGCTATTACCACTTCACCAGGGACCTCAGAATTGTCAAATCCAATGGACACATTTTTTCTGAACTTATCTTACTCTAGTGCTTCAGAAAAAAAATTTACCAAAATATTCCTGATATCAAAAGAGAAACATCATGAGCCCCAGGAAACGTGGAGTTACATCCTGAAGCTAGAGCCACAGGCATGAAATAACTTGGAAGTCTCATTTTGTCATAAGAATTTGTATCAGTTTTCCTGTCTATTGTTCTAGGAAACCAGTGGGCTTTTTTCTTCAAATATCTTAATAAAATTGACGCTCAAGGGATACCCTTGTTTTAATCCCAAGTCTGCATGTCCCACCTGCCCCCTGTATTTGGTTTGAATTTTACAATCCTAGCCAGGGTCTCTTGGGTATATCCTCAGCAGTCAGTTTTATCCCCCAGGCTATGTAGGAGCTAAATGAGACTGAAGGTCAGGGAGTATGGCTTCTTTAAGCAGCATTTACTCTCTCAGTTTCTTTCTTCTCACTTCCCCTCTCATTTTATGCTCCCCTGGAGAACAGAATGAGGCTAGGAAAGAAAGGGGGAAAGTATTCAGATGATCTGGCATTTGGGCTGGCAAATCTACTTACTGCCTTGTTTAGTCACGGCGGCTGGGCTCCCACTCAAGGAGGATAAGCAGACCGTGGGGAGCAACCCTGGCATAGGGGGGTGAATGCTGCCAGGAAAGCTCTTTCACTGGGATGGCATGTCATGGTGCTTTCACTAAGCTGTGTTGTGTCTCTCAGGGAAATGACAGTCAGAGGCCTGCATTATTACACCCGGATCTCAGACCTTCTTTCCAAAGAGTGGGCCATCTCTACCCTCTGTCCATACCACCCCCTTCTCTGCATTCTAAATACTCTGCCTTGACAAATTTTATTTAGAACCACAGATAATTTTCTTTTGAGATATATCTCAGGCCGTAATTTATACATGAGATTTCAAATAAAATTATTTTTCAAAACATCATCTTGGTTGGTTTTTAGAGTTGAACTTACTGCATAGTTTTTTGTTATTGTTGTTAATACAAGCAACATCCAACTTTAACTCCTCCATAACTAACAGTTCATGTCATATTTTCATAGAAATTTTAAATGAAATGTAATGGGTAGGATAAAGGGGGCCTTTAACTCATCAGTATTTCTCCCAAAATATTTTCCTGTCAAAGAGAAAACAGGACAAAACATAGTGTGTTGATTAGAATTAAGTTCAGCTGGGAGAAACAGAAAACAAAAACAAAACATTACTAGCATAATAAGACAGATGTTGATTTCTCTCTGTGTAAAAGTCTGAAGGCATGTGTTCTAGAGCTGTGTGGCAGCTCTGCTCCACAGGGTACTCTGGGATGCAAGCTCCTTCCAGCTCACAGCTCCACTTACCAAGAGGTGGCTGTGATCTTCTTGGACAAGGTAAAGGTATTAATAGTATCCAAATCCTAGGTAGCAAACAGAGGCAAGGATGAAGATGGTGTAAAGGCTCAGCCACCTGCCTCTTCAGGAAAGTTCCTGGATACTGTCACGGGACACTTTCATTTATATCCCATTGTGGGCTTTAATTACATGGCCACACCAATTACATGGGAGGCTGGGAAATGCCATTTCAATATGGGGCAGCCAAAACTTTTATTTCTTTAGATGCGGATTATGATGATGGGGAGACAACTAGCAAGCTCTGTCACCCATAGACCCACAGACTTATTCAATCTTGGCAGTATTTCTCACTTTTTGTTCTTGTCTTTCCTCCTGCTGATCCTTCTTTGTGGCTATGCCTTCTTAGGCTTCTCTGTAGTCTCCTTTGCTCCTGTACTGCCCTCAATGCTAATGTTGGCCAGCTTCTGGTCCTCAAGTACTTTTTTTCTTCTCACTCTTTGAAATTTCTTGCATGACCATATAAATTTGTGTCTTCTACTACCCAAGTTTTGCAAACCTACATCTCTGTCCAAGATATTATTTTCCTAAATCCCAGATTCATACATTCAATTTCATAAAGGGCTTCTCTACTTGAATATACAATAAGCAACTCAAACTCAATACATCCAAAATTAAACTCATCATCTTTTCCATTAAACTCTGTTATGCTGTCAGTGTCTACCCACATGGTCACTTAAACCACAGTTCTTGCATATGCCTGGAATCATCTCTCACACACATTTGATGTCCATTTTTTTTCTTTTTTCTGCATCCTCTTTGTTTTTGCTTTAGTTATAGCTAACATCTATTGAGCATTTGCATGTGCCAGCAACTGATGCAAATATGTTACATATTTCCACTCATTTAATCTTCAAACAACCCTACTATTATTATTATCTCCATTTTACAAGTAAGGAAATTAAGGAACAGATAAGTAATTTTCCCAGCTGTCACATATCAATTAATGGTAAAACCAGGATTTGAACCCAGGCAGTTGACTCTAGTGCACTCTCTCTTAATTACAATAACTTTCTGTGTTTGCCCCTCATTGTTTATTTACTTTATTATTATAGAAGCCTTTGAATTTGTTTATCTTCTTTAATCTCACCAACTCCTCCCCAAAATTTTATCTTTCATGTGAATAACTACTAGAATTGTCTTTCTATAACGCAATCTGCTCAGTTGCCTAAAATCTATCGGTGCTTCCCCATCGCTTTCAGGTGAAAGTTCCACTTCCTTAATGTTGCACAAGGTCCTTCATGATCTGGCCCCAGCCCACTTCCACAGTCCCTTCTGGAACTTCCTCACAGACATGTGGGAGTGGGCCATCTCTACCCTCTGTGCAAAAGTCTGAAGACGTGTGTTCTAGAGCTGTCTGGCAGCTCTGCTCCACAGGGTGCTCTGGTCCCAACCAGCCATACTAGAGCATTCCAAGCTTCTGAACAGACCTCACCCCGACACCTGTGTCCTGGCTTTTTGCACTCACTCAGAAGTCCTATTTCAAGGGCATGCTGTTATGAGCATTGATCAAAGCTCCCCAAGGGCTGAATAGTTGCCCCTCTGTACTTTATTACTTTTCACATAGTGTGGTAAATGGTAGTTGAGTATTCTCTCTCTCCCTTGGTATCCTGTATAAGTTCCCTGAAGGAAGAGTTGGTTCTGTGTATCTACAGAACCTACCAAAGTGTTTCGTGCATGATGATCATCCAGTAAACTTTCAAAAAAGGATGAACTAAGGAACACAACTACTTCTTCCCTTTATGCCATTTTCCTAAACAAAACCCACGACGAGGAGATCCCTTGAAAATCATTGACTTTGGCCAGGCGCGGTGGCTCACGCCTGTAATCCCAGCACTTTGGGAGGCCGAGGCGGGTGGATCACGAGGTCAACAGATCGAGACCATCCTGGTCAACATGGTGAAACCCCGTCTCTACTAAAAATACAAAAAATTAGCTGGGCATGGTGGCGCGTGCCTGTAATCCCAGCTACTCGGGCGGCTGAGGCAGGAGAATTGCCTGAACCCAGGAGGCGGAGGTTGCGGTGAGCAGAGATTGCGCCATTGCACTCCAGCCTGGGTAACAAGAGCGAAACTCTGACTCAAAAAAAAAGAAAATCATTGACTTTACCCTGGTTTACTTACCTGCAGAAGAAATTCATCTTGGAACAGGATTACAATAATATAGAAGCTAACTCGTTTGGTATGGCACATGTTGGGCTGCACATGAAATAAACAGAAAGAGCAGCATACATTTATTCACATCAGTAAAGGGAACACATTGCAACATAAGAGTAATGATATCCAGACATAATATCGATATTTTGGGAAGTTGTTTATAATTAAGATAACTAAGGAGATTTAAAATGGTGCATTTTTTTCTCCTTTGCATGGCAATTGCTTTTTGGGGATGTCAATGCAGAAATTCTTGGGTTGTAGAATTTTTAAAAAGAAGAGCACACTCGTTTTATTTATTTTATAGGATTCTGGTGCCTTTGTGATAGGCAGCCACAAGTGAAATTACCTTCAATGGTGTTGGCTTAGTCCCTTCTCTGCTACTAATCATCCCCTCAAACCCACATACATTAGACAGAGCAGTTGTCCTTCACCACTGAAGAAACGCAGTCGAGAGTTATGTTACCGTGGAAACAGAATCACTTTTTGCTGCAAGACACACTGCTTCATCTGCACTATTATGAAGCAGAATACATTGCTAGGGCTGGGAAGGGAATAAAATATTTCTGCCTGCCAGTGTTGTACTTGGCCTTTGGGTGAATAAATGACTTTCAATTACAGTACTAAATATCTTTTAACTTTAATAATTATTATTAGAGCGTCAACAGAATTTTACTTGGAAAAGAATAAAAAAAAGATTTTTCTGTTAAGGGAAGAGCTATAAACTCTTTCAAACTAGACCACTCCTGTTAAAGGAAATGCAAGATAATTTGCATTTAATGGGTTCATTGTGTATGAAAATAAGTGTTTTTGTTCCTTGTTTTTTGACTTTCTGATTTGATCACCTTGTGGATTAATGAGATTGTCCTTATTTCTTTCCTTTTTTGGTCTCTGCTTTTAGCTTCTTTGTAGTGAGCACACTTATTGACAGCTTCATCTTGTGTTGGGCTGTGTCTATGCATGTCCACTGTTGTCCACTTGCTGCTGAGAATCCATCTAAGTCTGTGATCTAAGCCTGTAACCAGTCCCATTTCTGGGGCCTCCCAGCCAAAAACACTAGTTCCCATGTGCTACCTGGTTCTGCTACTGGGGGGTTCCCTTCACCTTATGCCCAATCCTAAATTCAATCACTGTCTTATTTTGTTTTCTTTCCTCTACTCGCTATCTCTTACTGTTTGTGTTGTTATTAGTATTGAAGAACAAATGTATATGAGCTACACTAGTAGAAGGATGAATTCTGTAAAATTTCAGAAACAAAACAAGAATCTTGTATCCTTCAGCTCTTAAGATGCTCATTGACTTTTCTTACAGGCCCCCAGAAAGCTCTATTAAAACAAACAAAAACCTTAAAACACATACACATGCACACAAACACACACACACTTGCACGTGTGCACGTTATTTCACATTACCTCAAAGTCTAACTATAATCATATAATCACAGGAAAATCCCACATAATGAAAAGGAAAAATCTTTTATTGGCTGGATAAAAATTAGAGAAGAATCTGATACTTTAAAAGTGCTAGCATTTTAATTCTAGAGGTAGTGAAGCAACCTTAAGAGACAAATGACAATTCTTGAGCAACTAGTCAGTGGTGGGCATTTTGTATATCTGTCATCCCATTTCAGTCTCAAATGAGTCTCAATGGCTTCTGTTATTTTGATTTTACAAATAAAATGAAGCCACTAACACTCAATTATTTAAAAAGTCATTCTCCGATTGTATAATTCATCCATGTAACCAAAAACCACTTGTACCCTAGAAGATACTGAAATTTTAAAAAGTCATTCTCAAATTCCCCACATAAACCCTAAATTGTTTCTGATTTCGAGTTTAGCATTCTTTCCAAGTGCATCACCCAATACAGTGTTCAGCAAAGCTCTGAACTGCGTTGAGGGTGAGGAGTATGTGCTAAAATTCAAGGAAAAAATAAGAATATGGCCTCTCATCCTGCCTTTCCACCTCTAGACAGGACTTGGAGAAAATCGTTTATTTGTTTCAAACTCAGATTTATTCATCCTTAATTAATATGGATAAATAACCTCTTCTCTCTTCATGCAAGTAAGAAGTTAATGTGTGAAAAACATCTTGAAAATACTAAGGGCAGTTTTATTTCTGTGGAAAGAAGGACTTACTCCTGTTAACTGTAATAGGTCCAGATTAATAGGTCCAGATTAATAGGTCCAGATCACTGTCAGTTTATTAAGCCATCCAAATTAATTCAGCCACCAAATCATTATCAATCTCAAATATGCAATGTTTTGAGAGCTGTCCCTGTCACATATTTCTTGGGTATCTGCCAAATAATGTAATACAGTGCTGAGTTAGATAGTGGATGCATAATACTCATCTTTAAGTAAATGGAGTGTGTGATCAAATCAAACTGTTGTCCAATATCTACTTGAGCCACAAGTTATAGACCCTATTTTATCATAATATTAAAAAGGATTCATTAAATGCCTGGTTAAAATTAGCCTAAGTTGCTTTATAAAGACACAATCATAACCTTGGTTCAGAGTATTAAACTGGTTTTTAAAATAATGATTTATTTTTTTTATTATCACACAGAAGGAAATATTTAATTTTTCTAAACTCCATTGCTTGCCTTTCAGAGGGTCTCAGGAAATATTAGTGCAGTAAATATTGAAAAATAACTTACCCAGCACCTAAAATGTCACCTTCTCTATCTCTTATAAATTAACAAAAACTGCTTCATTTCAAGCATTTCATATGTATTTACTATACTCTGAATTTTACAAATACCACCTCTTTAAATTTTTATAACAACTTTCTAAAATTGAACCTATTATTGTCATCAAGTTTAGAGAGTTAAAATAACTTGCTCAAGTCACAGTGCAAGTCTGTAGCACAGCCTGATTCAAATCCATGCTCACCAACTCTAAATTGCAACTGTTAACCACAATTCTGCACATCAACCTTGTGAATAATGTCACCTTTGAGAAAACCAGCTTTCTTTTGCTGCCTGTCTCTAATAACTTATTCATCCTTTGTTTTATAAAAGAAAGGAAGAAAAGACAGAAAAAGAGAGGGAGCAAAGAAGGAAAGCGGGGAGGGAAGGAAAAGGGAAAGAAAAGAAAGAAAAGGGGGGAAAAATCACTCAATGTTTTCTACCCTTCCTGAATAACCTGGGGAAAAAGTGGGTCCCATCCTAATTTTTGAGAGTAGTTAACATTGTAGAGAATAACGACGCTAAGTGCCAGTTTTGTCTGATGCTGTCATTTTGCCTTTGTTTTGCATTTATCAGGAGAAGTATTCCTGCAGATTAAAGGGCCACTGGAAGATATTTATAAAATCTACTGCTATCACCATGATGAAGCACATAGTGTACTGGAGTCCTATGAAAAGGAAGAAGAGCTGAAGCAACATTTGAGCCACTGTATCCAGTCCTTAAAGTAAGGCCTTTTCAAATGATGATTCCCATCTCCTCTCAGTTGCCTAGCAGGGAACATTTTAAATGGATGTAGATGAAAGGTCTCACATAAATCCTGTTTTATGAGGCTTGCTGGGAGCTCTGCTTTGCATTCCCTTTATAAAAAGCTGACATGCCAGAAGCCCTGATTGACTTTTTTTCCCCCTGTGAGAATGACTAAAAATAACATGGGAAAAGATATAGAGCTCTGTAGAGATTGAAAAATGCAATATCAAAATATAAAATGTGGAAGAAAAGCCTCTTCTTAAAGCTATTGTAACTTGCCTGCTCCCAGATAGTTCAAGGAGTATGTGAAATAACACGTGGCCCTATGACCACTGGAGCACAGGGGTTAAAGGAGTTAGTGGAATGGCCTGTGACTCTCTGCATGGCCATCTTCTTTCCCCAAACTCATTGTGGGGAGATTTTGGTGAAGACAAGGCAGGCTTAGCTAAAGTTAGTTTCAGAACAATTACTCGTGCCTTTCTTCCTCATCTCTAAAACATTAATGGGTGCTACATAATGTACTTTTTCTTTTCTAGAGAAAATATCTATTCACTATGAAAATCTGAAAAATATAAGAAAGTATGTGTAAGATAAAAACCCCTTGCTGTTTCACTATTAACCACTTTCTTCTTAATAATCATTTTCTTCTGATATTATTTATATGCATAAATGTGAGTATGTGTTTGCACTGATTATTTTAAATGAAATTGGTGTCTTACTGAATATGCAGTTTTCTACCACATGAAGCTTAAAGCCAAAATTACTGCCATACTGCACACCTTACCCAGTGGTTCTCTTACAGACTCTCCCTTTCAAGTGGTATGTATCCACTGTCAAATAATCTTGATTAGGCCAGGAATTAAACAAACAGAGAGCTGTGGTGTATAAGTCAATGCACACCCATCTGACCCTGTAGCACACCTCCCCTGTATACTCTGTTGCGGTGGGGGAAGGAGGGATCCCTGACCGGGATGGGGATGGGGATCCTAATATGGTACCAGAGGTTTTTAGCTGCATTAAAGTGAAATCACAGTACTACTCAGGAAGAAGCGTTTCCAGGCTAGAATTGGGTCTGAAAGTGAATTTAAAATGAGTCCAGTGAATTTTTTTTTAATAAATAAAATGTCAATTTCATTGCCCTCTACTGGTCATTAAATTACTGTGGTTTTTAACCATTCTTCACGCCATGGAAAAGAAGAATTCAAGTCACCAAATCTCAAGCATTTATTTAGTGTTTGTGCTGTGCCAAGTGTAGTTCTGGGTGCTAGGAATACAAAAGTAAATAAGACTTAGACTCTGCCCGAAGGAACTCAGTATGACCAGATAAGTTTTAAATATAAGATGTAATGAGCAAATAGCTCCAGTTAATTATTTCTCGCTATTTTCTGTTTAGTTCAGTGTTAGAATATCAATTCAGAGAAACATGCAAGTTTGACGTTGTGGCCATTTTAATAAATTCATATGTTAAAAGCACAGTCCTCTAAATGTTCAGATTTTTTTTCTTTGGGAAAAAAGGAAATGGTATTATCCTGGGTTTGAATGAACACCTTTCCTACCTTAAACAAGTGGCAAGATCTGATCCAATAAAAGCTGGAGCCATTTTCCTTCTTGGCTTCTAGAACTAAGAGTGAGAAATGTCACAGCAAGTGAACATTTAGCACCTTTGATCACCTCCACTCAATGCCAGCCCTGGGGATGGAGGTCCTTGCCCGAAAAGAATGTGGTGCATCTACTTTGGGCATGTGCTTCTCACTGTTCACCAGAAATGGAGCTGTCTGTTCATAGAGGGAAGAATGCCAATTTATTATTCATTAAGCTTTTGACTCGTAAGAGAAAGAAATAGAACCTGCCAGAAAATTCCACTAGGCAGTATAGCCCAGCATCACATCCCCAAAAAGCAGCTAAAAGGTAGAGGTGATTTTAGAACCTCATGAAGTCTCAGTTACTGAAAATTATTTTCAGACCCAATGGCTTATTTGGTCTTTTTCTGAAAGTTTCAAGTAATTGCCCTGGTAATGCCCCAAATTTTGTGTTTAGAGCTATTCTGATTTTAGGTAATAGTTTCAGGCACTGGAAAGTGTTAAGGTTTAGAAAGCAAAAAATCCAAAAGAAGCAATATGGGCACAACTATTTCTTAAAGGAAAGAAAATCAAATAAAATAGGTGAAGTTAGAGCTATTTTCCCAAAAGTTGCCTTTCCATGAAAATAAAGTTAATGATGGATTGTATTGGTCTGCCTGAAGGCTGAGGGCAGTAGAATTATTGACATTACTATAATACTGACCGCAATCAAGCTAAGCTTTGAATTCTGAGAAACAGGTTTTCAAACAGGTTTATAGGCCAAAGACAGTCTGAAACACCCTGAGGGCTTGGTTTCCCTTGCCAAGTAATCAGTCAAAGCTATTACTACCGCTCTGCCTTTCCTTGTGGCTAGATAACACAGCCCAAGTGCAGTGCCAATTTCTAATGAATACTAGGTGTGGCCTCCATCTTATACTGTGCAAGGATATTGGAAATCTTTGTTGGAGCAATATCCACGAGAGAGGTGGCTTCATGCCTCAGAAGTTAAGGTGGATTTTAAAGCAATTTAGGCTGCTTTTTAACCAAAATTAAAATGCATTTGTTGAGGACCTAATAAATACTTATTAAAAGTGCTAGATAATGTTGAAAATTTATAAAAAAATATATCAGCATAGATTATCAGGCATTAGATTCTCATAAGGAGTGTGCAAAAAACTATATATATATATATGTGTATATATATATCAGCGTAGTTCTTGCCTCTCAGGAACACAAACTCTAGTTGAGGAGATAAACAAAACCATGTGGAAAGTGTTGTAACAATACAAGAATTAATTTAAATAACACCAGAAGCTTTCAGGGTGGCTGCAGTTCAAGACTAATTCCCAAAAGAGGAGTAACAGATATTGTAACAGACCCAAGTTTCTAACTTTCAGTTATTCTTTGGGACCAATTATCTTTCAAAAGGGAGAATAATATTGAATCCTTTTGTAACAGGAGGGCAGTGTTTGTCTGTTAAGTTCCCTTGCGCCAGATCCTCCAGGGCTGTGTATTAAAAGTACAGATTCCCATGCTCTCCCTCAGACCAAAAAAATATTATTTCTGGTGGTCCAGTTCAGGGTCTGCTCTTTTAACAAGCACGCTCAGGTGATTTTCCATACATATTCAAGTTAAGAATTACATTAGAGGGAGAAATCATGTCTATAGTACTCATTTGCTGCTTTCCCTGAAGCAGGTGGGGTTTTTTCATCAATAGAGGTACAATCTAGGCAGTAATTTCAGAGTTTGGAGACCTTAAAAAAGAAAAGATGTTATGGCTATCCAAAAGCAAATACACATCTGTATGTATAGTCTACAAACTGGAAATTTTCAAGTTTTTATTTGTTCAACAAGAAGTTTTGACAGTCCAATTAGTGGCTGCTAAGATTGTGTAAAATACTATATTAAAATAGTCTCCAAAGTTATGGAAGTTATTGCTAAAGATCTTATTACTAAGTTTTCTTGGGGTTATTTAAGGTTTCTGATCTGTATGAGGAAAGTGAAAGATAGTGTGGCTATAAATGCAAACGTAGCTATAATTAGAATAGCCTGTCTGCTGCCTCCTTTTTCTGCTTTTCCATTTATAAATACCACTAAAGTCCCTGCTGCATTTCAGAGGCCCCAGAGATCTGTTTATTTTGTAATAGAAAGAGGATGAAGGGGATTTTCTATGTTTTTTGATAGATGCAAGACACATTTCTAGCTTCTTGTCTAGTTATTATAAATTCATCTGTATTTTCTTCTTGCTAATCAAGGCCATCATCCCCAAGAGGAAAACTTCTAACTTCTAGTCATCTGGGCACTTTGGCTGCTCACATTACTCCTGGAGCTTCTCCATTCAGGGAGGAAGCTAAAAGCTCATGCAATGCAAAATCCAAAGGAATACATTTCAATTTGTTCACCACATTTTATACTCATTATTCTAATGGAGTGTTCCAAGTAAAAATTAAAATCACTTTTGGAAAGCCCTTCAGTTCCTTGTTATATGGCATCATGTTTGAACAAAGACTATAATCCTTAAGGAATAGTCACATGAAAACTTGTTAATTGTGAGTCAAATGATAATGTGCTCATGAGGGTAGGAGGTATAGTGATAGATACATTAAATTACTTTAACCCATAAAAGGGTAAATGGACACAATTTAAATTCTTCCTTCCTGAATCGGGCTTTGTTAGGATTACCTTCTGCAAAGTTTCAGCCTAAAAGGGAGATTTTTTTTTTTTTAATGATGAACAAATTGAAAGATGTTATAATATAGTGCCCCTACTCCACAGGCTGTGGTTTATCCTATTGGAAAATCTCTCGGATTCCCTTTCATACAGTGTTATACTACATAAACACAATGTTTAATCTATATTATGATATTTAGGTTTTACTTGGATAAAATAAATGGAACAGAAAAAAAAAATCCATGTTTCCTGTAGAAGTTAAAAGAATAATCTGTTCTTTCAACTTCAAAGTATGTGTTTTGGTTACTAAACGATCACCTTATTCTCTTGTTTGCACGGAAAATCGTTTCTTTATTTTTATTCATTTTCTTCCCCAGATTTTCTGACCTATGATCCACAAAGCATATTTGACAAATAGAATTCCCCTTTAGAAGAGGATAGAAGGAAGCATGTAAGCTTAAAGGAAATGATTGGAAGGAAATATTGGGCAAGGGGTGGTGGTGGTATTTCTTTCATTGCCATAAAAGAGTTCTTTAAACAGTCATTAATAATTGTTTAAAATTATAACAGCTGCTAATTTCTTAAAAATTGTAATTATGTGCTTGATTTCCATCGAATAGGTCTTAGACTCAGTAAAACTTAGTTAAATTAGGATGTCTAGAAGTCCATTCATATAGCATGTCTGAAGATTGAGAAAACAATTGCTTCACACATGTCCCACACTGTTTCCACATACACAAAGTACTGGGATTAATGGAAAAAAACTTATTAAATCCACTAAATGTTATAAAATTCAGCTTAGGTACTTATTAAATTTTTTCTCAATCACTGAATGTAAAAAGACCATCTATTATTATGGGATGGGTCATAAAATTGTTTATATTGAAAACAGTTATTTTACTCCCAATAGTTGGAAACCAAAGGCCACAGTGATCAGGTAATAAACACAGGTTATTATTTTATTTATTCATAGCCACTTGAGGCTTTTAGAGAAAAATTTTCATCTTCTTTATTCTTTAGAGACATGATTATAAAATAATGAGACTACTTCTATTAGGCATGCATGAAAATTACTTATTACTTTTATCTTACATAAGAAAATTTAAAAGGATTTATGTTTGTATATTACCTTGAATAAATGGATTTACATGAATTTACTCTTTTTCTTCTCTTACAGGAAAATATACATGCAAGAGTAAGTACTTTTTAAAATAAAATAAATTAAATATAAAAATCATGAGAAAATGCAGTTGAATGTTTCTGTACAAATCAGAATTTCTGGTTTTTCTAATCATGAGTATTGTTTTTAATAAATAATTCAAGATTGTGAAGGCATTTACCCAATTATTGGTGCATATTTTACTGATTAAATTATTATCACACACACTTTACCAAACCTTTAGAAGTATCCTGATATATTTTACTAAGTTTGCTGGTACCAGAAAGCTTTGGGAACTGCTCATCATACTTATGTTTGGGAATCTTAATGTGCCCCAAAACATTTCTTTCTATGAAACATATTAGTCTTTAAAAATCTCAGATTAATATCATAATGTATTTGATGTTTCCATAGATTAATGCATAGGAAAATATTCTTTATTTTATGAAAATATTTGATTTCTTCTAATTTGGAGTCTTGTATGATTTATGGAGAAAAAAATCATACACATAATTGCATGAAAATGAAATATTAAGGTGAAATAGTTACTAGGATAATATATAAATTATTTTAGAAAAACAGCATATACAAACACCCTGAAAGAGGTCCATTATTCTAGAAGAAAATTGTGTCTAAGCTGATTAATGCTGAAAGAATGATATTGACTTAAATACAAACTCAAATTTATTTACCAGGCATATATTTGGCTTATGATGAGCAACTCTTCAAGGTCCTGAGCTCCTAGTGTGTGTTTGCTTGTGTGTGTGCATGTATTTTAAACCCTTAAGAGTTTACATCAAGAAATAAAAAGTTTACAAAATATAAATTATATTAATTTAAGCAACAAATACCTGACATTCATATTTTGGTGCAGAGCAACAGTGAGAATGGAATTCTGGAACTGAAGTGAAGGAATCAGGCATCAGACAGTTCTTTAGACCAAGGCTGTATACCTCAGTCAAGTTGAGAAGTTGGATTTGTGAGACACCAGACAGGCAACTAGTTCTCTTACTTTATCAGTCTTTTTTTTTTTTCCCCCAGTGGAAAAACTATCCTACAGAATAAACAGATATGAGTAGATTAGTTTTATGAATTTCTGATTTGAGCTCACTTGAATTCAAAGAGGTGCATCAGCCTCCTAGCTTCTCTTCAAAGATAGTTGATGTAGGTTGGGAAATGGCGCTGCTTCATTATACAGCCTTTGTCCCTAGCATTGTGCCAAGGACTGGAGCTTTGCATAACTGAGTGGTTAGAGAAGAACTTCATGTGCTACGAATTCTGCTTAGGTTTCTTTTTCTAAAGCTTACATTAGATCTTCGGAACCAAGAAACAAAATAAGAAGAGAGGAGACAGAGAGTCAGAGGAGAAGAGGGAGATAGTCTTCTTGGAACAGTTGGCATGCACAGACTTCTACATACAGAATACTTAAATAGTGCATTGTATTGAAACACTTGCTTGAAAATGGCCCTAGCACTTGCCGCAATCCCGCTGTGCAGGATTTAGCCAGGTTGTGTCTGCTCCCTCTAGCCTATTCTATACATCAAGAACTGAAAAAAAAAAAAAGGGGCAATCCCAGCATGTGGCTGGATACCCATCAAAGCCAAGTTTGCCATGAATTATTTTCCTTCCTGTTTCTTTCATTGAGGTCATGAAGCACACACACTGCTACAGAAAAGGGCAAAAGGCAATGTCAAGTGCTGTGTAATTGTTGGGCTCTTTAGTGGCAAAGGCCAGCCATGTTTCAGCCAAAGGGCATTTAAGAGTACAAGATGTGGGTTTTTAATGGCATTCAAAAATCCCTCACTTATGGCAATTAAAAATTATCTGTTTTTTTTTTTTACAGTCTATCTTTTTAAAAATACAAAGTGAAAGATAGTTGTATTTCTAAAATGTTTACTTTGAATTATAACCTATGCAAACATCAGACAATATTAAAGTGACAGGAATCATAGAACTTCCCACTAAAAGCAAGAAAAAAAAATGCCTATTCTAAACACATATCTTTTGAAATGCAGTGTTTTTGTTACCTTTATGCTTTCACTTTTTACGTATGTGTTTCCTTTCGGACTAGCTATTCCCACCTTGGATTTAAGAGTTCCTATTAATCACAAAATATTATGAATTATTTCCTTTTTCTTTGTATTTTAAAAATTATTGAAGAAACACTGCAAACAAATAAAAATAAAAGTGAGGACAGTAAAGACAATTGGCAGTCACATTCCAAAGTTAGCTATTGTCGCATTGCAGTGAGTCCCTCACTTCACCATAGTTTTTTCTTTATACACATACATTGACTAAAATAGGAACACTATATATTTCCGGTATGTGAACTTGCTACCTCATTTATCATCAATACATTGTGAATATCTTTCCATTTCAGTAAATATAAATCCAAATTGTTTTATACTTGCATAATATTGTGTCTGATATATATGCTATAATTTAGTTTACCAAACCCTTACTGACAGTTGAATTGTGTCTGTCTTACTGATGTCATAAGTTTATTTCTATATATATTCTTGACACAATAATCTTATTTTTAGGATTAATTCCTAAAAGTGAAATTGCTAGATGAAGGGGCTTTTGATACTTATTGTTAGAAAATTTCAAAAAAAGCTGAGGTAATTTACATTCCTATTACTCTTATGTGAATTGTTCATTTATTCACTACTTGCCAACACTAGATACAAATAATATTGGTCGTAACTTGCAGTGTAATAGGCCCAAATAGTACTCTGTTATTTTAATTTGCATTACTAATGACCTTGAGCATTTTTTCCTAAGTATTTAGCTATTTATATTTCATTTCTAATGAATGATGTTTTTAAATGATTAACCACTTTTACCAAGATGTTCACCTTTTTCTAATACATTTATAATGTCTAATTAGTACATATTAACCTTTGTCTTATATATTATATATGATTTTTCCAGTTTGTCATCTGATTTTTAACATAGTTTATGGCTGTTTTGGGCTCTGTTTTTAATCTATGCAATTTTACAGAGCTAAATTTTTAAATAGACATCACTGTTTTTCTACTGTGGCTTTCAGATTTTATGTCTTTCTTACAAGTTCCAACATTAGTTTATAAAGTATGATCCTATGATTTCTTCAAATTCTTTTATGGTTTCATTTTTAAATTAAATATTTGATCTATCTCAAAATTATTTTAGTGTAAAGAATGAGGCCAAAATCCATTTTTATTATTTTATTTATGGCTAGCTAATTATCATAACATCTGATATTGAATAATTCATTTTTCCCACTGAATAGGATTGTCAAATTTACCATGTACTCAATTTCTATACATATTTGTATCTATTTCTTGATTTTCTCATTTGTGCTTATATATTTATCAATGCCAAACTGCTTTTATTTTTATAGCTTTATAATATATTTTCATATTCAGTATCATTACTCTCAGCTCAGTACTTTTTTTTACATTTTTTGAGTATTCTTGATATTCCTTTTTTATAAAAAACTTTTTATTAAAAAATGATAGTTAGTCCTGTTTCAATAGCCAAATCATTCTGTAAGATTTGTCAAGAAAAGTAATCTCCTCTTCTCCTCCCAGCCTCTAACTTCTCATTAGAATGCATTATTTTCATATCTTTAGCTGACTATTTTGGTATTTATCTTTATTACTCTAAAAGCATGCTTGGTTGTTTCCTTTTTAGATATTCCCCATTAACTTTCTCCTGTGGAAGGCAAGAATTTCTCTTTCCTATCCCTATCTCCTCTACACACAACAAGCACACACATAAACGCCTTTTCCATTTCTCCATTCCCCCTAAGTGGTTACCACACACAACAAGCACACACACAAATGCCTTTTCTATGTCTCCATTCCCCCTAAGTGGTTACACTGTAATTTTGTTAGAGCAATAATCAGTGTCTGAATTATTATATCTAAGTAAATTTCTTTTCAGAGCTAAACCTTTAAGTGATTTCTTATTTTTCTATGAGTTAACAATTGTTGATTTTTGTTTTCATTGTGCCCTCCTCCTCTTCCATTTCATCTACTTTCTCTGCTTCTTCTTGTTCTTCATTTGCATAGTTTTGTTTGTACTAATAACTAATGCCAAACTCACAGCCAGTTTACTAACTTATCTTTCAAGAAAACCAGATGCATTATGTATGCCATCAATTTCTTCTCCCAAAAGAGCCCTGCCCCAGGGTCTTCAGTCCAGTTGAGCTTGGACGGGTGACACTGGGTGCTGCCATCTGCTAGGAATTCTCCTCCCATCATCCTGGAGATTCTCTTTGCCTTGTTCCTGTGTTTGTTCCTCCTCATTTTGGTGGAGTACATTCTTCAATAGTTTTCTCCGTTCCTCACAGAATGCATGGGAAGTAAAATGTTAAGAACTTTATATCTGACATACTTTTCTTTTACTCTCACATTTGGTTTATAGTTTGATTTGGTATCTAATTCTAAATTGGAAACCATTTCCCTTAGAGGTAATTCTTTATCATTTTCTAGCTTTCAGAGTTGCTATTAGAAATCTGAAACATTCTGATTCCTAATCATGTATTTATGCCTATGTGCATATTTCTTTCTCTGAAGGATTATAGAATCTTCTGTTTGTCCTTAGTACTCTGACGTTCGTGAATTCCAAGGTGTGACTCCATTTCTTCCACTGTGCTGGACACTTAGTGAGTTCTTTCAGCCTGCAAATTCCTTTTTCTTGAATTACTTTACTATTTACTCCACATACTTGCTTTGTTTTACTTTGCAGTGATTTGTATTAGTAGATAATGAACTTCCTAGACCAGTCCTCTAATTTTTTTCATTTTTTTTCCTATTTTTGACTCTTTTGTGTGTTTGTTCTTCTCTTTAGAAAGTTTCAAAACATTATCTCCAACACTTGTAAAAATTGGACAGTTTCTTAAACAGGTTTTCAATCGACACTCCTTATTTTGGCATCTGGCCCCTCACTCCCTATTTCATTGGATAACCAGTGACCCCAACTGATTAACATTTGCAAAATGATTAAACATTACCTCACCATTTCACTGGTTCTCTCTGGTCTGTTACATCAATTACTATTTATTTATCTCCTTTATGTCTTCTAATTTAATAAATTATTATGTATGTCTTTTCACAGTTATCTTTTATTTATGACAAATGCCATTTATTTGTATAGCAATATAGAGTTTCTTTTAAAACTGATTTAGGTGTTTTAAAAGGAAAGTAAGTTGAAAAAAATAACAGAATAGATGCTTGTAGATATGGTAAAATAAATATTAAATTTAGGATGCTTGTGGTCATGAAATAAAGGAAATTCAAAGTAATATAGTCAATAGTTACATAATTATTCTTTTTGGCTTATTTTCTCCTTCTCATTAAGAAATATAGGTGTTCTGATGTTGAATATCTATTTTTTTTTGTTTTCCAGTATAGTGTTTATATTATTTAAATGTCATTTTCATTTTTGTTGTACTTGTATTTGATGTGAAACTCCACAGCAAAACTGGAAGCTGCTAGAACAAAGCCAGCTGTGTTTACTTGACTTTGTAGAGACCCAAAAATAATTTGTAATGAGATTAGTATAGCTACTTTTGGCAGTAAATACTTGCCAAAGTATTCATGATAAGACAGGGGAAGATGAAATAGAATTACAAATTAATAAGTAGTTTAGTTTTTAGCCCAATGTGTATGGGAAATTGTTACACATTTGTTTACTTACTGTGGAGGAGTCATGGGATAATTGACTTCCTGGCTAAGATGGGTTATATCACACATAGGACTCATCTGCCTCGCATGGTTATCAGAACTTAATCTTACTGTGGGAGATTAGATGGGGTGAATTTTGTGGCATGAATGCGTGGAGCATTATTATCTTATAATACTCCCGCTGTATTTTCTACCATATTGCTTTTCTGTGCAATGCAGATGTCAGAATATCATTGCTCATCACTAGGGCAACTGTCTCAAGTATATATATGAAGACAAAAATGTCTAGGAGATTTCTCATTTTTGAGAATACCGTTTATATAATTTATATTTATGACAATAATCATTTATAATTACTATTATTGTCATTTGAAACATAAAAGGGAGAGAGAGAACTTTGATGCCAAAGAGTGATGAAAAAAAGTAGTGATACAATCTAAACACAACTAAAGAGCCTAAGTTGGTTTTTTGATAGATTTGGATAAGAAAGAAATAAGGGCAGCTCAAAGATACAAGTATAGCCTTTACTACATCTGAGTTATTGTTTTTTTATAATTAAAAATAAAAGAACGTATGTGACAAAAGACCACACTAATATTTTATTAAAGTTGAATTTATATTGATTTGAATGTTTGATTATATGTATATTTTGATAGTCGTTTAGCAATTTTTTTTAATAGTTAAGAGATTTTATTCTAATAGCTATAATTACAGTGCTTGTTTGTCGAAATGAAAACTGAAAACAAGTATACAAAACAGTTGATTACTAATCGTGTATTGAAAGCAGTAAGAGGTTCCACCACACCAAATAGACCAGTTCTGAGGTTTCCCCAAGATAAATTTAACAGCTCCAGCTTCTTCAGTGTTTATCAAAATACAAAAGAAAAAAGTAGAGGTTGTCTTTTTCGATGGCAAATCGGACCCTTGCAGGCTGAGGGAAAGAAAGCTACGTCACACACAGAGGTGGGGTGCTCCCGAGGGGCTGTGGGTCTAGGTGGACCGCCTGCCCGGCTTGCACGCGCTCCTGCTGGTGAGGCCCCAGACATCCTGCCAAAGTGTCTGAGCGAGCACGAGTATTGGGGACAACGGACTCACTCTGGCCACATGCTGACCGAGGGACAGGTGGGGCCCTGTCTCCCACAGGCTGCCTGAAGGTGGCTGTAGCGGCCTGTGGGAGAGTGGGGTGGCTGTGGGCTCCCAGCCTGGCCCCTGTGAACCATGGGGGCACAGGGACAAGCACATGGCTATGGAATGCAGGGTGACCCAAGGACAAGCAAGTTGCGGGGATCTCTATTGTGACCATGCAGAATTGATCGCGGTCTGCCGCCCCGCCGCCTCACGTTCCCAAGGGGAACAGCCGGGCTGGCGACTGGCATCCAGGCCGTAAATCTATGCTAGGCAGGGTCTCCCTTCTGTGTGTTCAAGTGTTCTCGACTTGGATTTTTAACTATTTAAAAAAATGCACTGAGTTTGGGTTAAAAACCAACCACCAAAATGGATTTCAACACAGCTCTAAAGCCAAGAGCATGCCCGGCTTTCCCAACACAGCGACTCCTGGAGGCCAGGTGCCCACAGGCCTACATCCCCTCTCAGCACTACAGTGAGTTGATTTTTCTTTTTACAATAAAAAAAGCTGAGTAATATTGCATAGGAGTACCAGAAACTGCCTCATTGGAAACAAAAACTATTTACATTAAATAAAAAGCCTGGCCGCAGGCTGCGTCTGCCACATTTACAGCACGGCGCGATGCACACGGTGACCAAACCACGGAGGCAGCTTCTGGCACTCACACCACGAGCCGCACGTTTGCCACATGAGAGTAAAGCAGAGGGTGAGAGGAGTGAGAGGGAGGGGTGTCGCATTCACTTCTGGTTCCGGAGCTGATTGGACAGCCAGTCCAGTCCTTCATAGAGCCCGTCGCCGCTGGTGGCGCAGGTGGCCTGAATGTACCAGTTCCTGTGGCGTAGGGAGTGCAGCCCCAGCTTGTCTGTGCTCTCGGCCGCATTCATGGCGTTGGGGAGGTCCTGCTTGTTGGCGAACACCAGGAGGACAGCATCCCGGAGCTCATCCTCAGCCAGCATCCTCATGAGCTCCTCACGGGCCTCATTCACGCGCTCTCTGTCATTGCTGTCCACCACGAAGATCAGGCCTTGTGTGTTCTGGAAATAGTGGCGCCACAGAGGCCGGATCTTGTCCTGGCCACCCACGTCCCACACAGTGAAGCTGATATTCTTGTACTCCACGGTTTCCACATTGAAGCCTATGGTGGGAATGGTGGTCACGATCTCACCCAGCTTTAGCTTGTACAGGATCGTGGTCTTCCCCGCGGCATCCAGGCCTACCATGAGGATGCGCATTTCCTTTTTGCCAAAAAGGCCCTTGAAGAGGTTGGCGAAGATGTTCCCCATGCTTGTGGACAGGTGGAAGGACACTGGCCAGGGACACCTCAGCTGCTGCTGCTCCGAGCCAGGCGTTGGTTTCGCTCCCACCCGTTTAGCAATTTTTAAAAGATTAACATTTAATAATAAAAACTCAGAAGAAATTCTGATCATATTCATATAGATAATATGATTTCCTCTAATCAAGTTAATACCTTCCATATCCTTAACTTGTTTCTTATTTAAGGGAATAATTTTTACTTAAGTGACTAAACTGTTGTATTATAGAAGAATCTCTGCTTAAGATATATAAGAAAATGTCCTTCATATTCAAAGGTTTTGCTACTGATATACTAGCAGTTAGAAAATATATTTTAAGATTTTTTAAGTTTTTTTATTTTCAGGATAAATACTGAAAACAGTTTTCAGTATTTATAATAGATTTATTTTAAAAATCTACTTCACTCAGTCCTCTTGGAAACCAATAATCAACTTCTCCTTCCCTACCTCTCTCTGATTCTCTCTTTTTCCCTCTTTCTCCCTCCTTCCCCATCTATTACCTTCTCTGCTTACCTTCCTTTTTTTCTTCCTTAATAGATTTGGTGCAAATAGGTATGAAGTAGAAGATACAGCCTATTAAAGCAATTCTTTACTTCCTTTCAAACCTTTAATATTTATTCTCGTTCTCTTTTTTAAAAATTGTTGCCTTTTGGTTTACTTTAGTCTTTATCTCTCTTATGCCTTATGCTATCATAATTTTCTCTGCATGTGAACAAAATTCCTCAGTCATTTATTCACATTTTTGGAAAAAAATTCAATATAAAATAAAAGCACATTACAGAAAATCTGAGAACGCTATCATTTCTCAGTCTACAAGTGTGCGTTGAAAGAGCACTGTATGCCATGCTGGAGATATAGTGGTGACAGGGAAACTAATCATAAACTGGTAAATAGGGAAACAGATGATTCCAGATACTGATAAGTGATGTGATAAAAATAAAATGGGGAGATGTGATAGTGACTAGTGTATGTTTGTGAAAGTATGTGCATGTGCATCTGTATGTCTGCACATGTGTGCATATACATGTAGCAATACCCTCTTTCTTTTCTTTCTTTCTTTCTTTTTTTTTTTTTTTTTTTTTTTGAGACAGGCTCTCACTCTGTTGCCAAGGCTGGAGTGAAGTAAGTCACTGCAGCCTTGACCTCCCAGGCTTAAGCAATCTGCCCACCTCAGCCTCCTGAGTAGCTGAGACTACAGATGTGTGCCACCATGCCTAGCTAACTTTTTAATCTTTTTCTAGAGATAGAGTTTTGCCATGTTGCCTAGGCTGCTCTTGAACTACTGGGCTCAAGTAATCTGCCCGCCTTGGCCTCCCAAAGGGCTGGTATTACAAGCCCTAGCCACTGTGCTCAGCCCCAGACCCTTTCTAATGATACAACTTTTCTAATTTTGTTCAACATTTTTATACCTGTTTTACTATTCTAATTATATGGTCAGTCATTTATCCATAGTAGTACATTACAAAAATTATTAAAGTATAAAACATCGACCTGTTGAGCCCATTTGGTGGAAAGATATACTTGTTTCTTTTAGGTTTTTGTTTCATAGTAGGGTCTTTCAGCCTTGCTTCTTTCTGTCATCTTTTGCTCTTGCTTTTTTTTTTTTTTTTTTTTTTTTTTTAGAAATTTTAGATACACAAATGGAAAAAAAAGAGAAAAGTTTTATAAGTAATCATAAAAACACACAAAAATGAAAAGGAGTTAATAAAGCATATGTTTGTGAAACTGATATTATTTAACTTTATTGTAGAGGCAAACCAAATTTACTGGACATGGGCTCTTTGATGATCAAACCAATTCAACGTGTGATGAAATACCCTTTATTACTGTGCGAACTTCGGAATTCCACCCCTCCCTCTCACCCAGATTACAGAACACTGGATGATGCCTTTGCTGCTGTGAAGGACATTAATGTTAACATCAATGAACTTAAGAGAAGGAAAGATTTAGGTAGGAAGACACATGATGAATTGTTTGTTTTCCATTATTGGAGTGTTTGCTTTATGTTTCTGAGAATCAGAACATTTAAGTAGTTATAGCAGCTGCAGTGAACTGATCATTTGAAATCTAGAATTAGAAGCTGGGGAGAAGAAGGAGAAGATTAAGAGGCACAAAAAATGACATTCAAAAATAAATCAAACAGCCATATACTCAATCCCACTGTACCACTGCGCTCCTGGTGACATATTGTGGGCTGAAGACACCCATTGGATATAGTCCTCCTGTCACTGGAGATATGTGTGGTAAGACGGAGAGACAGCCAGTTGCAGTAGCAGTGGGAAGTAAATGCAGAAAGCATCTGGGAAAGGGGCAGATCATGATTGGGGGGCCATCTAGTATGTTGGATTCATCTGATTCTGGCACACAGAAAATGGAGTTTTGGGGGCAATAATTTCTCTACTCATGTGAGCAAGTATACTTCTTTCTAGAATTAACAAATTATTGTTAACTATTTGTAAGCTAAAATATAAAATTGGTGTTTAATGTAAAATTTCAAAACAGAAGGGATAATTACATGGTTCCTATACATCCCAGATAATGGTTCCTATAACCCCAGGGATAATTACATGGTTCCTATACATCCCAGAGGTAGTAATGCATTGAGCTAGGCTATGGGTCTCCTTCAGTGTGATGTATGTTCATATAAGTTCTTAGTTGGCGTTGTACTCCTAATATTAAATCTCAGTTTGACATTAAAGACATAGCAGGACTTTCAAGCTAACTGGTCCAATCACTTTATTCGTTTTTGTTTTATTTTCTGATACTTATTTTAAAAGTCATATATTTATATTAGTAAATTAAAAAGAAAGGTATAGAGAAAAAAGTAAATGTTATGGAGTAAAAATACTCGTGAACAAAATGAAGAGATAGTCCACAAAGGATTACTGTCCAGACTATATAATTATTGACATTAAATCAATAGAATTACATATTATATAAAAATCTTAACAATAAAAAGAAGTAATTTACAGTTTCAAAACTCTAAGCTCCATTTATACTCATGGAAATGTAATCTGACATACCATTTCCAGTCGAAGAAACTGGAGGAGGAAAAGTAATGAATAATGCTAAATGTTCAGTCTCAATCTACACATGAGAATGTACATTGGAATCAATAGTTTAGAGAGCAATTTCACAATATCTAGTAAAGTTGAAGATGCACAGACCAGGGACTCAAAAAATGAATTTCTAGGTATTTGCTCTAAAGAAACTCTTGCCCATGTGCTCAAAGAGAGATATACTGGTAACTAGCATTGTTCATAAATGCAAATAAAAAGGACATATTAATCCAGATATTGGATAAACTGCAGATACACTACAATACCATAAGAAGATAAAAATTAACTAAATAAAAGTATATGTATCAATGGGTTAATCTCAAAAACAGAATCTGGAGAGTTTTTGTTAAAGTAACTTTCCAAGTGGTAGAAAAATATGTGCAAGGTGATATTATTTTATAAAGTTTTAAAACATTCAAAATATATTGTACTATTCCAAACATCCACAATAAAGGCATTAAAATGGATACAGGTGTAATAAGCCCCATTATTTAGGATAACAATTCCCTTTAGGGATTAGACATGGAGATCAGGGATGTCTCAACTGTTTGGTGAAGTTTTTTTTTTTTAAAGACTGGGAACAAAGCAAAATGTAAGACTTGACAAAAATTTGGATAATGGCTGTTATATTATTCTCTATATTTTTCTGTTTGCTTAAACTATTTCAAAGTTTAAACTATCTTCAAAGTTTTGAAGAGTAAAATTCTTCCCTTCCCACCACGATTCCAGTTTGCATACCTAACATTTTATTGTTTTCTTCAGACATTCTGTCTTCTTTTCTCTTTATTTCTCTCTTTCTCTTTCTCTTCTGCTCCCTCTCTTCCATTTTCTTCTTTCCATCCTTCTTGCAACATACATGGTACTACATTTTGCTTTTGAAAAAATTATATATCATGAACATTCTTCCAATTAATATTATCTTCTTTTTAATCTTTCCACAGCACTTGATTTATGAATATATCATAATTTATTAAGCTATTCTTCTAAGGATAAACATTTAGATGTTCCTAATACTTTGCTGTTAGAAAAAGTGCTGTAGCCAATAAAACTTTGTATATTTGATTATGGAAAGCAGATTTCTCTGCATGAACTTCCTGGTAATAGACTATGAATATTTTCCTTTTTGTTAGTTTCTGCCAAATTGTTTTCTACAAAAATGTATTGGTTTAATCCTCATCAGCAGGATTCTGTAAGATTTCCCATCTCCCTACATCTTTACCAACACTAAATGTTAGAGATATTTAACGTTTTCAACAATATGAAAGGTGAAAATGATTGCAAAGATAAATATGTGAAACTCAAAGAGGTTATTCAGCTTGCCCCAAATCTCTCAGCCAGTGAAGGGCCATTCTAGGATCTGAGGTCTCCTTACACTGGGTACAGTTGTCTTTTTTTTTTTTTTTTTTTTTTGAGACAGAGTCTTGCTCTGTTGTCCAGGCTGGAGTGCAGTGGCGCAATCTCGGCTCACTGCAACCTCTATCTCCCGGGTTCAAGCAATTCTTCTGCCTCAGCCTCCTGAGTACCTGGGACTACAGGCACACACCACCACGTCAGGCTAATTTTTGTCTTTTTAGCAGAGATGGGGTTTCACCATGTTGGCCAGGCTAGTCTCAAGCTCCTGACCTCAGGTAACCCGTTGGTCTCGTCCTCCCAAAGTGTTGGCATTGCACGCGTGAGCCACCGTGCCCTACTAAGTTGTCTTTTCATTAGTTAGATCTTGATTCCCCATTCCAGAGGCCCCAGATAATAAATGTATTATCTGAGATGAGAGGGAGAGCTTTTTTCTAGTATCAGGGATTTCTTTAATATTGTAGATAAATAAAACTTGAGCCTTGAGGGGCTTTTGCCTTTGTTTCTGGAGGTCAGTGGGGTGGGTACCTGACTGGGACATGGCTGGGCAAAGGGGCTGGAGCATATGACCTCTGCAGCAGAGGCTCAAAAGTTATATACATCTTTATCTTGAATATAAATACTAATCTTGAAAACTTTGGGTGAAGTGCACACTTGCTATGCTGCATATGTTCAGCTATGTTATTACACTCTTCCTTTTCAGTTCTAAAATACAAGAAGAATGATGAGGATGAATCACTTAAAGACAAATTGTCTAAACTAAATATTCATTCAATTAGCAAGAAATCAAAAAGAGTGACAAATCATCTGAAGATTCTGACCAGAGGAGAATCACAGGTAATTTTTCTTTTTGGACCACCCACCTTTTCCCAGGGAACATGGATGCTGGTATTTTCGTGAGGTTTTCTTTTTTTTTTTTTTGGTGAGGATTATTTCTAGAATACTGAGAATCAAGGTAATTGTCCTATGCTGTTCTCTCTCTCTCTCCCTCTCTCTCTCTCTCCCCCCCACCACACTTTCTGGAAAATAGGGATGGAAGTGGGAATGGGATTGACACTGTCTTAGTTGTGGTGTTTCTACTCAAGAAACAGACAAAGAAGAGATATGGACATATGACGTGGGACATAAAGTTGCTCCAGGAGTTCCGACATTCACCGTCAACTAACACACATTCTCCCTCAAGGCAATGCCCTCTTCCATCCTGATTTACTTCTGTTCTTAAAAGTTGTACTTTTCTTTAGAGTTCCCTTGGTATTCCTTTTATCATTATTTCATCTATAAAAACAAAGTGTTTAGAGGCATAACTTAGTGCAATTTTTTTCCTACTCCTTATCCCCTTCCTGTTCCCTTACTCCCCAGATGCACATTATATTAGTGAGTAACAGTCCTGTGTCAGCTGTTTAACCTCGCTTGAGCCACTTTCATCCCAATCCCTAGTAAATAATGGATGGATTAGCAAAATGTCTTAAACTTTAATGGGCATTAAGAATTACCTGAAAAGCTTTCTGAAAGACAGATTCTAGGGTTCCACCTGCCTCAAGGGTGCAATCTAGAAGTCTGTATTTTTGCAAACACTCTAGGTTCTCTGAAGTCAATGATCTTAAAGTAAGTTATCAATGGAACACACTTGCAATTCTTTGAGAATAACAAGATACAAAGTTCATGGTCCTGAGATAGTAATACAATGGGCTTCTAACCAAAGTTAGTGAGGCTAGCTCTTAGTACACTATATAGCCGTTATTTTTTTCTTCTCATTTGCCTGTTTTTGTCACTCACATGTTAATATCTCTAAGATTTTTGGTTTAAACAAGAGGTGTCTGTATGGTGGTACATGTTGGTTTCAGATGGCTTATGGTAGCTGCTGTGGTCTTTTCTCTTTTTTCTATTAAGTCGTTGCAGCTTTCTTACCACTTAGGTAGAAGCAGCCCTTTCATCCTTTGGAAGGGGCTAAGACTCTGTATTTTAATCTTGACACTATTCATATTTTCAGGAGTCAGCACAGAGAAGAAATTAAGAAAAACATATTTGATGTTATCCAAACCTGGGCTTAAACCCTACCTCTGCCACTTAGTAAATATTTGTTTGGGGGCACGTAACAATTTTAATGTAATCATGTGTAAATTTGGATTCTCCTAGTACTTAACAAATGGGATGGTTGTGAGGATTAAATGAGATGATGTATATATAAAGGAAGCACGTAACATGGTGTGTAAGCACTCAATATACTTTGGCTGTCATTATTATCATAAATATCATCATTATTATTTAATATCATCACCTTGTATGGTTATTTACCTTCAAATGTGCAGACTTTTCCTATGTGATGTAAAGTCCTTCATACATGGTGTATTAATCATATTTTTTTTTTACTTTCTGTATTTTATAATGTTTTGACATTTTAAAATACCTCTCTGGCTGAGCAGAGACTGCTCTGTAGGGGTAGCCAATTCTTAGGGATGGCAAATGGCTAGAACACAACTTTTATATGCAAACCAATCAATCTTGATCCTATAGCTTTAACCATATCCTTATTTAACTCTTATACACAAAGCCAATATCTCACCTGCCCTAGATTATCCCAGAGCCCAGTACCAGCAACTAGAGATTACCCCTATATCCCAAAGCCCATTGGAGTTATTTAAAATAGCCAATCCTAAACTGTTTACTCTGCCCCTGCCTTGCGTTTTCCAAGGAAATCCCAACAGAGGTTCTGGTTTAGACATTCTCTTTACTCCTATGTTCTGCCACTGCGTGGCATGTGATGACTCCTCTCTCTGGGACCTGTGAGTATAATAAACTTCCTCCTTCCAAGCCTTGTTCTTGTTTCCTCTTGTGACTGAATTTACCAAAATGTATATTCTTAGAACACAAGGCAGGAATTACTATTGTATTTACTTCTTTATATCCTTCTAGGGGCTAACTGGGTCCACTGCATGTAAAAGGCTCCTCTTCTCAATGTGAAACTGTAATGTAAGAAGTTTGGGACATTTATGGGATGTGCTCACAGATCAGAGAAAGGGCAATGAAGACATTTCAACTAGAGACAATCATATTAAAATCAAATTGGAAATTTATTTGAGAAGCCCCTATAGGCATGTGTAAATGCAATGCAAACAATTCTTCCCCAGTCTTTGGGATTTTGCTTCTGACTCAGGACAATTCCATTAAGGAAAAATAGGCAGGCTCTAATTCTTGGCAGGCTTTTGAATAAGTTGTTATATTATTTAACATATTTATCATCAGCTTCTTATATTTTTCAATTGTGAACTAAAAGTGAATTATAGTTAAAATAGCCTGAAGGGATATTAATTAGATTTTTCTCCTTAATCTTTTGAGAGGATGTCCTTTCAGCAATGAAGCATGTTACTGTTAATCAGAAAATCAGCTGCATAGGCTGGGCTGGAAAAGAGATCAATCTCAAATCAATCAATTTTGCACTTGTCAGAAGCTCAAGTGAAATATTGGTAGAGTTAGGGTATAAAGCTATTACCCAAGAGGAAGATTCTATTCAATTCATCATACATATATTGAACTCTCTTGTACCCAGCGCCATGTTACAGATTGGGAATACAAAGATGAACAAGTGTAGGTTTTGAATTCAGGCTGTTTTGCCTTGAATCCTGATCCTATTACACCATCTGTAGTTTCTTTAACTCCCCATATTAACTAGGGTAAAGGCCACATATCTGTCACAAAGAGATTCCAAAGGCATAAGAGCCTAAATCAGGTAGTTATTTATTTCTCTCTCTCTCTTTTACTCTTTATTTTTTTTAGAGACAGGGTCTTGCTCTGTTGCCCAAGCTGGACTAGAGTGCAGTGCCAAGATCACAACGCACTGCAGCCTCAAACTCCTGGGCTCTAGCAATCTTCTCACCTTAGCCTCTCAAGTAGCTCAGACTACAGGCAGGTGCCGCCGCTCCCTCCTCGCCTCTCTCTCTCTCTTTTAAGAGTCCTGAGATGTGAATCCAAATGAGCTCTGCTTCAAAAGATCCTTCAGGAACCCAGTTCCCCCAGTGATTTTTCTTAACACATTGTCTTCATCTGTCTGGTTGAAGCTGAATTCATGCCATGTCTTCTTTCAATGTTATAAGGCCAAAACTCAGACATGAAAAACAAGGCTTCATCCATAACCTATATGCACAAACCCGGTTACCAGGGCAGAGCCAGCTGCAAGGGTGTCTGGGAAATGTAGTCTCTAGCAGGGCAGCCAAGTGTCCAGTTTGAACTAGAGCTGTGGATTCTGTCAGTAAAGGGACAGCAGGAGGAATGTTAACCATCTCTGCCACATCCCCTAAAGCTTCTGTTTCTTTATCTCTAAAATGGGAGTAATCATAATTCCATTATATATATGTAAGGATTACAATGAGTAAATGGAAGAAAGGTGTTGGCAGTGTCTGGAACGTAGTAAGTATTTAACACAGGTTCACTATTATTTTCACTGAAACAACAATACTTAATCTAAAACAACCAAAATCCATCAGCAGAGAGACTCACTTAAATCATTAACCAGGATCATGATAGCCCATAGGAGGGAGCACTTAATTTTCTACAGTGGGAAGAATAGGAGAAGGCAGAGGATTTACAGAATGAGTGACATCTGAACTAGTCCTTAAAAATAAACAGGATTTTGCAAGGCAGGAAATGAACAACAGCATATTCCAGCAAAAGAAAACAGCATGGAAAAGGCTTGCTTATAGGAAAGTAGAATTGGGCAATATTTCTCAGTGTGATTCTTGAGCCTTCTACTTTAGAATCATCTGGGTCCCAGCCAAGATATACAAGACAAAATATCTGGTGATGGCTTCTTGGAAACTGCATTTTTAAAAATCTGCCCCATATATTGTTATACACACCAGACTGAGTTGGAGCATAGCAACCCTAAGGCAGAGGGTGTTGGATTTTGTGGGGATTCCAAAGAACTCTGCTGCCTATTTAATCAAAAGCTTTCCAGACAAACAATATTAAGAAGTTTAAAAATAAAATGTCACAATTTTTGATCCATTTGGTTCTAATGTCAACCACCTTAAATTTAAAATTATACGAACCAAGAACAGTAATGGTTGTCACCCAGTGACAAACTTAATAATACACACCCTATTCCATGAAGCATTTGCATGTTCACACAGATTTTGCCAGCATCAGGCTGGTTCTGATCTTGTTTTGTAGCCATTTTGATTGCCAAGAAATACTCTTTGCTATTAATAGCAATAATAAACGTGTGCTCCTAGAAATTGCTACAGCATAAAAAGCATGTTTTTCTGAATTCTAATGGATATACACGTAAGATGACAAAAAATAACTGAACACGTGTGACCACTATCTTAACTCTGCTGAGTTATCTTAACAGAAGGACTATTTTTGCTAAGATTATATATTATCCTTCAAATTTGAATTGATAAAGAATTTTCACATTTCTTTAACCATGAATCTAAGAATTTTTACAAATAAGCACTGTGAAATAAATTGGAATGAGTCATATGAACAAAACAGTAAGTTCCAGCCAATAGATCAAATGTAGCTATTTTATTAACCCCAAAATGTAATATAATTTGAGTATATACCCAGTATATGCCATTAAAACTACAGAGAAAGTTTTATAATCCCACAGCTATTATGACATGGGTGAAGCTATGTGAAAATTAACAACAGCAATTTGAGCTACAGGACTTGGCTTTGCTACACTAATTGAACATCAATTGTGCTATGTATCAACAGAAAAAGTATGTGTTAAGACAGACAGCGTATCATCAAATGTTTTCATATCAACAAAGAATTTTCTTTTGTCATGTGCTGGACCAATATGGTCTGCGCTTTTTTAAAAAAAATCCATTTCATTTGAGTTATGAAAATAATTTCACATATGTTTTAGGTTAAAGACAATACCTTTAACAGAGAAGAAAAGCTATTTAGATCTTTAGAAAAGACTGTGAGGCATTGTGTGAAGAACATTTCACTCTGTCTTCAACACATACAGGTAGGTGAGACACAACTGTTTTCAATGTTCTACAGGAACATCTGATACAATGCATTGATTTCCATGGTTATTTTGAAGAGTAAGTGTGATTGTTCCTTCCTTTATTTTGTGACACTGGATCAAAATTGGAAAGCTGAAAAGTGCTGGTAAAGGAAGCAAATATAAAGAGGCATTTTGCCGTTTGACCCCTTACCTGCTCCACCATCTCCCTAGTCCAAATAGCCATATTGTGGGACTCTTTCGTTCAGATGATTGCCTTGTGGACTATCAGTATGCTTTCTTTATAACAGAAATAAGTTCATTAACACAGAATTGCATGAGACAGAAAATTTGTTTGATTGTACTAACACATCTCTTTCTAGTATCTAAAATAAATATAAAAATCAATGTAAAGAAAAATAAATTGAACTATTAACAATAATATGCAAATGCTCCCATGAGATTATGTTAGAAAACAGAAATACTCCCAGAAATTACCAGTCCCATAAGAGGTTGTCCTAACTCTTTGAGAATCACTGATTTCAACCAGCCAATTCAAGTACAGTATAATTCTGCTCAGTAGAAAACCAGTCAGAGGTTTCTTCTAATGGATCTCATAAACAGGAAGCTGTCCTTCATGCCACTTTGACAATGGCTATGACCGTGAGACTTAGAAAGTTAGTAGTGTTACATGTAAATCAGTTACTAAATGGTCCCCTTCTATATTCCAGAAGTTTTTCTCTTGGATATCTGTTTCTGGAAGCAGATATTTGCACTCTTCGACAAAATATCCATAATAATTTGGAGACAAGTTACATAAGAACAGGTACTATTCTGTTCTTATTTATTATCTGATACAAAGCCTGATTTTACGATCAGACTTGCTATTTTCTTCCTAAAGTGCTGCCTTCTTTGAAAAGAAAACCAAAAACAGCCAGAGAGTAGTGGGAACCCTGTCCTTTATGTATCTTTCAAGGAGTAAATGTCTCTTGGGAACATCTACAGGGAAGTCTTTTAGTTCCACTAATGGATTCAACAAAAAATGTGAGCATCTTCTCTTAAAGAGAATATTAAATTTTCTAAAGAAAACTGACGAATCAAAGAGGAATGATTTTAAAAATAAGGAATATGTGAGAATTGCAAGCTAAAGAATAGCTAATGAGGGAATTTTAAATGGACGATGTTTAATCAAAGAGGGTTGTATACAAAGTACTATGAGAAAGTGACATAAGGAAAATGTAAGGAAATACATTCTTCCAAGCAACCTGATTGTACAGAGTATTTATAAAATTTTCATTGTTCCTTTTTTTTAAAAAAAAAAGTCTCAGTGATAATTATGGGTTATGCTGATGAAGTCCACATTAATTATACTGACCTCAGAACCTGCCATTTTTGTAACTTTGTTCTTGGGTTTCAGGATGCCATGCCCTTGGCTCTGCAGAGTGTAATGGACCTTCAGGAGATTTCACACAACAAAGATGACAAGATGGGCTATTCTGAGACCCTAAATAATGCCTTAAACCCATGTCATGACTTTGTAAGTTATTTATATTCACAGATAAATGCAAATTAAATAGTGAGGTTGAAAGGAAAGCTGCTTTTCGTTTATTTTTCTGGAGTCAGAAATAAAACATGCACTAAAGCAAATACTAATGTCAAAATTAGTATATTTAAGCAGGGGATTTTTTAAATCATTAAATATTTTTAAAGTGAATTAGTGAGGATTTTACTATGATGGAAATTTAAGATGACCACAGACTGTGTTTCTAGAGGTAGCCAGTGTCAGTGCAGCTTTTAAAATCAATATTTAGTCTAGCCTACATGTGAAATATTAAGACTTTATTAAGTTAGAAAGCTATGCTTTTTTTTTTCTTTTTTCTTTTTTCTGGGACAGGGTCTGGCTCTGTTGCCCATCCTGGAATGCAGTGGAACAATCTCAGCTCACTGCAACCTCTGCCTCCTGGGTTTAAGCAATCCTCTCTCCTCAGCCTCTCAAATAGCTGGAATGGCAGGGGCACATCACCACACCTAGAAGATTTTTTGCATTTTTTGTAGAGGCAGAGTTTCACCATGTCGCCCAGGCTGGTCTCCAACTCCTGGGCTCAAGCAAGCTATGCTTTTCTTAAACAAGTCTCCGGAAATGCCCTGCGTCCTTAAAGAAGGAGCAAAGGTACTCTCTACGGATATGACACTTATTAACACACTATACACTGGAAAGCAAAGCCTTCCTATTGACAAAGACTTTTATTTAAGAGTCATATGTTATATCTTTTGTTCCATGGTAAAATATTTATTTTCTAAAAGTTCCATAAAATATATCTTGCGTATCATAAAAACATGCTTGAGCCAGTAACACATTTTAGTAGTAAGCTACTCTGGATATTAATTTTAATTTAGTGCCTTATGTTTCCATAGGTATTATTATTTCATAGTAGTATATCAAGTTATATAGAAGATATAATAGACTGATCATCTTAAAAGTGGCATTTTCATTGGCATTATAGGCATTTGGGGTAAGACAAATCTTCATGGAGTGGCCCTTTTGTTGGAGGATGTTTAACATTTTTGGCCCACCAGGCTCAAAATCTCAGTGACATCCCCCCACATCAAGACATTGTGACAACCAATGAAGAGCCCCACATACTTCCAAACCCTAGGAAGTCATACAGCTCCCAATCTAGTAGAAAAACTATGCAGAAGCATTTTGCTTCTCTGGCACTGCAGAATGGAAAGTCAGGCTTACATCTGAGCTAATATGATAGAGAAACAGGTCAATCACAGATGGATGGATGGATGGATGGATACAAACAGTGATGGTGATGATGAGATAGATAGATTCATGTTTTTACAGTATATCTTTAATGGAAACGGTGTGGCTAGTTCTTTATGTATTTTCTGCATTTAATTACAGAAAGCACACATTCTAGAGAAGTCTTTTTTTTTTTTTGAGACGGAGTTTCACTCTTGTTACCCAGGCTGGAGTGCAATGGCGCGATCTTGGCTCACCACAACCTCCACCTCCTGCCTCAGGAGGTTCAGGCAATTCTCCTGCCTCAACCTCCTGAGTAGCTGGGATTACAGGCACCCCCCACCACGCCCAGCTAATGTTTTGTATTTTTAGTAGAGACGGGGTTTCACCATGTTGACCAGGATGGTCTCGATCTCTTGACCTCGTGATCCACCCGCCTCAGCCTCCCAAAGTGCTGGGATTATAGGTTTGAGCCACCGCGCCCGGCTCTAGAGAAGTCTTTAAAAGTTTGCTCTTTAGCTTAATTCTAATACATTAATATATATTTATTGAGTACCTCCTGAAAGCCTGGTACGTAGCTCCTCCCTCAGCAAGCTTGCTCCAGACTTTGACAGCAAGAAGAGAGAAGGTGTCCCGCATACCTTGCATAAAACCACAAGATGATTAATTAGGCTAAGTTAAATTAATTGCAAGAAAGCTCAATATGAAAGTAACTTTTATGGATAACATATATAAAATTCTTTTTAAAAATCAAATATTAAGGACTCAAAATATATCTAAAGTCAGAGCAGTTGTTCTTATCTAACCATGAGTGATATATATCTACACATTTTGTTAGGACAAAATATTAAAATCTAATTCTTATTTGTTCTAAATACAATTCCTATGTAAAGGTGAATCACTTTATGTCTATGAGTCACTGGATATATATATATATATATATATATATATATATATACATATATAATAATTATATTGTAATACTGTAATTAGATTACCTGTAGAATCTAGTCAAGTCACAAACACAGTAATTTATCCCAGATATGGTAAATAGATTCTTTGCCTATCAAGGGATTCATTAAACAGTCTGTAGGTGTATATTATCTCATAAGCTAGACATCAAATCTAATTTGTGTTGGCTATTTCTGGTGCCAATAAAAGATTGGTTTCCCTCTCTTCTAGATTTCTCATGAGTTCACACAATGTTACCAGGGGCCATTTAAGTTAACTAATATAAGCTGCTGCTCAGACATTGATTCTCTAGGACATCTTTTCGGTTACAAAAGAGAAACCTACTTCCAAATTATCATAAAATAATCATGTAACCCAAACATATATGATAAAGTGTAAAATAGGGCAGTCAGCAAACATAAAATAGAAGAGAAATAGAAGAAATTAAATCTAGGATGATCAGGTTATCTCATGAAGTTGGGCGGTTATATGAAGTTCATTTTCAGTGATTCAGACCAAAAAGTGTAAACAGTTTAAGACACAGAAACAGCAACAGCTTCATCCTTTAATGTATTTTAAACAGACCTTATAGGTCAAGGTGACAGGATTGTTTCAGCCTAGATATTCAAGAACATCCTGGGCAATAGAGACCATACCTCTACAAAATATTTTTAAAATTAGCTAAGCATGGTGGCACATTCCTGTAGTTTCAGCTATTCGGGAGGCTGAGGTGGGAGGATGGCTTGAGTGGAGGCTGCAGTGAGCTGAGAAAGAGTCACTGCACTCCAGCCTGGGTGACAGACAGAGTGAGACCCTGTCTCAAAATTAATTAAATAAATAAATAAAAATAAAACAAGTTATAACTCTGTGGTCATTTCTGTCTCAAGATTAAAATACCTTTATTAAAGGGTTACTATCTCTGTAGAGGATATAATTCCACTACCAAAAATAAGCCTCCAGGGTAGTCAGGGATTTGGGGCTGATATGGGAAGAATAGGGTACAGTCTTCTATGGACTAGGGATATGGACTATATTCCTTTTGCTGTCAGCAAAAGGTGGGAGTGATATTGTGAATCTTTCACACAGTCTTGGTAGTCAACGGCTAGAGATCCTCCCTTCCCCCAAGAGCTGGCTCTGGGATGAGAAAGAAGTGGAATGAAAAACTGTTGAAGGAGATGACAATGACAAAATGAAAGGCTGTAGAGAAAAATGTAGAGTTATATTTTGGATGAGCTGGCTTTAACTTTTGTATTCCTCTTCCTGCTCACTTTTTTCAATGTTACAATCTAGAGCCCCTGTTTTAAGTCTTTGAGTAGGTTTAGATAGACACAAAAATGATCAGATCCTCTTTTAACGTGGCTAGATGTGTTCCTGTTTTCTTTTGTGCTTCTCGTTGGAGAAAAGGTAAGCCTATGGAAAACAGCACTGGACAAGGTATAGGCTGATCGTCTCTCTGAAATGGGCTCATTTTTTCTTTTGACAGGCATCTCACTTACAGAGACTCACCCTGACCCCTTTGTCAGCCCTGCTGTCCTTATTCCCAGGGCCACACAAGCTCATCCAGAAACGCTATGACAAACTGCTGGACTACAACAGCTACCTGCAGCGATCAGCAGGAGATGAGTCAGACTTGGCCAAAAAGGAGTATGAGGCCCTCAATGCCCAGCTTGTGGAAGAGCTCCAGACATTCAACCAGGCTGCTGGGAGGATTCTGTCGAACTGTCTGTGCAGCTTCATCACCCTCCTTAGGGACCTGATGCTCGTGGCACAGCAGGCTTACTCCACACTTGTGCCGGTAAGCGCACCACGAACACCCAGCTACCTTGGCCTATCGGATCTGCTAGAAATCACACCCATGCAAAAGCCCCGTTGAGAGTGTGCATATGTGTGCAGTGTGGTGTGTGTGTGTATTTATTTTACCTAAAACCAGTCAGATACTCTCCTGCTCCTTATCTGTCTTTTCCATGGGGAGCTCAAAGAGGGTTTCCTAGTTCAGGTTTACTGTGACTTACATATTTGTAGTTCTTTTTTGGAAATTCCTTTTCAAATGCCAAACACCTTTCAGTCTTGCACCACATGTCTGATGCAACATTGAAGCTTATCAACAATTTATATTCTGTACTTCTTCCTGATCAATAGTTCTTAGATGTTAACTACGACTATTTAAGATGTGGCTCTAATAAAAAGGCCATCTAAGTATAATGAAAGATGCAGGATAACTTTCAAACCATGCTTTGTTTTGATTTCATTTTTCCCCAAGAAGGAGAAGCCTGGTTATGTGTGTGTGTCTATGCGTGCACGTGCATGTTTACATGCACGTATGTGCGCATGTGTGTGTGCGTGTGTGTAGCTTAGCCTCCCATTAGGATATAATTTTATAATTATATTCCTAATGAGGAAGAAAGATATTTACAACTCATATCAACTTTGAAAAAAATAAGCTTGGTTTCTTGGCCTTACATTTCAAGCACACTAGTTATCACCTGAATGAGATGGTTAGCTATTCAATGGGTAACACCTGGAGCAGAATTAATTGTCCCTACTCTATTTTCTACTGTATATTAATTAACTTTTAACTTATACTTTGAATTAAATTAAATTGAATAAACAAGGGCTATGTTTACAGGTTCAAAAGTCAAAACTATGTAAATGTATAATCAGTCTCACACTCATACCTGTTCCTCTACCATTCCATCCCCCATTCCCATCCCCATTTTTATTAGTTTATTTTTATCCATTTAGGGCTTTCTCATGCCAGTAACAATAAATGCAAATATATATTTTTATTTCCTAAAAGCAAAAAACAAAACAGCATATTATAAATACCATTCTGCAACTTGCTTTTTAACAATATATTCTGAGGATGCACCTATGATAGTACATAGAGAGCTTCCTTATTCTTTTTAAAGCTTTATAGCAACTTATTGCATGGCTGTATAATAATGTATAACCAGTCCTGTATTTTTTAAATAACAACTTAATTGTGATATAATTTACATGCCATACATTCCATCTATTTAAAGTATACAATTTGATGATTTTTAGTATATTCACAAGAGTTGTGCAACCATTGCCACAATCAATTTTAGACCATTGTCATAACCCCCTAAAGGAACCCTGTACCCATCCACATTTTTTTCCCAATCTCCCCAGCTTTAGGCAACGATCAATTTACTTTCTGCCTCTACAGATTTGCTCATTCTGGACATTTTGTATAAATGAAATTATACAGTATATGATTCTTTGTGACAGGCTTCTTCTATTTAGCATAATGTTTCAAGGTTCATTCATGCCATAGCATGTTTCAGTACTTCATTATTTTAATTGTCAAATAATATTCCATTGTATGGATATACTACACTTTACTTATTCATTCATCAGTTGATGGGCATTTGAGTTATTTCCACCTTTTGGCTGTTGTAAATAATGCTTCTATAAACATTCAGGTTTTTAGTAGATATATGTTCTCATTTCTCTTGGGTACTCTATATACCTAGGAGTGGAATTTCTGGATCATATGTTAACTCCATGTTTAACCTTTTGAAAAACTACCAGACTATTTTCTGAAGTGGCTGCATTATTTTACCCCCTCAGCAGTATAGGCTGAGAGCTTCAATTTCTCCACGTATCTTTATTATTATTATTACTATTATTATTATAGCTGTCCTAATGGGTGTGAAGTGATATCTCACTGTGGTTTTTATTTGTATTTCCCTGATCCGCACTCTGTTTTAAAACTTATTAAATTGAAGTAATAACTTATATACATTAAACTGCACCAGCCTGAGCTGCACATCTCAGTTAATATTTGCATATATACATCTGTGTAGCCACCACCCAGATCAAGATACAACCCCTTTTAAGTTCCCATAAAGATCACGCATGACCATTCCCAGGCACCTAAAGGTAACCATTTTTCTAACCTGTACTACCATAGATTGTTTGACCTGTTTTGTACTTCATATAAATGGAATGATACAATATGTATTCTTTTTTGCATTAACCTGTCCCTATTGTTCATGTCTTTTCTTTTGATGAGTATTTGAGCTATTTCCAAACTTTTTCTATTACAAATAATGCTGGGATCATGATACGTGGGCAGATGTAGTTGTAGCACAGATTTATAGAAGTGATAGAAGTGGGATCTCTGTGTTAAAGGGTAAAGACTTACGTAATTTTGCTAGATATTGCCAAATTCCCTCCTTAACTATGTACCATTTTGGATCCCCACTTGAAACACATGAGAAAGCTGGTTTCTCTGGATTTTTGCCAATCTAATAGGTTTCAAATATAATTTTAATTTGCATTTCTTTAAGTATTAGTGAGATTGAGACTCTTCACATTTGAGGGCTCTTTACATTTATCTTCCTGTGAGTTCGTTGTTCATGTCTTTTACTCCTTTTTCTTTGGGTTCTTGATATTTTTCTCCTCAGTTTCTAGCAGTAATGTATGTGCTAGGGAGATGATCCTTTTGTTGAGATATAAACTGAGACTACTTTTTCCAAGCTCCCATTTGTCTTTGACTTCACTTGTGATTTTTTTTGATGCTGCTTGTTTTTTAAAAATATATAGTCAAATTTATTAATTTCATTTTATGGCTTCTAGATTTTGAATCTTATAAAGGACTTCCATATTTTGAGGCTCCAAATAAATTCAGCAGTGTTTCCTCTGGTATGGTTAGGGTTTCATATTTTTTATTTAAATCTTCAATCCATGTAGATTTTATCCTGATTTATGTTGTAAAACGTGGATTTAATTTTATCTTTTTCCACATGACTTTCCAGTTGCCCCAACACTATTTATTTAAAAATTACTTCTTGTTACTACTTTCTCAATGAAACTAATTTAATTTGCAAATTATTCTGAGGTCATGGTAGGAGGTGGGTTCATAAGTTCAGGACAAAGTCGAGCTTTGGCAGGAATTCACTAGTCAGAAAAGACGTTATTTTAGGTATCTTTGATCCCCACTTTGAATCATGTGATTTTTAAAGGCATCTTCAGTTTCTATTTTAAACAATCTGAGTATCATTCACATTGCAGTCCATAGCAGAACAAGAGCATAGAGATGCTTTGTTTTTGAAAAATTACCAGTGTCTTAAAGTAAAAGGCATTTTGGAGAAGTTATCCTCATTAAAATTATTTTATTCTATATTTTATATGTAATATATATATTTAAACTTTTTATTTTGTGATACTTATAGATCCATATGCAGTTGTAAGAAGTAATACAGAGATCCTGTACAGCCCTCACACAGCTTACCCAATGATAACACATCTTGCATAACTACATGTATAATGATTAGAGAACACTAGAGTACCTTGTTTTAATACCTGCTCATTGCCATATTACATTGGATAAATTAATGTATCCTTCTGTTTAAATTTTCTCATATGAACTAAAGCGAGAATAATAATGTATATAATTTTAAATTTTTTAATTGTATAAAAAATAACACAATTTACCATCATAAGAATTTTTAAGTGTACAGTTCAGTGGTGTTAAGTATACTTATATTTTTGCATAATAGCTCTCCAAAACATTTTCATCTTGCAAAACTGAAACTATATTCATTAAACAAATACCCATGCTCCCTCCCCCAAGTCCCTGGCAACCATCATTCTACTTTCTGTTTCTACAAATTTGACTACTTTAAATACCTCATGCAAATGGAATCATACAGTGTTTGTATCTCTGACTGCCTTATTTTACTTAACATAATGTCCTCAAGATTCATTCATGTTGTAGCATGCAATAGGATTTCTTTCATTTTTAAATCTGAATATTTCACTGTGTATAAAAAACACATTTTGGGCTGGATGTGGTGGCTCATGCCTGTAATCCCAGCGCTTTGGGAGGCTGAGGCGGGGGGATCACTTGAGACCAGGAGTTTAAGACTAATCTGGCCAACATGGTGAAACCCTGTCTCTACTAAAAATACAAAAACTAACCGGGTGTGGTGGCACACGCCTATAATCCCAGCTACTCAGGAGGCTGAGGTGGGAGAATCACCTGAACCTGGGGGGTGGAAGTTGCAGTGAACCGAGATGGTGCTACTACACTACAGTCTGGGTGACAGAGCGAGACTCTGTCTCAAAAACCAAAACCAAAACCAAAACAAAACAAAATAAAACAACACATTTCGTTTATCTACTCATCTGTCAGTGATCATTTGGTTGCTTTTATCTCTTGGCAATTGTGAATAATGCTGTAATGACCGCAGGTGTAAAAATATCTCTCCAAGATTCTGCTATCAATTATTTTAGATATATACCCACAAGTGAGATTGCTGAATCATATGGTAATTCTATTTTTAATTTTTTGAAGAATTCAAAGGTCTATTTTTAAATTTCATTTTTATTACTGTTATGCATGCACATATTAAAGTATTCAGGCTTGATGAAGAAAAACAATTGTCCTTCACTCTCTCCCTTCATTCCATTTCTCCTGCCTCAGTAGTAACTACTTTCCAACTCTTTTAGATGATTCTCTTGGTATTTACCTTCATATTTTAAAATAATACTCTTGTGTTGTCATTTCATTATTATTACATTTTAGGTATAATACATTCCACTATGAAAAATGAGGATTTAGCTCTCTCTTCTCTCTATACCGTCACATCTTCTATAGTCAGACATATTCTTTCTATTCCCCCCTTCAATGCAGTTGTATCATAATTTGGTTGAGTTCATATTCAGTGTGTAAAGTATATGATTTATGTATTAGTCATGATTCCAGTAGGAAAAACATAATGTACTCAAGTTAGGCATCTGGAGAAAATTTTAATAGAGAAACTATTTATAAAAATGTGAGTATGGTACAGGAAAACCTTTAGAAATAGTGCCACTCCCTGGGCAGGAATATGGGTTGCAGGTACAACATCTAGGTTTAAAGAAATATGGGGAGGGACCAGTCATAGCAATGTGTAGAGAGAGAGGTGCGTGAAGAGGGTGACTTGATAGGAGCTGTGTTTCTGTCAATACTATAGAAAGAAAAATGAGAAAATAAATATCCTTATCTCATTTTCTTCCCCCATTCTAATTTCCTACAGGTGCTCCTCATTGATGGATTGATTGAATCCATTGGAAGCCAGAGAGCAAGAAAGCTGTTGTGTATTTTTTTTTCTTTGTTCCTTTTTTGGTTGTTGTTCGTTTGTTTTGAGACAGGGTCTCACTCTGTCACCTAGGCTGGAGTGCCGTGGTGTGATTATAGAGCTCACTGCAGCCTCAACTTCCTGGGTCCAGGCATGGTAGTAAATGCCTGTAGTTCAGCTAATCAGGAAGCTAAGGCCAGAAAATCACTTGAGCCCTGGAGTTCAAGATCAGCCTAGGCAACTGGTCACCACTAAATTTTTTTTTTTTTTTTTTTTTTTTTTTTTTTTGAGACAGAGTCTTACTGTGTCACCAGGCTGGAGAACAGTGGCACGATCTCGGCTCACTGCAATCTCAGACTCCCTGGCTCAAGCAGTTCTCCTGCCTCAGCCACCAAAGGAGCTGGGATCACAGGCACACACCACCTCACTGGGCTATTTTTTTTTAATTTTCAATAGCAGGCCAGGTGCGGTGGCATGAGCCTGTAATTCTAGCACTTTGGAAGGCCAAGGCAGGTGGATCACGAGGTCAGGAGATAGAGACCATCCTGGCCAACATGGTGAAATCCTGTCTCTACTTTACAAAAAAAAAAAATTAGCTGGGTGTAGCGGTATGTGCCTGTAATCCCAGCTACTCAGGAGGCTGAGGCAGGAGAATTGCTTGAACCAGGGGTTGGAGGTTGCAGTGAGCCGAGATCTTGCCACTGTACTCCAGCATGGTAACAGAGTAAGACACTGTCTCAAACATAAAAATTAAAAAAAATTTAGTAGAGACCAGTTGCCTCGGCTGATCTTGAACTCCGGGACTCAAGTGATTTTCTGGCCTCAGCTTCCTGATTAGCTGAACTACAGGCATATACTACCATACTTGGCTATGATTTAAAATTTTTTTGAGAGACAGGATCTTGCTACATTGCCTGGGCTGTTCTAAACTCTTGGACACAAACAATCCTCTTACCTCAGCCTCCCTTTTGGCTGTGATTACAGGTGTGAGCCACCATGCCAGGCTTATGCAGTTTTTGAGGGGTGAGGATGTAAACTCCATTTCTTTATAGGAAGCAATGTTGAAGAATTTGTTTTAAAACCAGCACAGCCTCTTAATCAGTGCTCCCTCTTTTAGCTGCTTTCTCCTTGCCACCATCCTACCCACCATAAGGGAGGTACCTACTACCATGACCTCCTGAGCTTTTCTTCCAAGACTTTATTGCTATTTTTTCTCTTCTGATCTTTTACTTAGACTTGAAACTTAAAATTATTTTTATCATGTTTGCCGGGTTTCTAGAGACAGTAAATTAGACCATATTTATCTAGAAGTTCTAAAGTTGCCCTAACTTCTCACAATGGAACTATCATACATCTACTCAACTGTTCATCACAACTCAATAAATTTAACACCTGATATGATTATCTAGTTGTCTGGAAACAATGCCATATTATTTCTACTTATAGGTGCCACTGTTGGTTTCAAGCGTTTCTGAGATTCAGAATCGAGTACTAGAAGAGGTTCAAAATTTGAATTGTGTAAAAGACAACAGTGCCACCTTTATTGAGAGGAAACTCAGTTTTGAAAAGAAGAAGCCTGTGCATATTCTGGTGAGTTTGGCAGCATTCATGACAGTGATGACTTTCACTTCTTTGCCTCGTCCAAGTCGTAGTATCATATTATTTTCCATATCACTTACCTCATTCTAATATCCTGTAATTTACATATGTGTAGAATTTCTTGTACATTTCTATCCTCTATACCATAAGCTTCATAAGATCATGGATTTTTTTTCTGCTTTGTACATGATGCATCCCCAAAGTGCCTACAATGGTGCTTGTCACAATGTAGGAGACACTCAATAAATATTTGTTGAATAAGATTTTATAGAGATAAATCATATAGGCCAGCCCTTTCCTTTTCTACATAAGGCATATTAGGCTCCAGAGATAAGTGGCTTTCTCAAAGTCTCTTAGGGGCCAAGCTGGGGAGGAGTATAAGTCTCTCGATTCTTGTCTAATTTGCTGATGATATTTCACGGAAAAAGACATGTACATGTACAATTTACTTAATTGAATATTATTTATCAAGTGCTTAATATGCAAGGTGTTGTCTACAGAATCACAAAGAGTTAAAAATGGTTGTGCAACATCCAAGAGGGATTAGAACCTCTGCCTCTTGTTCTTTCTTCTCTACAACACTGCCCTCCAGTGCTTACTAGAGAAATTTTTCACTAGTAATAATTGCCTGCTCTATGCCTGTACCTTGAAATAATCCTCCAAAAATATATGACTTCTACATTTTAAAAATCCCCAGAGAAAAAATATTTACCAACTCCATGAGGATTTTATAATATATCTAAACCAAAACTTCTCCTTATTTCTCCCAGCCAGAAATGCCACATCAAACTGACGTTCATCGCTCCAAACTTCTATCCACATATAGTGCAGAGGAACTCTATCAAGCTAAGCGCAAGTGCAATGCTACACAAGAATATGACATCAATCTTCTGGAAGGAGAGTTGGTGGCTGTGATAGAACAGAGAGATCCACTGGGGAGTACAAGCAGGTGGCTTGTGGACACAGGAAGTAAGTTTTCCCTCAGATTACCACTCTTCTTTAAACTGAGATTTTCTGAGAGACTTCTATGTAGTTTCTCTGAGCACATGTTTGGGAAGAGTATATCCATGACCTTGGTTCTTCTTTCTTTTTATTTCCTATCCAGATGTGAAAGGATATGTTTATTCCTCCTTCCTAAAACCCTACAATCCAGCAAAAATGCAGAGAATGGAGGCCGAGAACAGGTTCTGTGATGATGACTTTGAAAACATCAGTCTTTTTGTGTCTTCACGGCCAGCTAGTGACAGTGCCACAGGCACCCCAGAAAGCAGCATTAGTGATAGCAGCTCATCTCTTAGTGGCACATGTGGAAAGTTTGAAACAAATGGTACTGATGTTGACAGTTTTCAAGAAGTAGACGAACAGGTAAAAATTTGAACGTTCATTTAAAAATAAGTGGCTGTTCAAATCATGAAAGAGACTCTCTCTACCCTACTCTATATGACTGTAACACTTGGTGGAAAAGTGTCAGCTTTGACATCAAGAAGACCTGGCTCTATTAGCACATACTTTCAGTGGATCTTTTTGCAAAAAAATGTAATTCCCTGAGCCTGTTTCCCTAAACGAAGCAAAAGATTAGAGATAATATGTATGTAAAATAGCCAGCACAAAGTAGACACACAATAAATAGGAGCTGTCACTATTACTACCCTGCTGTTAAATACTTAGAGCAAAGTGTCTTTTTATACTTCCCCATCAAAGAAAAGCAGTTCAATACTGAACAGATTGCTGCCATCAATAGCATGTGGGAAATTGTCCATGATTCCTCTAAGAGCAATATCTTCATTGAGCTATCTAGTAATTAGGCCTTTTTAATCTCATGTATAAAATGCCACACACTATATACTGAACCTTTTTTTTTTTTTTTTTTTTTGAGACAGAGTCACCCAGGCTGGAGTATAGTGGTGCAGCCTTGGCTCACTGCAACCTCTGCTTCCCGGGTACAAGCAATTCTCCTGTCTCAGCCTCCCGACTAGCTGGACTACAGGCGCATGTCACCATGCCTGGCTAATTTTCATATTTTCAGTAGACATGGGGTTTTACCATATTGGTCAGGCTGGTCTATACTGAAACTTTTAAGAGCTGTATTTCCCTCATTGCACTAATGCAAAGGCTACTGGTACAATCTTTTGCAAAATAGTAAGTTAATTATAGTGCAGCATTTGTTTTTGCATATCAGAAAGTTTCAGTATATTTAATTGTTCCTTCCCCAGTGGTGACTATTTAATTAATACCTTTATTTATTTAACTTGCTTTTTCTTTAGTGTTGTATTAATAATTTATTTAAATTTATTTTTATAGAGGTGATATAGATATAGATATAGATATAGAGAGAAGTTAAAATAGTAGAAAAGCATACATAAATTAAAAGTAAGCTGGTTTTGGTGGCTCATGCCTGTAATCCCAGCATTTTGTAAGGCTGAGGTGGGAGGAGAGCTTGAGCTCAGTTTGAGATCAGCCTGGAAAACATTAGCAAGACTTCATCTCTACTAAAAATCAAAAAAATTAGCCAAGAGTGGTTGCCCACATCTGTAGTCCCAGCTACTAGAGAAGCTGAGGTAGGAGGATCATGCAAGCCTGGGAGGTCGAGACTGTAAGCTGCAGTGAGCTGTGATCATGTCACTGCCCTCCAGCCTGAGCAACAGAGAGAGAGATCCTGTCTTTAATAATAATAATAATAATAATAATAATAAAGTAAAGGTTTTTAGTCTCTTCTCCCTTTGTCCTACTCATGAGAGACAATGCTTGGGTATATCCTTTGTATATTCTGTGCATATACAAACACATTTATACCAGTAGGAAAGATATCATATATGGTACATAGTTTTTCATTTAACAATATATCTTAGACACAATGAAACCTAAGTAGCTATCTTATTCCTTAAAAAGTTCTGCACGGTATTTACTTTCATGGATATATTATAATTTATATATCACCCTAATAATAGACATGTAGAATGTTTTGGGTTTTTAAAAATTTTCAAACAATATTTCAAGGAAGGGCTTTATCCATCTATTTTTGTTCATTTATACGGGCATATAAGTGTAAAACAAATTCCTAAAGTATTAGAGGGTCAAAAGGTATATACATGTAAAGTCTTTATAGACATTGCCATACTGCTCTTCAAAAATGTGGTATCTATTCAGTTTATTTCATTAATAGTTATTGGTTGCTGTCCAATTCATGACTGTTTTTTTTTGGTTTTGTGGCATTTTGTTTGTTTGTTTTTTCAAAAGCAGCTTATCAAGCAAGACCTTATTTTCATATCACAAAATTCAACCATTCATATAAAATTCAACCATGTATAATTCATGACTTTTAGATTTACAAAGTTGTGCAACCGTCACTTTAATCCCATTTTAAAACATTTCTTTCACTCCAAAAAATCCTTTGCACCTATTTGTAGTCACTCCTATTTCCCATCCCTAACCCCACTTTGCTTCCACAGATTTGCCTTTTCTGTATCTTTTGTATAAGCAAAATTGTACAATATGTGGTGTTTTACAGCTGTTTTTTTCACTTAGCAAAATTTCTTGAGAGTCTTCCATGTTGTAATATGTATATGCATTTTGTTGCTTTTTATTATCTAGTAATACTCCATTCTGTGAATATATTTTGTTAATGCATTCACCAGTTGATGGGCATTTGGGTAACTTCTAGTTTGGGGCTAGTATGAATTATGCTGCTATGAATATTTGTATGCAAGTGTTTGTGTGGATTTAATTTCTCTTGAGTAGACGCCCAGAAGTGTAATTTCTTACTGGTTTTATAAATTCATCTTTAAATTTTTAAGAAACTGCTAAACTGTTATCCAAAGTGGCCACACCATTTTAGTTTCCTATCAGCAATGTATGAGGGTTATGGGTTGCAGTTTCTTCACATCCTTGTCAATACTAGTTATTATTTGTCTTTTTATATTGTAGCCATCTTAATGGCTATGAGGTGGTGTCTCTTTGGGGTTTTAATTTGCATTTCCCTAATGATTAATGGTACCGAACATTTCTTCCTGTGCTCATTTGCCATTACCTTTCGTGAATGTCTATTCAAATATTTGCCTATTTTTAAAAAACTGGGTCATTTTCCTTCTTATTTTCCCATTGTGAGAGTTATTTATAAACTTGAGTGCAAGTCTTTTTTAATCAAATTTTTAATTTGCAAACATTTTCTCCTAGTCCTAACTGACTCTTAACTTGTCTGGACATTACTATGTGTTCTTATTGCCCTTGTGCCTTGAAGTTTCAAAACACTATTTCTCTATTACTTGTTCACTGTGTTGTTTATTAAGTTTCTAGAAGACACATTATAATGCTAACTAACGAATTTTTATCAGTGAAATCTATGTACCTGATTAAATGTCCTGTCAGACTTTGCCTTGTCCCAGTAACCTAGATGAACAGAAATCTGAGAGCCAAATTTGTCAAGACACTCTAAACCTGGCTTGATGCTGAGTTCTAGTTATTACTTGGCTCTACAGGGACTTTGCTCTAAGCCCCTCACATGGGCCCTTTCTGCCTGGTCTTTGTAGCATGAGACTGCATTTAGTTCCTACCAGCTGGTGCTTCAAAGCAATTTTCTCCAAGCAATCCTATCAATATATATCATGTGAATTAGGTCCATTAGAGATTTCCATTACCAAGAGAGGAAAAAATGAGATAATATTTTTTGCTCAAAACAAAAAATATATTAATGGCATGTCTTCATGAAGTGTTATTTGCTTTCTTTTTCCTCTGGGTTTGGAACCAATTCAAAATAGGCATAGCATCAGGAATAGAAATATAAGTATATATAAGTATTATTACTAATAAAACTGGATTGAAGATGCATCTTGGATCTGTAGCACATGGAATCCCTAAAATACTTTCCCTCAGAATAGAAACTACCCAACTCAAATTGAAGGTGAACCCTGTGTATGAATAAAATCTGTCCCAATAAACTTACTACAAGATGAGGAAGAAGATGCATCTGTTGAAAACTTCAGTACAAGTGAGAAAAGAAGAAAAGGCTGCATAGAAATATTTCCCTTAATGTCTTAATGCCAGCCAATAGACACACACAGGCCAGTGGTTTCCAGACTCCTCCTGTAACACATAATGCATAATATTTCATTGAAAACAGAGAGAAAGGATTATATCATGTTCCTAATCTTTGCGGGAGGGCTGTTTCTATTCTGTTGGCTTTTAGAAATTGTGGGGAGAACAAAATGATTAACTTCTGTATTTGTGGTATAATAGTATCAGTTAATACATTATAGAGATCCCTGTAATGTGACCAAAAGTGGAAGAATATTATATCTTCTTTACCAACAGTGAGAACACAGTAAATATTGTGATATCTCACATTTGTGGTACTTTACAAAGCAATTTTCTGTGTGGCTATTTAGACTTTTGTTCTCGATTTTATTATCAGAAACATCAGCTAAAACCTGTACTGGCTTAATTGGATGCCACTTTTAGTTATCATTTATTTCCCTCTCCCTTCCTATTGTGGCAGCACTTTTTTTTTTATTTCCTCCAGATTGCTATAGCATGTTGCCAAGGGGTGTTGGGTGTTAGAGGATGTAGTCTGGTTTTACTGATGGTTCTAGTGGACACTGACAAATAGGACAGGTGGCCTCTACCTCATACTCAGGGGGTATCTTTGGGGCCCTGAATACCATTCACATGTAGGCAATTTCAAACTAATTTAGATTCTAGTGGCTTCATGATTTTTATACTAGAGCTGAATTTTTAACCTGGACGCTAAGACCTGAAGTGGTCTATTAATGAGTTTGGGGGGATTTCATGAATCTCCTCAAATATGTTGGAAATATTGTGCTTATTTGCATATGTACACATCTATGGTAAAATAAATTTATCTTTTTGAAACAGACTTTTAAAAGAAAATTTTATCTAAAATGTTGGAAATCACTGCTGTAGAGGTTCAACTTGCTTATCTATTCTTCACCTTAAGTAAGAAGACAGATTGTTGTAAAAAAGAGCCTCTAAATTATGATCTGGAGCCTTTGTAGAATAATGGGTATGAGCTAATGGATATTCACAACCTAGCAGTACTGATTTACACCAAGAATCTTAATTTTTAAATTCTTCACTCTGTTTTTTGCTATATCAAAGAATAAAAAGCATTCAAGTAAATATTCCTTCCCATTCTAATGCATTCTTTCCTTTTATCCATCAAATGATAATGGCATGCTCTGCATTAGTGTTCCATGCTGCATAACAAATTACCACAAACTTGGTGGCTTAAAACAATACATATTTTTCAGGGGCTGTTGTCAGAAGTCCAAGCACATCTTAGCTAGGTGCCCTCCTTAGGATCTCAGGTAGCTGGAATCTAGGTGTACAATACAGCTTCCGAAACTGGGAGTTCTCTTCCCAGCTCATGGTCATTGGCAGAATTAAGTTTCTTGTTCCAGTTGGACTAAGGACTCCTTTTTCTTGTTTGCAATTAGCCAGAGACAGCTCTCAACAACCTGAGGCTGCTCTCAGATCCTTGCCATATGGCTTTCACTATAGGCAGTTTACAACATGGCTGTTTGCTTCTTTAAAGTCAGTAGGTAAGCATCTCTCTGGCTTCAAATCTCTCTTCAGAGAAGGGCTGAATCCTCTTTAAAGGTCTCATCTGAGCAGGTCAGGCCCATCTAGGATAATTCCTCTTTTGACTAACCCAGAGTCAATTTCTTAAGGACTTTAATAGGCACCTCTGCAGAATCTCCTTACCTTTGCTATGTAGCATAGCCTAATCACAGGAGTAATAGCACATCATATTAAGAAGTTCCAATCACAATCAAGGGAAGGAGATTACGTAGAACATGTACAAGACGGGGTGGGAATCTTGGGGTCCATCCTAGAATTCTGCCTTCCAGGGTATCTAAGATGCCTTGTCTGGCAAGCAGAATCTTGTCCTTGGCACTTCTCAAAAAGCACTAGGTTTAATAATGGCTAAAACCTAGTTTTGGGGGGCAGTTCAATGTCTGAGAATCAGTGCTATTTTCTTTTTCCACGTAAGTAATATTAAAAATATAATTTTTGACTTCTAAAAAAATAGTCATTTTGCTACCAATCCCATGTTCATAGTCTGGCCCTTCATCTTTACATTTTCCAAAGCTACCTATGATGATGATGATGCTACACATCTACTGTGTCATTGTTTAGGAAGTGCTTCAAAAAGTTGGCTTATTAACATGAAGAGATTTTCAAAAATAGTATGAGGTGAAAAACAGGTTGCAAAGTTATGTATACTATAAGTCCATTTTTATTACCACTTCAGGGTAGGTAGGTAAAAACAAAAATGGAACGAAGAAAGAAGAGAGGAAGATGGGAGGAAGGTAAAGAAGGTACTAATAGCAGTTGGGTGGGTTTTTGTTTCATTTTGTTTTGCTTAACTTTATTTAAAATTTTTTCTACATCAAAATGGCTTTGTGCAATTACAACATATAATTCTGAAATGAAGAACATGAAAGCTTGCTCCTGAAGGGTGAGAGAGAATAATGAGCATTTTTAATGAAATACAACTATTTTCGTTTCCAGAGATATATATGATACCATAAATGCTGATTTTGTAGCCTTTTAGTTTTAGAAAGGAAGATTAACATATATTATGACTTTCATTGCTGTTAATTGGAGAACTGGGATAAAAATAAAATGATATTCAGTGAAGAGAGGTAATGTGGCTCACTAAGGAAGGAAAAATTAAATACACACATATAGAATAAGGGAATACTGAACTGGCAATGTTACCACAGGGAAAGATCTGGTGGTTATAAGCAGTGGATAATAAATTAGGTATGAGTCAATAATACAGTGTTATAAAAAAAAGTAAACGTGGTAGAAAATATTGTAATTAAGGTGCCTGGACCAAAACATATTAGTATTTAAGGTTAGAAAGATACAGACTAAAACAATTAAAATACTGAAGATAATGAGAAATCTTTCAGTTCTTAAATGCACGACAGGTTAAAAATTCATAACTTGTAGTCTAACATTAAGGAGACTAAAAACACCAAAGAAGAGACTTAAAAAAGAGACTGAAAATTGAATGCTGTCTCTTTAAAAGCAGCTTACTTCTGTTTTGAGCATATAATGTATGCCTCCAGTTAACATAAATTATATAAAAACTAAAAAGTGCTTATCTCAAATAAATTTTGGGTCATGATTATCTAAAGTATTGAAATTATATAATTTTGTACTTTAAATTTACAATTTCATGATGATATATATTTAATGTTTAGAATATAAACTATAATTTCATACCAAACAGATCTAGATGGAAGAGTTTATATTTCGCTTGAGAGAATTCTGCTAAAGTGAAAGACTACCACAAATACTTAGGAATGGTCTATTAGTAGGCAATCCAACCTGCTAAAAACATCTATAGCTGCATTATTTATAAAAATTATAAAAGATGATTACCAACCACGAATGCAGGCTCTTACAGATGTTTCAGTGTATTATAGTACATTACATTCCTGAATAGTTCTGCAAACCAAAACCTCCATTCTGCTCCTGTGAATCTGTTCAATGTTTTCACTTTTTAAACAACAAAACAACAGCATCTACAATATACTAGAGACTCCAGTCCCTCTCTGCAACAATGCACACTCTGTACACACTTGCTAGAATAAGAGTTTGGTCTGTAACGAATTATGGGAAATGGACAAAGCACAGAATTTGGAGTTAGAAAATATTGGCCATAGCAGCACCAATTAACATAATTAAAAATGTTTCTTCTCTAAGACACAACTCACAGGGTTGTTGAGGACAAAGCACATTTAACATACAGCTGCCATGATCTCTATAAAAGATGTTTATTATTGCTACCACTCCACTGCTAAAAAATTTATACTATTTTTAATTTTCTTCACTTTAAAAAATTACGTAATAATTTGACCATGTTCATCAATCTCTTGCATGTATCTTATATGATACAAGATGATCTCTTCTATGATGTCCATGCCTTTCAGTAAATACTTGAATATTCCTACTAAATGTTAGGTCAAATTAATAAATATTTGAATTCCTACTTTGTACCATAAAGTGGTCAATGAAGAAAAGTTTAAATATGTGTCTTAGTCCATTTGGGCTGCTGTAACAAAACGCCATAAACTAGCTGGTTCGTAAACAACAGAAATTTATTTCTCACAGTTGTGGAGGCTGGAAGTCCAAGATCAAGGCATCAGTTTATACGGTGTTTGCTGAGGGACAACTTTCTGGCTCATAGATGGCACCTTCTCGTTGGGCCCTCACATGGTGGAAGAGGTGAAGAGTCTCTTTTGGGCTTCTTTAAAGAAAAACTAATCCCATTCATGAAGTTGAAGGCCAATCACCTCCCAAAAGCCCCCCCTCTTTATAGCATTACCTTGTGGATTAGGCTTTCAAAACATAAACTTTGGGGGAAAACAAACATTCAGACCACAGCAATGTGGTTCTTTCCCTGGGGAGCAGCTAATATTAGTTGATAAATCAATATACCAATCAATAGAATCAACATTTCACCAAAAGTTAAATAACAGTTTAACATTTAAATAACAACTTCAGCTACAGCTAGTCTCCTCTCCACGCTGTCCACTCTCTTTTCCTGCTTAATGAAGTAATGAAGTCACCTTATTTCTCTTGATTTCCTTTATCTATTGAACTTCAAGTTTGAGAGTTAATCTGCTTGTCTTTTCCTATACTTTGTTTCATGTATTTGTCTCTGTATCTTCAAATATGTCATATTCATCCCTTGTCAGCTTTGTCATTTATGAAAGATAACTTCTTTCAAAATCTAGCTCACCATTAGCTGATGTATCATCTATGTGTACAGTTCTTGCTGTTTTGATGTGTTTTGTTTTGTTCATTGGCATTTTCTTTTCTTAGCTGACTTATAAGTTCTCCAATAAAATAATACCTAGCACTTAGTAGGTACTTCAAAAATTTTCATTAAATAAATGAATGGGAATAAATGTTGCTAGCCAATTGCCTTATTTTATGCCATAACTGGTTTTTTTTTTATTATCAATCTTACAATTTTATTGGAAGAATAACTAAACATTTATTTTGGGGCTTCTTATGCATTTAATGATTATGAAGTGTTCTTTTGAGGTCAGAGAAAAATTCTTTTGACTAAAGTATTTTATTATTCCAGGCCACAAAATGATTTTTAAAATTATAAATACATTTTAAACAAAAAAGTAAAAATGAAAATCAGCTATAATTGTACCAAAGAAAGAATAATATTAGACTTATATTGTACATCTATGTTCTTTTAAAGGCTATTTTATCATAAGTGTTTCCCATGTTATTAGTCTCAGAAAGCACTGTTTTAATGATTACAAATTTCCTTAGTATAAGGGTCTGGGATTTAATTATTTTCCTCTTGCCTAACTTCTAGTGCTATTCCTACTACTCTCCCACTTTTCACCATTTGTATGGGTATTGAAGCAACACTGTTATGCAAAAATTTCTGCCAATGTTTCTGTAGAAGAGATTCTTCAAGCTATTTTGATTCACAAGGAATATTTTAACATTATTACAAATCTTTTAATAGAAGCTGCCAAGTTGCTTTCAAGCATGGACAATTTAGACTCCTCCTAACAGAATAGTAAGAATATCTATTTCACTCCATTCTCACCTGGGTCATATTTTAGCCAAATACATCCAATAGAAGGAGTTGGACAATGTGACTTTGGAAAAATAAGAAAACTTTAGCATCGGTTCTAAAAGCTTGGAAACCCTTATGATGTTTCTTTTAATATTCATGTTCCAATTCCAATAATGTCATTTGTTTCTTTGTCTAGATTTTCTATGCAGTTCATGCTTTTCAAGCACGGAGTGACCATGAACTCAGCCTTCAGGAATACCAGAGAGTTCATATACTTAGGTTTTGTGACCTAAGTGGCAATAAAGAGTGGTGGTTAGCTGAAGCTCAAGGGCAGAAAGGATACGTGCCCGCTAACTACCTTGGAAAGATGACTTATGCTTAAGAAAATAAGCCTCTGACTTTTATTTTCTGGCAAATTGTTAACTGACTACCTCATAAAACTGACATTACAAAACTTTGGACCAGAAAGCAAGAAACCTCCAAACTACAGAAACTGATACAGTACTGGGTTTTCAAGAATTCTGTATTTCTTATTGCATGAATGTATTATAAAGGACACATGTTGAAAGAAATACTAAGCCAACAGAAATAGCAAAGCAAATGGCCCAAACTTGGACTATCAACTACTTCAAAGTGAAGATCTTTTGAAAGGGTAATTATATTCTTTTATCCTGAAGAAAGGTTGGATCCAAAGATTTTTCAATTTCCTTTTTTTTAACTATATGATGTATTTTGCCTCAAATGTTTTTTTCATATTGCCCTTGCAAATGCATATGCTTATATACATACACATAAACCATATATATTACATAGTCTATACACATGTGGATAATATAAATTATGCACCTATATATAAACCAGAGTATACACTAAATATACAAAATAGGAATATATTGCCAATAGAAGTCTTTGATAATGTTTTGTTAATGTTTTTTGTTTTGAAACAAAAGAAAACTGAATAGCTTGATATTAACATGTAATATTACTGAATGCATACTATATGCCAGATATTGTTCTAAGTGCTTTATATGTAGTAACTTGTTTTAATACTCAAAACATTATGAAGAAACCATGGTCCAAAAAGGTGAAGTAATTTAACCCAAATCATATTGCTAGTAAATGGTGGGCTTGGACTTAAACCGAGGTAGTGTAAACCAGAAATAAAATTCTGAGGCCCCCCAACCATCTCAATAGACTTCCTCCTCAGCCAGAGCTCTTTTCTTTTTTTTTTTTTGAAAAGAGACAATAAAGAGTTTTTTTTTTCAAAGGTATAACTGGATACGTAGATTTGTTTACAACCATTCTTGTGAAATACCTTTTAAGAAAATATGACCAACTTCTTTGCAAATAGCAGACACATAACTCAACTATGATAACCCAATTTTTGGTGGATAATGTACATGATAGGCAGAAATAGGAAACCTCACACTGGTAGATTACTATCAAATACTTAGTCAAAACTCTGTTTGTGGCCCCCACTTCTTGATTGATTTCTATGCCCACTTCATATTCTACCATCTTGTCAACTTCTTGAGTGACTCTTTTGTCAACTCTACCTGACTGGCCACCAGCTCGACCATCTGACCACCTGACTGGCCCAAGTGGCCACTTGACCAGCCACTCCTCTCTGGAATTAGATGTGTTTCCATCATAATATTCTTCAATTTCAGATAATTTGGCTGGCACTGCAAGTATCGAGTTGGAATCATGCCACTCTGCCTGTAACCTTTCTGAGTCAGTTGTAGCAACATCAAAGCAAACACCCGTATATCCTTTCAGAAGGCACATTCTGGTAATCTGAGACACTGCATTACTACTCAGCTTTCTGTTAAGTTCTTTCTAAGCACAGCTGACATTCTGTATTTCCTTTAGGCTTTTCAGAGTCATGGTGACAAACTCCTTATCAGAGGTGATCAAAGATTGTGGTTCAAAGCTTGATGCACCAGAAATGTGGGCTAAAGCTGCAGCCAATGCCTCCACTGCCCCTTTCTTTTCTATAAGCATCTGAGCTGATGGTCAGAAAAAATCGACAGCAGCATAAGAAACAGAAGCCAGAAACCTGATGGCATCCAAGCTTTTAGATTTAACTAAATCCACTGTAGAAGAAACACCTACACGTTTAAAAGTAGTTCCTACTTTTTGTTCCACATATCTTAGTTGACGTCTTTCTCTTAGTTGATAAAAACACATACAAATCTCTGTCCATCCAGCTCTACCTGTGCATCCAGAGCAATGGATATAGGACTCAACATCCTGAGGAGGAGAACATTGAATCACTAAGTCAACTTCAGGAATGTCCAAACCATGGGCAGCTACATTGGTTGCCACCAAAACTTTAAAATTATCTTCTCTGAAGCCTTTTAGTGTAATTTCTCTTTGCGACTGTGCAGCTTCCCCATATAAACACTGGGCATTCTGTTTTGCATGTGGATTAATGGACATTTCTGTTACATTCTTCTTGATCTCACAGCAAATAACAGTCCTTCCTTCAGATCCACTGTAGACTTGAAGGACATCTCATTACCATCTATGTTTTATAAAGGAAGAAGCTGAGGACCTCACATGGAAGAATTGGGATTTAAAACCAGGTCTTTTGATTTTAAGGCTTTTCCTTTTAGTGTTTTCCCTTTTCTTTTCCTTAAGTCACTAAAATCTACGGTTTAGTCTTACAAAAAGTAAGATGTACAAAATAGAATGATAGTGACCACATATCTACTAATGGGATTAAAATGTACAATCCTAAAAACTTACTTTCATTCATTGAGCCATTAAGTATTGAGAGTTACAGTGGGAAAATACGCTGTACAAGACAAGCAAGATCCCTCCCTTCATACCACTTAAATTCTAGCGAAGAAAACATCTGCACATAGCAAACTAAATAAAATGATCATAAAATAATAAATACTATTTATATAAAACTGGCTACTTTCATTAGCGCTCAAAGAGTCTTGTAGCTCACTTTATGATATGAAAAAAATCAAGGTCTAAAATCTCGAGACAATTTAAACTCTAATACCAAATATACCACTATAAAATACCAATCTGAGCTAAATACTGTATTAATGTGTACTTATACATATGTACATATCCTAAGTATATATATAAACATATTATCTATAGAAAGAGCCATGCTCAGTGAAAGATAAATTACCTCCTAAACTGGTTAAAGTCCTCTCTGAGGTATAATAGAAATTAAAATAATTGCTTCTTTTCTCAACTCTATCTAGCACATATTTTCTGTGACAGGATAAATGTTTTCAAATGTCAATGTGTGAAGTGTAATAAACATTACTGCTTTCATTTTTTGTAGGTACGGAGGTTACATCAACTGTTATAGTTGCTGAGCTGAGTTTTTATGTCAGGTCATTTTGTTTAGTCCAAACTGGCTCTGAACTATAAACAATTATGAATATATATTTTTTAGTTTCTTTGACCCCAAAGGGAAACTGGGGTTTATGTTAAATTGATACATTATCAAAAGAAATCTGTTTCTCAAAGCAAGTCTCTGTAGGATTGAGATAATTCATTATTTACACATGGGGTAAACAGACATTTGCTGCCTATTGAGATAATGAATTCTAATTTATTACAAATAATTTACCACCACTATTTAACAGAGTAGTTTAAAATAATAATCTTTCCTTAAAAAAAAAAAAAAAAGACCAAGCTTAATTTTAAAACTTTGTCTTTACAGAGATTATCCATCCATACACTTTAGAATGATGAAGTTAGAAAAACCTAGGGATTAAGGAAGATGGTTTGAAATTAGAGATTTGTAGAGTTAAGACTTAGTGGCACACATCAAGGTTGATGGAACAGGCTGTTCAGAGTCTTGTGAATGTAGGGATTTGTTGGATGTCCAGTTTTTTTTGCTGTAAATAATAAATTGTTTATCTGATGCAGAGGGCTTCCTATCTTCTCTCAGAATATATATGTACAACAACTGCTGGTTAATTTGCTAGCTTGCAAGTAAGACAACTCAGACCCTCCACATTTTCTGACTTAACCCATTTATGCCTAGTGTTCCATTATTGCAACGCTTAGCTTGTGGGTATTATTATACCCTACTGCTCAAGATCATCGCCAAGGTCTGACTTTTCACTAAAAAAATTTGCAACCTATGTCATAAATGGGTTAACAATGTACAAAATCTCAAGAATTAATCATTATATAGGAGCTTATTGTATACAAACTTAACTAAAATTAGGTAAAATGCTGTAACATTTTGAGCACTAAGTAAGATAGCCTTTTCTTTTATAGTATAGGAAGAAGCCATAAGTGTGTGAACAAATCATACATTTTCATCCACAAAGACTCTTAGGAAATGGTATTTTTCTTCAAAAAATTATCAGGAATATGCATAACCGGGATTAATCAAAATTCTTATTTATTATGTATTATGTGCATATATTACATTGGCAATGTAGGAAAAAGTGAGCAATATGAGAAAAATATCGTATTAAACAGCATGAGAATTCACAATCTATTGGAAAATGATATATCCTTAAATAACTGAAATGAGGTGATAAAAAAGGTAAAGATACAATATGAGGTATGGTAAATCAGGGAAATCCATTGATATGGAAAATCAATTATGAAATGAACACCCAGAATATTGGGAGGAAAATAGAAAACTATGTTGGGTCATCTCTGCCACCATATAAAGCACTTCATTCATCAGGATCAACTCTTGGGGCTTTGCTAGAAGACAAACTCTTTCCTTTTCCTTAAATTCATAGATGCTATCAATCTTTGGAAGTTTTCATTGAGAACCAGTCATTCTAATCATTGTTTTCACACACTTTGGAAATCATTAAAATAAAAATGTTGAAGTCTGATTTAAAATAAAAGTTTCCAAGTTTTGTTATATAATATTTAGCATTTTAAAATAAGAAATGATAGAAATTTGATTATGAAGATGTTTATTAAATTACAGTATGTTACAGATTATATCCTAATAATAAGTCTTTCATCTTTAGGCTATTATGATATAAAAAAACTACTTGGCCACATTACTTCTTGAGTTTCTTTTGGGCGGCTTTCTTCTTGACCATCTGTAATCGCTTCATAGCATTGAGCTGTGATTCTTGTGAGGTTGGACCTTTAAGGGATGCTGAGGAAGAGCTGCTGGATTCTGAAGCAGTTTTGCTACTAGTACTTCCACTAGGTCCTGATGTTCCACTATTTCCATTCCCACTTAGTTGGCTGCTGCTTCCTGGAACTAAACTATTTGGACTAGGAAGACCTACTTTGCTGACATTGTCACAACTAACTGAGCGACTAAGGCCAGTTTTACCCAAGGTTAGAGGTGGAGGTGGTTTCAACGGTACAGTGGGTGTAGTGCTATTACCGGAACCTATTTTGGAACCTATTCCACCTTTGGATGATGTTGCCAGACCAGTCAAACCCACAGGTTTCTGGTTAGCTGATGAGGTAGCAGGTTTCCCAGTATTGTTTTGTGTTGTTGAACTCAATTTTGCTGTTGAGGGACCAGCAGAGGAGGTTTTGGCTGCAAAAGCTGCCCATCCAGTTAAGCCACTAGTTACTGATGAGGAAACGCTGGCACTAGAAGAATTTCCTGAAATAACTGTGGATGTCTAAAAAAATAAGGTAAATATTACATTATAGCCAAGTATAATCAATACCTATATAAACATCCTTGAAAATATAAATGTTGTTAGACTTTTTATATCTAAGTGATGAACTGGGAAATTTAAATCACACCACCAAATTAATTTCTTATGAAGCTGGTCTGAAAAAACACACAGAACAAAACTTATCTGTATCTAGTTGGTATTATCATTTCCAAAGCAGAAATTTTTTGATGCCATATTCTTGTTCTAATGATTCCAAAAGAAAATATATGAAATTCCTTTTTGGGAATTGCTTTTAGATTCAGTTTTAAGCTATATCTGAAAACCAGATTTAGTGCTTTAACATACTTTTTACCCAACAAGGTATTATCTAGCTTAGTTAAACATCCAATTCTTTTAGATTTTGCTCCAAATAACTAGGGATCATTTCAAAAATTTAATTCATTCATAATGGACAAAAATGCCCATATCCAGAATATTCAAGAGAACATAACCAAGATGAAGAGATTCAGTCAATGTTTATTTACTGAGTGAGAAAGAAGACAGCTGTATAGATTCCAAACCCACTAAAAAAATGTTCTAAATTTTGAGCAACAGCAACAGGACTGCAAAATATGTATTAAAAAGGTCTCATGATTTTAGTTTCACAATTTGCCCATGATTCCGGTTAAACTACCATAGAAGGGGTTCCTACTCCTTTAATAAGAATTTTATAAATTTCCTCATTAGGCTGCACAGTGACATTTTGGGTAGGACTGACTTACTCTCTGATACATTTCGTAAGGGTATATCATCTCAACTTCTCTGATTAACTTCCCTGGCTAATCAGAAGCTTACAGTGATACCAATGCCACTACATAAATACATATTTCTCTTGTTCACACAAGAATAGATTTTTTCACTTTCACAATACGAACAAATGTATGTAGTTCACATTAATTTTGAATTGAACTTCTTATTGACACCTTTTCTATCTTTATACTCTTAAGAAGATGCATAAAAGTGTTAAGTTCATGCGTAGGTAAAAGGTAAAATTTTACAGAATAACATCCTACTTTTAAAATGGTAGTTACTGTACCTAAAATATATTCAGTTATAATTTTAACTCTGAAAGGGTTGATAAAACATTTTTAACTCTTGAAAGGTAGCCTTCAATATTGTCTGCATGCATAGTTTTAGCCAATGTGAAAAGTAACAAAAACAGAGTTCTGAGATCTTTGTTTTTTAAGAGAAGGAATCCAGATATTTGTCCAAATACTCTGAAAATTGATAGGATGTTTTCCTACAGTATCATATTAACTATCTTATCAAGTTATCCAGAGAAGAAAAACTACATAAGCCATACATTCCTAGAGGAATGTATACCAGCAATGGGAGAAAAAGGCAAGAAGTAAACTTTTACTTTTCAGTTATGAAATAATTTTTTTCCTTCTCTCGCTATTAAACATAAAACTGTCTGCCATATGGTTAAATGATCTTTCAACAAACTTCACAAAAGAAACCTATCTTTGGTAATTAAAAGACCAACGCTTGTGAAGTACAAGCAAGAAAGCAAGTTCTATGTGTCTGGCATTTTATGTTAATAGCTTGCTGTTGCTTAGTACTGCTTTTCAACATGACAGATGGTTTACAATACTATCAGGACACATAAAGCAAAATAACACAAACGATGGAGAACAAGTAATTTCTAACTATTTCAGTGTACAAAACAAATTTCTCAAGTTTTTAACTATAAATGTTTCTTGCCCATTTGCTAGATGGGCAAGTTAGAAAAGACATTTGCTTTTTATATGTAACTGGGACAATTTTTTTATAGTATAAATTTATTCACTTTTATAAAAAGTGAATTCTTTATTAAAAAACACAAGATCTCTTAATCAAAACAAATATGACAGCAAAGGCTTTAATTTGTTTGCCATAAAATGATTTCATGTTAAATTTTATAAAAATAAACTTCAGTAGTAACAGATTAGTATAAAAATCTACTAAAAAAAGATTATGTGCAGAATATAGCAACTCTAATTACTTTGAATAAACTGCTTATTCTTACTTCTATTCCAATTCACCAAGTTCCTATGTGACAAATCAATAATGGATATCCATTGGATAGCAAATCTTCCCTGGCAAATTAAAATGATAAGTAATATGCAAATATAATTGTCAATACGTGTTTTTAAAGTACTTCATATTCTTCTTCATCACACCAAGGGTATTAAGCTTACTACTTATAATCACTTAGGCAATAACTCTAGAGTTTTCTCAGGTCAATCTTTGAGAATCTGAGGCTATTTTTTCTTTTTTTGCATATTTAGTGCTATGCTTAACATTGGAATGTGTACCTCAGTAAAAGTATTCTTTTTGTTACAAATTAGATTAGAAAATTATTGTTTTCCATGATATAAAAATGCCAAGATATTAAGAATAATGTAGTATGATTTCAAGGATGCAAACTTAGGAATGAGAAAGGTAATACTCTTGCTATAAAATGTGATCCCTTGGTATAAGAGGTAGATACCATTGAAAGTTCGTTATAAAGAAACAAAACAAGACAAAGCAAGAAAGCTCCTTCAATAGCTGATAAGTAGGAAGAAAAAAAATACAAGGCCAATCTGCTCAAGTAGTGTAAGTACTGTGGGGAGGAAAATTGTTGCCACTTGGGGCAGAGGTATTTTAAAATTTAAACCAGATTTATTTTTTGGGGGTGGGGGAAGAGGGTTGGAGTTTTGCTCTTGTCGCCCTGGCTGGAGTGCAATGGCGCTATCTTGGCTCACTGCAACCTCCACCTCCAGGGTTCAAGTGATTCTCCTGCCTTAGCCTCCCGAGTAGCTGATTACAGGTGCCCACCATCATGCCTGGGATTACAGGGCCTGCTACCACACCTGGATAGTTTTTGTATTTTAGTAGAGACAGGGTTCCATCATGTTGGCCAGGCTGGTCTTGAACTCCTGATGTCAGGTGATCCACCTGCCTTGGCCTTCCAAAGTGCTCAGACTACAGGTATGAGCCAGGTTGCCCAGCCTGAATGTAAAACAGATTTCTAATTGGAGATAAGTATCTAACCACATAAGAATGGCAAACAATGTCATTTTGGAATCATCATAGACTGTTCCTATTTGTGATAAAAAAAAACAGCAGAGTTAGACATTAAATAATAATATAAATGTTCCCTTTCTACCTAATAGAAGTCTTAATTTCTAAAATATACCCATTTAGTAAATAAAGTTTCTCATTAAATTTTTTATCAAGCAACTATTGTTTAGTCAACTAAATTTTAAGACATAATCTTAGACAAAAATAGAATCTACTATACCTTGACTTCTGTTCTCTTAAATGCTAGAAAAGTTGTCTCTTGTTTCAGTTTAGTTTCTGGTTTCTTAACCAATGGATCTTTGACAACGGGAGCTACAGAAACAACTGTAGGGGCTGGTTTCTGTGGTGGTTTCTGAGTTTTTTGAGCCTGTAAAAATCAGTGGATTAAATCAGATACAAAATCTTAACTGAAAATACAAAAAGATAATAATCTAACACAGGACTCATCATTGAAATAAAATACAGTTGAACATTTAAAAAAATATTTTGATAATGAATATATATGCTGTTTGACAAATTATTTTTATTATATTAATGGTTTTACAGACTGTATTAGTTTCTAAACAGTAAAGATAATATTAAACTTTAGAAATAATACGGAATAGGGTTAAATATTTTAATGAGATAAAATTGTTTTAAAAAAAGAAAAATCACAAACTACATGTAACCATTTGCTTTACTCATGATGAAGTACATTTATTTCTCATTGGAGTTGGTCAAATACATAGGAATTTTCTTCTTGGGGTCTAGGCATAAATCCCTCAGCTGCTGAGGAAACATAGCTCAGATCATTTATATGGTTTTACATGCAGAATAGGAAGAAAAAAAAACTACTGATAAATAATGACACTTTTTGAGGTTTTTCCACATTGTAGAACTAGCCACACTAAATCTTTAGAGAAAGTTCATAAATACAAATTTCTATGTTATCAAAGAATTTTCACCCACTATTCTTTTATAAGCATTTTCAGTTTTATTTCACAATAATCAATTTTTTCCCTTTATTTCATAACTAGGCACTTTACTAAATTCTCCTATAAACTCTAATAATTTTTGAGTTTATTTTTTTAGTGTTTTCTAGGTAGATAATTACAGCTGTTTATAAACAGTTATGCACAGTGTTTAAGAGTAATTTTTGGAGTCAAACAGAGCTGGGATTAAAACCCAGCAACTGGCCAGGTGCAGTGGCTCATGCCTATAATCCCAGCACTTTGGGAGGCTGAGCCAGGTGGTTCACTCGAGGTCAGGAGTTCAAGACCAGCCTGGCCCACATGGTGAAGCCCCAACTCTACTAAAAATACAAAAATTAGCCAGGTATGGTGGCAGACACCTGTAATCCCAGCTATCAGGAGGCTGAGGCAGGAGAATTGCTTGAACCCAGGACGTGGAGGTTGCAGTGAGCTGAGATCGTGCCACTGTATTCCAGCCTGGGCAACAAGAGTGCAACTCCATCTCAAAACAAAAACAACAACAAAACCCAGCAACTATTTTTCTAGGTATGTTACCTCAGGCAAAATATGTGAATCTCTAAAAGCCTCATCCTCTTCGTCAGTAAAATGGTAATATCATCTGTCATGAAAATAAATCATGACTATTTAAGAGTTTAGCACAGTGTCTGGAACACGTTGAGTGCTAACAAAAAGTTACTGTTTATTCATCACTATTATTTACAAAGGATAAGCAAATTGAATTCAGAAAAATCCATCCATACTGAATAGGGAAAGATGCCCCCCCTCATTCCACAGTCTTCGATAATCTTCATAAGCCCATACAGTACTATACCAGGAAATTTATTAACAATTTGTCACCATTTCTGGAAGTCAAACTTTGGCCTATTTTTTGGTCTTGTTTGGGCCTTCTTGTGTAATCTTGTGCTACTATTTGCCAAACTATACAGTTTTGGTCCTTAAATCTCAATTCATATCACTTTTTATACTACATATCTTCCATATCAAACTACACCTATCTTTAACACGATTTATAAAGTAACGATCAGATTAAGAATATTAAGAATGTTGGAAGATTATCTGTGGTAAAATATCTCCTATTAGCAGGAAAGGAGGGTTATCTTACCCTTTATTGCAAAGCCATGTTATGAGAATGCATCCCACACAGTAAAACAGGAACATATGACTTCAAAACCATGATTTTCAATCTTAACACTGACTTCCACTCACATCTATTACTCCAGAGGTTAGATTTTGAGGACCCACCTAACTTGTATGCTTTAACAGACAAAGACTAATTATGGTGAAGCCCCAGGAAGTACTTCTAGTTGAGAGATAATGTTTGGATCTTCTTCTGCCTCCCCTGTTTTATCCAGCCATCTTAGAAGCTGAGCAAGAAATACCCATAAACCTTTGTCCTTTACTGATAATACTACAATATAATTACAGATTCAGTTTTCTTCAACAAAGGCACTAAAATTTTCATTGGGTGACTGCTTCACACATTGCACAATGTAATAAAATTCTCCACTAAGGCACTAGCTGCCAGAATGGCAGCAATAAAAAAAAAAACCCACATATTTCTAAATGCTGCAAAATAGGAGTGTGTTACTACCTTAGATTGAGAACCATGGCAATAAGTGTTTTGAGTCTTTCACCTGAAGCTGGGGAAAAACCCACTACTGGGTAGAGAGAAAATTACAGAACTGAAGAATAACCTTGGACCCTGCCATACATAAACACAACATTCTTAACTAGGTCTTCCTACAATAATGCATATTGCAGAACTTGCCCCAGTTTAAGGAATCTGTGCAAGGAGAATGGGGATATCAGGTGCTATTTATAATATCTTTGAGATACCTTGGAACAATAACCAATGTACATGTGAGAATCTCACTCAAAGCAATTATAATTAGAATGATGGATTTAGAATCCCACTGTTCCAAAATTCTCTCATTAAACCTTATATTTTCTGGATTCTGATCTTTAGGCTCACTTCAGATTATGTCTTTTGGTATCTCCCCACATCTACTCTGGGTGTATTCTAGTCATGTTCTAATATTAGCCATGACTCCCCATTTGCTACTTTGACTTTTGGACACACAGACCAGATTTACTGTTGATTTCTGGTACTAATCTACATTTAGCCTGGCATAGTGGCTCATGCTTGTAATCTCAGCACTTCAGGAGGCTGAGGCAGGAGGATCACTTGAGGTCAGGAGCTCAAGACCAGCCCTGGCAACACAGTGAGACTCTATCTCTACAAAAAATTTAAAAAATTAGCTAGGCCTGGTGGCACACGCCTGTAGTCCCAGCTACTTGGGAGGCTGAGGTAGGAGGATTGCTTGAGCCGGGGAGGTTGAGGCTGCAGTGAGCCACAGTCACTCTACTGCACTCCAACCTAGACAACAAAGTGAGACCCTGTCTCAAAAAAAAAATTCCATTTACTTCATTTTACTTAACTTAAAATAAGAACAGAATGTAGAATGCATCCAGTCTTAAGCTCTGCTTATGTGCTATGCCAATGAACTACATGATCTTATAGATAAATTAGATAATTTACAAAGCAGATAAAGAATAAACAGTATCTCAGATGAAGAGAAGAAGCTGAGAAACAAAATATATAGGAAAATGAAAGTTCTCCACATATTCAGGGAATGGCACACTTAGTCTACGCCAGAGTGGCCAGGGTATATGAATGTGTACGGTGAAGCAGTGAGACAAGAAGCTGTAAGGTAGAGTCAGGTCAAAAAGAGAAGGTCCATATATACACCCTAATGAGTATAACCTCATTATATAAGTAATTGAGAGCCACTGGGCATATATAAACAGATAAATATTTTAGAATAATTCTAATGATATAGTAGGCAAAGTGGATTGATGGGAAGCAAGGAGATCTCTTAAGTGGCTATTGCAATAGACAAGCAATGGATTTGTGAAACAGTAATAAAAGAGAAATGAATAGATTTCAGAGAGATATAAGAGGTAGAATTAAAACATCTGGTAAACAAAGGGATATGGAATTAAGAGAGGCATCAAAGATGTTTTCTAATTCAGGCAATTGCAGAAAAAAAACTGGACAAAGGACAACTTTTACTTTTAAATATATTAAATTTAAAGTATCTATAGACTAGTCAGCTATAGAAGCTCACCCAGGAACAAGGGTTAGAACCATAAACATAGATTTACATAAAATAAATCAGAAAAAATGGAGGAGAAAAAACATGGGAAAGAATAGTGCTTACTTTAGCTAGTAAGGGAGTTAAAGTAATATAATAATAATAATAATGAAACATTGAGGACATACTAAAGAAAGACATTATTGTCATAATTTGTTTCTTTTGACAATTTCCAATTCTTAGTAGCTTCTTATCAATGCTCTGGAATGTATTGCTCATCTGTAGTAATTTCAGTTGAGATCCTGGAGGGCTAATTTAAATAATAAATTAAATAAAAATCAAACTGAGTGGAAGAGATTGTAACTTGTCACAGAAATTTCCTGTTGCAAGCAAGAAATATACACACTATTGATATACACACTTTTCATTTACTACTATTTATTTCATAGGAATAAATAAAAACACTTCCTATTTCTGATTTAACTGATTAAAAAGTAAAATGGGTATCTTGAATTTTTACTTTTAACTAAGTACTCTGACCTTTAAAAGATATATTGGTTAGACAAATTTATGTAGAAATTCATTTAATTGACAGACATGAGAACTCCTCAATTGAGAATCACTATTTTAAGACAGGGACTAGAGATGGAAGTGGGAGGGAGAAGTGGTGAATAGGACATTATAGCAATTTCTTGTAACATTTATCTACTATATAAGTGAATAAAAGTTAGAAAACTATCCAGTATAACAAATGAAAAGACATTTCACTATGCTATTAAAGAGGGGTATGTTAGTAAACAATAAAAAGAGAAAGTAAATTGAAAGAATGAGATAAATGGTCACTTGAGGACAATGAAAAGGAAAGACTAAGCAATAGAGAAACACAGCTGGAAAGACAAATACATACATATAAATATTGCCTCTGTGCACATCTTAGACATTCGGTGGTTTAAGCTCACTCAGGAATTTTCTGTATTTCCTTACCAGACCTCAACAAATAGTGGGGCTTTGTATCTCACCACTTCTCAGTGCTGCATGCTATTTTTAAATGTTTATGAATACGTTGACAGGCTAGTAAGCAATATTCATAATTTGTGTGTCGCCAATCTTGTTTGTCTGTATTAGAATTAGACAAAACTAAACAGAGAAAAATGCGCATAACATTGTCTGGTCTTTAGGCACAGAAATATTAATCGAATATAAACACTATACATACAAACATTTAAATAATCAGCTAATAGTTTATTTTTTTCAGTAACTTAAATATTCAAATCTTTGTTTTGAAAGACCAAACCAACAAAAACATTGACAGACTGTTTAAAATAAAGAAAAATATGATTCCTACCATTCTTTTCATTTGTCTGGTGCATCGGGCACAATACCACACCAGGCGAGGGTCATTTGCTTCCTTGTCTGTCACCTGGGGTTTATGGCAGTCTCGGTGGTAGAGATTATGGCACTCCTGACATTCTACTAATTGATTACCAGATGCCACCATCATTTGCCTAAGAAAAGATACCATTAGACATTACACTACTTTTTTTAATGCAATAATTTAAAGTTATTTCAGGGGCTGGGCATGGTGGCTCATGGTGGCTCATGCCTGCAATCCCAGAGGCCAGAGACGGCAGATCATTAGAGGTCAGGTGTTCAAGACCAGCCTGGCTGACATGGTGAAACCTTGTCTCTACTAAAAATACAAAAATTAGCTGGGCATGGTAGTGCATGACTGTAATCCTCATGACTTGGGAGGCTGAGGCAGGAGAATCACTTGAACCCAGGAGGTGGACGTTGCAGTGAGCCAAGATCATGCCACTGCATTCCAGCCTTGGTGACAGAGTGAGACTCTGTCTCAAAAAGAAAAAAAAGTTATTTCAGGGTTGTTCTGGTAATGTTTGGTATATTAAAAAGGAAAAAAAAAATCCCAGAAATCCAAAGAGCAAAATAACAAACCCAACACATATCATGCACAAAAGCATAAACTTTTAAAGCTTTTGGTCAGCAATAATATATAGAATGCCTTAATTAAATTTGGCTATTTTCTCCTTGTCATTTCTCATTGTAATTTTTGCCTTCCTCTCAGAAGGTAGTCGACTCTGACTAGTCCTGCAACAGTCTCATAACATTTTGCATGTATCTCTATTAAATTCCCTTACGTTAGTTAGCTATATGTTATTGTTGTTCTTCATTAATATGAGTTACCTGAAGGTGAGAACTGGACCTAATAATCCACAGTGCTTAGCACATTACTGCTTACACACAGGGTGCTCAATAAATGTGTGATCAGATTAATTGAATGAAACCACATGTGTATAAAAAAGTATAAATTTCAACAATACAAAAAGCAATCACCATAGCCTTAGATGATCATAGATATATATATCATAATATAATAATTGCTTTCCCTCTAGAACACAAAAATGCAGAAAATGTTACTACAACATAACAGATTTAAAAGTTACAGTTGGGAAGACAAAACTGTTGACAATTTTCGATATGTTAAGGTGTTATACGGGCAGTTCATAAGGCATCTACTTATCTCCACCCCAGTTCCAAATAATAAAAACAAAATGGAAAATGTGCAACAATTGTTCTGATTTGGGGGTTGGGGAGTGGAAAGGGGTTGTCTGTTCTTTACAAAATAACAGAAGAATCTGTGGCAAGGCACAACTTACCTACAAACAACGCAGGCCAATCCCATTTCCATGGCAAAATCATCAGCACTGGTCTCCTCAAAACTGGAAAGGTCAGCCATAGCTAAGTCCTTGCTAGTTTGGACAGTAATGGGAGAGGACTGTGTCTCTGGTTTCTCCAATCTAGGTTTCTTTGGAATATCAACTCCTTCAGTGACGTCTGATTTTATCTATAAAAAGCAGGCATCAGAAAATAATAAAGTAATGTGGTAAAATAAACCTTAAGTCACTGAAAGATGAATAAGAAGGACAGTAGGCAATGATCAAGTTGATTTTACAGATATATTCACATATTTAGGGACAAATGTGCACATTAAAGATCTGTAGAAGAATTGTAACGAATTTATCAGTACATTAAATGAAACCAGCAAGATAGAAATAAATAAATCACAACAGTTTAACAAACATTTGTATTTTACTTTGTACTTCTGTTAAAGAATTCTGGAAGTTTGATAGATTTACTTATACTAGTACAGCCTTACCAGTACAGACTTACTAGTATGGATTTACTTCTACCATATAAACTTAACACATTACCATGTTTGCTTCAGAGCAAATTCAGATTCCCTTCTTTAAGGTATAAATATTATTAATATGTCCATTAGATTGGCAAAAAAGAAGAAGCCTGGTAAGATATGGAATTTGGAATTCTTATATGTTGTTGATGAGAGTGTAAATTTAGTACATCTACTTTTGATAGCAATTTGGCAATGTCCAGTAATGTTGAAGATGTCATATCCTATTACAACCACTTATAAGTATACCTCCTATAGAAACTATTAACATGACATATATACAATGTAGTTCACTTAAACTGCATTTTAATAGAACAAAAGGAGAAATATCTAATTGCACATCAGTAGGGGAATGATAAACTAGTTAATTTACAGAATAAGTATTATACAGTAGCTAAAAGAAATCTAGATCTACATGCATCAATATACATAAATTTCAAAAGCACATAGTTGAGTGAAGAAAATGTTACCAAAGGATATATACACACACACTGTATGATATCATTTACATATTTTTTTTGAGACAGAGTCTTGCTCTGTCGCCCAGGCTGGAGTACAGTGGTGCAATCTCAGCTAACTGCAACCTCCACCTCCTGGGTTCAAGCGATTCTCATGTCTCAGCCTCCTGAGTAGCTGGAACTACAGGTGTCTGCCACCAAATCTGGCTATTTTTTTTTATTTTTAGTAGCGATGGGGTTTTGCCATGTTGGCCAGGCTGGTCTAAAACTTCTGATCTCAAGTGATCCACCTGCCTCAGCCTCCCAAAGTGCTGGGATTACAGGCATGAGCCACAGTGCCCAGCCTCATTTATGTAAATCTAAAAGCAGAGAAATAACATAACAGTTTATGAATAGCCACTATTTAGCAAAAGTATGAAAACATACGGGATAATATAGTCCATCCTGAGGGCAAGGATTACTGAAGATATGTTTTAAATGTATTTTTTTCCTAATTACTAAAATCTTAATTACTATTTGTAGAAATCATCTAAAAATAGACAATCCAAGAATTATCTTTGGCCCCGTTTAGGTGCATGCCATTCTATAAAGTTTATGTTTAGTCATTTACATGTATGCGTTTTCCTATCTTTTCTTTCTTGCTTTGGTTTTTTTTTTTTTTTTTTTGAGACAGCACCTCACTCCCTCACCCAAGCTGGAGTGCAGTGGCACGAACTCCATTCACTACAATCTCTGTCTCCTGGGCTTAAGCAATTCTCTCAACCCCCTGGCCCCCAAATAACTGGAACTACAGGTACATGCCACCATGCCCAGCTGAGTTGTGTATTTTTTGTAGAGGTGAGGTTTCACCATGTTGCCCAGGCTGATCTTGAACTCCTGAGCTCAAGCAGTCTACCTGCCTCGGCCTCCCAAAGTGTAACCATCTTTTCTTCTCAACAACTGTTCCATCTAGGATCTCTGAGTCATAGAGTAAAGTTTACACTCAAAATTACTATACTTCCTAGGGCTCAAATATTTACTGATAACAACTTTTAACCATTTAACTTTAAAATTTGTAAATTTTACTCATTTTTTGAAAAGTCAAAATCTATAGCTATCAATATATATTCACTGAGTGATGACTATTATATATCTATACCTATTATTACATAAAAGAAACAGGCATAAAACATTGTTTCTTTCTGCCTATGGAACAACTAATTAACTTTTTTTCTTTTAACAAGATTAAAACAAAATCTTACTTTATCAACAGGTCTCTTTTCAGCTTCCTTCTTTACCTTTTCGGTTGTGAGGGCCTTGCCATTATTATTGCCAGAAGGAAGACTGGATGATATTTTGGGCTCTTGCTTAACGGAAATGTTTTTTGTGCTTGAAATTTTGGGTGGCTCCACATCCTAAAAGTTGAAAAAAGATACCAGTAATTAAATATTAAGACTAATTATAAAAAATGGATTAATCAAAACAATTTTCAGTTAAAAATTAAGACATTTCATTATAACCAATGTAATATTCCTTTCTTAAATAGCTAAATAGCTTTATTGAGAAATAATTGATATATAAACTGTAACTTTTCTTTTTGAGATGGAGTCTCTGTTGCGCTGGAGTGGCAACAGAGTGGAGTGGAGTACAATGGCACAGTTCTGACTCACTGCAACCTCTGCCTCTTGGGTTCAAGCAATTCTTCTGCCTCAGCCTCCCAAGTATTTGGGACTACAGGCGTGCCACCACACCCCGCTAATTTTTGTATTTTCAGTAGAGACAGGGCTTCACTATGTTGACCAGGCTGGTCTCGAACTCCTGACCACAGATGAACCACCCGCTCAGCCTTCCAAAGTACTGGGATTACAGACATGAGCCATCACGCCCAGCCCAAACCGCACTTATTTAAAGTGCAAAATTTCAAAGTTTTGACATATATATACCTCTGTGATACTATCACTGCAATCAACATAATGAACATATGTATCACCCCTCCAAATTTCCTTGTGGCCCTTTGTTATTACCCTCTTACAGATATACACCCTAGAGAAAATATGTCTCCCATCCTCAAGCAATCACTTACTTGTTTTCTGAAACAATAGATTAGTTTGCATTTCCTAGAAATTTATATAAATGGAATCATATAGTATGTACTCTTTTTTGGTCTGGCTTCTTTTACTTAGAATATTTCTTTTGAAATTCATCCATGTTGTTAAGTGTATCAATAGTTCATTCCTTTTTATTGCTGAATAATATTCCACTGAATGAATATACCACAATTTATTTATCAATTTACCTATTGGTGGATATTTGGGTTGTCTACAGTTTGGGACTATTAGAAGTAAAGCTGTTACGAATATTCATGTACAAGTATTTGGACATACCTATGTTTTTACTTCTCTAGAATAAATATCTAGGAGTGGGTTATATGGTAAGTATTTTTCATCACAACTAATTTTGTACGTTCTTTATGAGATAAACTTCCATTTTAGAACCCCACTAAAACATTTTTGTTTCCTTAGTAATAATATGTTTAATTTCTTAAAAATTGCCAAACTGTGGTAGTACCATTTTACAATTCTACCAAGCATATCTGAGAGTTCCAATTCCTTCCTAGCCTCACCAATACTTGGTATGGCTAGTCTTTTAAAATTGTAGATGTTCTAATAAGTATGTAGTGGTATCTCATTGTAGATTTAATTTACATTTCCCCAATGGCTAATGATGTTAACTATTTTTTCAAGTGTTCATTTGGCATACATATATCTTCTTTGGTAAACTATTTGATAAAATATTTTGCCCATATTAAAAAAATGAATGTTTGTTTCATTATTGGTTTTAGAGTTCTTCATAGGTTTTGGGTACAAGGCCTTTATCAGATATATGATTAGCAAATATTTTCTCTCAGTGTGTGGCTAGTTTTTTCATTCTGTTTAAAACTTCAATTCCTTCTTCATGTATTATAGCTTTGCTGATATAGATAACTTGTTATTTATTGTTATTAATAGTATGCATAAACTTGTTTATGTATATGGCAATTCCTCGGAAAACCCTCTCCCTAAAAAGGGAGGTACTCCATGCTATTCTAAATAAAAGTAAAGCAGCTGATGCATTTCATTTTACTGTGATAATATGTAAAAGTACACAAGTATAAATGGAAATAATACACATCAATTTCAGAATAGTAATTACCTCTGAGAAGGAAAAGAAGGGAAAGGAAAAATCTGAACTAGCGGTGGCAGGGCTTGATATATTATTGTGCTGACTGCTTAGACAATGGGTTAGCAAACTGAGGCCTATAAATAGTTTTTTATAAACACTTATATTAGAACACAGCCACACCATTCATTTATGTATAATGTATGGCTGCTTTCACATTACCATCGCAGAATTAAATAGTTGCAACAGAGACCATCTGAACCACAAATTTGGCTCTTTATAGAGTCTGTTGACCACTGGTGTAGACTTAGTAAAGTGTTGAAGAAAACGTTAATAATGCAAATGAAACTTAAAAGTATATTGTGGGCCAGCCGTGGTGGCTCATGCCTGTAATCCCAGCACTTTGGGAAGCCAAAGTAGACAGATTTCTTGAGTCCAGGAGTTTTGAGACCAGCCTGTATTGATTTGCTCAGTCTGAACTCATGAACCTACTGGAATAAGAATGGATGGAAGAAATGAAGTCACAATGTTTCTGCTATTCAAAGTACAATAAAAAGGCTTCAGAGTACTAGACCTAGTGTTGAAAGGTGGCTGGGGACAAAACACCAGCAATTACTTGGGCTCTGAGCTTGGGACTTGATCCTCTCTTGAACTTCAGATTCTGGTTAGGCTTGAGCTAGTCATGTTCTACCTTTTGGGGACAAAATACCAGCATTTATTTGGGCTCTGAGCCTGGGTCCACAGACCTGAGTGATTTGGAGTTTCAGGGCCAGAGCTTAGAAGAATTCAAAAGAATATCTTAGTAGGTATTAGGAAATATAATAAGAGTTGTCATTCACTGACAGCCTATTATGTACCAGGCTGACTTATTTACTGTATCTCCTTCCATTTTTACAACTCTGCAAAGTAGTCCTTATTATCCCCATTTTACCAATAAACAGAGACTAGGTGAAATGAAGTTACTACATACCTCAGTTTCCTTATGTAAAATGAAAAAAAAAGTATCTATCTTAAAGGATCATTATAATTAAAATTAATTTTTCGCCTAAACTACTCAGAAAAGTGCCTGGGACATCAAGATATGTTGTCTATTATTATCACACATAAGTGGGATTTAAAACAGGTATGTGTGGTTTCAAAACGTATATTCTCTTCACATAAAGCCACCATTGGCTACTATGTTATTATCAAGATAAGGGCTACACAGTTCTCCAAGTTCATCCATACCTCCTTTTCTCTTAAATTTTCCTACCCATATTCAATTTATTTTGTTGGAAAATCTGTCCTTTTATTTTTTTTAATCCTTAAAACATTAGAGAATAATTAGAAGTAAGTTGTGGTTACATTCAGCAACTTAAAAAAAAATTCTGATCATAAAGAATCGGAAATTGAAGCCAATTTTTCTGTGTGGTGTAAAAACTTTAAGGAAAGAAAAAAAATAAAGAATATAATTACTTTGTGCCACATGGAAAGATTATTTCAGCTGAGACTGTTTTGAGATGGTCTATATGTTATCAATGTACTACTACATGCCTTACAAAACTCTCTCCAAGCTTTTAATTCATGTAGGTACCTTTTGGGATGGACGGTAACTGGAATCAATGCCTCGAGCCAAAGATTCATCAAGCAGCGCTTTTAGCTTTTCAGCAGAATCTTTACTCTTTGAATGTAAGAAACCTAGTGCTTTCAAAAAAATGGGATCAAGTTCCAAGTTCACAGTAGCAGCCATTGCAAACACCTGAAGGAAAAAAAGAGGAAGTAATTTAGAAGACAATGCACAATTACCTATGTCAAAGTTATACTTTTGATTTTTATTTATAATAGATAATAATGTGCACGATATAAAATTTAAAATTACCAAAAAGTTATTACAGATAAAAGTAAACTTCCTTCTTACTCTTGACAGTCATTATCTAGTTTCTTCCCCCTGAAACAACTAGCATTATCAGTTTTCTGTGTATCTATCTCAATGGTAAAGTTTTAAATGCATGTAAGCTTCTCCCTGCCACAGAACTCCTTCCTACCTGTTTTAAAAGATACACTTTACAGTTTCAGTACATAGAACTTGATGTGTTTAGGTCAAGTTTACTCTGTATTGAAATTTCTTCTCTCAAACTTTATTTCCATAACATAAATAAAGATAGTGTTGACGTGTTTGTGCGTGTGTGTACGGGGTTTCACAAGAGGGCAGTTGTGAAAAGGTGTGTTAAGTGATTAGCTATCACGGTCACTGTTGTCGCTTTTACTTCAACTCTTAATGTCTCAAAAACATATTAATGATAACCTTATTTAGATTGTGGTAGCTCATGCATTAACCTATTTTTAAAAGTAAGGTCTCTGAGGGGTGATATCCTATCTACTTAAAACACGCATGTGGGGACACACACACACACACACACACACACACACACACACACACACAGCGTGCCTATGATGCTTTGCGTCCTAAGGACCTTAAAAATAGCCAAGATGGATAAAGATATACATCAAAGGCTTATGAAATTCCACATTAAAAAGTTTTGTTTTTAGTTAATACCAATGCTATCATGTGGTTCTGCTTCTGGCTGTCACTTTTTCAAAGACCTCTCCAGGCAAAAAATTATCAGAATAAGAATGTATTCTTTGTGTTCAATCCTTTGATCAATATATTATAGCTTGAAATCTTCTTCGATCCTTGAGGTTAATATTATAAGAATGCAACACACTTGCACTGCTACAGTTAGGGAACTGTCAGCAATTCCACAGTTATCTCCCACTTTCAGGGGTTTATAACACCATTAAAACTTGCTGTAGGTTGAATCCTGGCATATGAAAGCACGTCTGAAAATGGATTTTGTTTGTTCCCACCCCTCCAACTGCACTCCTCATCCCTCTCCACATCTGACAAGAGGCACACATACACATCCCTAGGCTTTTTTTAAAAAAGTTTCCAGGAAGGTATTAGTTATCTACCTGATAACTTCAAAATTATTGTCGAATTCTGTACTTTACTAAAATATCATCTGAATAACCCAAGAAAAGGAGTCCAAAGGCCCGTACTATAATGAAAAAGTAACCGTATCTCAAACTGTTATAAGAATTTAACAAAATTGAAAAGCAGCCTCTGTCACTTCTTAAAATTATATCATTACATACATCACCTCTACATAATAACAGGTACAGATAAGTTATTTTAAAATTTACTCATGGGGCTGGTCACCAAGTATATTTTGAGGAAAAAATAGCTCCTCAATAAAATTTCCATGATTAAAAGGGTAAATGTGCCATTCCTTCAGCATATACAAGAGTAACAGCCTAATTTTTTTTTTCCTTTAAACTCCACTCCTGTGACAGTTTACTAATCTTTCTACTGATCTCATTTCATCTAGGTAATGGGAATAGCAGTTTACTTATCCAGATTGTTATGAAACAATTTCTTTTACTGGGTACTGATTAAAGGGTTGACACCTAAAAGAATCCTTGTGATATATTAGAAAAACCATTACTTGAAATTTGTATGCTGAAAAAATGAAAGCCAAGGATTTATTGCTATGTATTTCTACAACCACAGGTAAAAGCTTTGCTTTACAGATTAGATGATAAGAGTCAGGACCTAGATTACAAGACTATGGAAGTCATCAACACCAACATTCCAGCTGGAACCTTGGAGTCAGTTCTGTTTATGCAATTTTGCCATTATAAAACTTAACAGACTTTGTACCCCTGACCTAAATTACTAACAAGGCCTTCTGGCCCAGTGGTCCCCACAGTGGAATGCAGGGAAAAAAATATTAACTTTTAAATTTATTTCTATTTATTTATTTATTTTTGAGATGAAGTCTCACTATGTCACCAAGGCTGCAGTGCAGTGGCAGGATCTTGTCTCACTGCAGCCTCTGCCTCCCGGGTTCAAGTAATTCTCCTGCCTCAGCCTCCTGAGTAGCTGGGATTGCAGATGCGTGCTACCACGCCTGGCTAATTTTCGTATTTTTAGTATAGACGGGGTTTCACCATGTTGGTCAGGCTGGTCTCGAATTTCTGACCTTGTGATCTACCCACCTCGGCCTCCCAAAGTGCTGGGATTACAGGCATGAGCCATCACACCCAGTTCTACTTATTTATTTTAAAAAAATCTATTCACATACGTAGTGATACTAGTGTATGTATATAATTGATCGTGAACCTCAAGGAGCTTTATCTTCAGCCAGTGAAATCTGAAACTTGCCACAACTATTCTTCTCTTTTATTACAATCAATTCTCCTTTTTGACTACAATCTTCCATTACTCTATCTCTTCCACTGCCTTAACCCAGGGATCCCTTCAAGGTACCAAGTCAATCTTTCTTCTGTATTTATTTATTCATTTCTCTATTCTCATTCTACTTGTTCTTTATTACAGAAGCCTCCAATTTCTTGCCCCTTCTGCTTTCTCCTTATTGGCACCCTCTTGGCCTTTTTGTTTTTTCACCAAACAGAAAACACTGGCTGAGCCTAAAATAAAACACTCATTGTTACGTGGTTTATATTTAATATTTTAGTTTTCTATCTTACTTTTACTCCCCCTTTTTTGTTGCCTTCTCTAATTTCTGTTAGTTCTCCTTCCTTACTGGCAAATATCCGTATAGTGAAAGAAGTTGTTTCTACAGCAGTCACAAGAGGTTGGCAACTTGGTGTAACTGTGTTGCTCTGTACATACAAAAATATTTTCCTGGAGTTACACCAAATCACATTACTTCCATATAGTTCCTGTATATTCCTTTCCTGTATATTCCTACACCCATGGCCAAAACAGACTGTAAAATAGCCATATCATTCTTACTATGGATTAGTGTTCTAGAAAACACAAAGTCCTGTGTGTGTGTATATGAAAGAAAAATGTATACATGAAAGAAATTTAATATATTAAATGCAGGTTTCATTTTAAAACGTAGGTGTTGCTTTAAAAAAAGAAGAATGTCAGAAAATTAATATTTACCACTTTAAACTTTCAACGACCTAGGGAAGTGGTAGTAGTATTATTGATAGGAGCGAATTCTTAGGTGATACTAGGAATTAGCTGTGTCAAATGCATATAACACAGAAATCCCCATTACTAAACAATGATCTTTCTCTCTATCTCTTATTATCCTTGATTTATTGCAGGATGCCATTTTACTTCCTATCCAGCTCATTCTGTTGTTCAACCTTTCAATAACTCATTCAGTACTCTAGGCACCTTAAAGCCTTACAGTTTTACCTATTTTATAGACATCCACCCTGCTAGCTATTTTCTCTCTCTGCCTGCACCCAAACCTAAGTCCAACTGAAAGGAATACATATACACTCTGTATCTTCAGAATCACCAATCTCAGCTTGGCATTCAATACAACTTGGCAATTCTCTCACAATTCTCTGGTCAACTCACTTCTGTATTTTCTGCAAAGATCAGTTATACTTTTCTTTTAAAATCGCTTCTGTGTTTCAATACATGGCCTCACCTACTTCACAAAAAAAAGAGAAGCTGTCAGAGAGTAATTAAGTAAATTTCCTTCCAGTACATCTACAAATTTACTTGCACCCATCCTTTCTTCTTTCCCATCTAATAAAAAAGGAGAAGGTGGCTCTCTATGCAATGTCACCTAGATTTGATCCTATCTCTTCTTGTCATCTCTCAAACCTTGATCTATGAATTATTTACCATATCTTTTTTTTTCAGCCTTTTCTACTGGCATCTTTTCATTGACATTTAAATATATTCAAATATCTTCTATCTTTTCTCTTTTATAACAAAACTTTCTCAGAAATCATCTACTTTTGTACTCTTTTTCTTCATTTTTTCTATTTACACAGCAATTCTTGCAATTTGGCCTTTGTCCCCACTATTCCATAAAAATGCTCTCACGAGTCATTCGCAGCCTTAGTCAGGTAAACCTAATACATCTAATTTTCCCTCCTACTTCTTTGTCAGTTATCTTTGTAGGTTCTTCCTATCCAATTCAAAATGAGATCCTCAATGCTAGGTTCTGGGTCTCTCCTTGATTTGTTCTATCTTTTTCCAAAAATGTGTTCTCCGGGTCAGCAGCATAGGGATCATGTCAGAACTCAGAAATGCAAACTCTTGGTCTCCATTTCTAGGCCTACTGAAGACAAAACTCCAGGAGTAGGGTCCAGAAATCTGTATTAAACCTTCCAGGCAATTCTATCTACTACTCTAAAGTTTGGGAGTTATTGCCCCAGACAATCTGATATAATATTTTGCCAGTGATTACAAATATATCTCTGCAGTCTATGCCTCTCTCCCAAGATCTAACTGCCAGGTTGACATGGATATCTCATCGGTGCCTCCTATTGAACATGTCTTCAACAGAGCCACTCATACGCTCTTCCCTTTTCTCCTAACCAGTTCTTCCTCTAGTAATCCCTTTTTCAAATGATATTTACCCTAATGCCCAAGCCAGTAACTCGGAAGCAGCTTTATCTCTTCCCACTTCCTTAATTCCCACCCCCAATTCAATAACTAAATCTCTTAAACATATCTCAAATCTATCCACCCTTTTCAATCTTTACTGCCATCACCTTTGACCAACCTATCATCATCTATTTTCTGACCCACTGCAATAACTTAATCAGTCTCCCCACAATCACTCTTGTCATCCTCTAAACCTTTTCATATCACTCACTTGCTTAAAATCCTTTTATCACTTCTTATAATCCAAAGGTTAAGGAATAAGATTCTTAACAAGGTCTCTAATTCTCTACATCAGGGGTCCCTAACCTCCAGACCATGCAGCAGTAAGTGAGCAGCAGGCAAGAAAGTGAAGCTTCGTTTGTATTTACAGCCGCTGCTCATCACTTGCACTGCCACCTGAGCTCTGTCTGTCAGATCAGTAGTAGAATCAGATTCTCATAGGAGTATGAAACCTCTTGTGAACTGTACATGCCAGTGATCTAGGTTGTGTGCTCCTTATGAGAATCTAATGCCTGATGATCCATCACAGTTTCCCCCATAACCCCCAAATCAAACTGTCTAGTTGCAGGAAAGCAAGCTCAAGGTTCCCACTGATTCTAAATTATGGTGAGTTTTCTAATTATTTCATTATATATTACAATGTAATAATAATAATAGAAATAAAGTGCATAATAAATGTAATTCACTGAACCATCCTGAAACCATACCTCCATCACCCCACCTCCCCACAACTCCCAGGGTCCATGGACAAATTGTCTTCCATGATACTGGTCCCTGGTGCCAAAAAGGTTGGGGACCATTGCTCTATATGATCTGGTAACACATATAAGGAAGTTACAACAGTACCTGGCACATAGTTCACACTTATTAAATGTTATGTAGTATCTTAGGCCATTCCCACTCTGTTTTATAGCTATCTGACTTATTTCAAGTCCTCCAAGATACTCTTTCTTACCTTAGCACTTCAGTAGAAAGAGTGCCACCCCCACCTCCATCTTAAGTCACCTCTGAAGTTTCAGTTTTTCCTGCACATTCCCTCAACAAAATTAGAAGTTTTACCATTTTATAGTCCAAAAACATTCTGTACTTATTTGAAATATTAATCACACTGTTAATTATGTAAATAATCTTTCTTTCTCAATAGAATTTAAGTTCCATGTAGGCAGGCAGTGGATTGGTTTTACCTACTGCTGTAACCCCTGTCTGGCAGAATTCCTGGAAAACAGCAGATAACAGTAAATGTCGGCCAAGTAAATACTTGTTATCTACTTCCAATTTCATAAAACTTTCTCTTCCCTTGAGTTCTGTTACACTCAACTTTTCTGTTTGTCCTCTTCTATCTCTCACTACTCTTTCTTTGGCTTATCTTCTGATCTTTGTTGCTTTTGGTATTGCCCAAGTTTTTGTCCTTGGCTATCTTCCTAGTTCTGCTGGCAGTTTCTTCTTGGTAATCCTACACATATCAGGTTTTCAACTATCATCTCTGGACAGATGATTTAATATGTTTTACCTCAACTATAATCTCTCTCTCTTTTTTTTTTTTTTTTTTTTTTTGAGATGTGGTCTTGCTCTGTCACCCAGGTTGGAGTGCACTGAGATCATGACTCACTGCAGCCTTGAACTCCTGGGTTCAAGTGACCCTCCTGCCTCAGCCTCCCAAGCAGCTAGGACTACAGACATGCACCACCATACCGACACCCAGCTAATCTTTTTTTTAAAGTTTTGGTAGAGACAGGGTCTCACTATGTTGTTCTTATCTGGTCTAAAACTCCTGGGCTCAAGCAAAACTTCTGTTGTGGCTTCCCAAAGTGCTGGGATTACAAATGCAAGCCAAATCTTTTCAATTTAAATCCCATGTTTCCAAATGCTTAGTGTATGTGTCTATCTGGCTCCTTAATGGCATCTCAAATTCAGATATAACTAAAATTGAGATTCTGATTATCTTCCCGAAAAGTTCCTTGTCCTGCTCTTACTTTTAATGAATGATACAACTTTCTGTTAGTCAGGTCTGAGACCCAAATCTTTCCTTCACTGAGTCCTTCTCTATTCTTTATAGTCAAATAATCAGCAGGCCTCTCCTGTGGATTTTGACAGCAAAATTTTTCACACTTGTCCTACTTTTCACTTGAGCAGCCACTACTGGAATTCAGTTTTTATTAACTTATTTGAACTATGGCAATAGCCATGTTATTTTCCTTGACTTCAACATTGTTGCCACACTAATTTTCCTGAAATCCAATTTTCTTCTTTTTCATTAAAAAAAAAAAAAAGTTCATGCTAAGAAGTTAGGGCTTTCTATCACCTTCTAAATAAAGCCTAAATTTCTTCGCTTAGCATTTAAGAAGATTGAGTAATTGGCACAAAAATTATCATTTATCATCCTCAGATCTGCCTAATAGCTAGCTGGCCTTCCCACTCTTATTTTTTTGTCTGGGAAGCTTTTCACTCATTTTTATATTTCTACATCCTATCAAGACCTGTTCAAATACTACTTCTCATGAAGACTTTACTGAGAGCTGTTGTGCCCCTCTCCACTCCAAATCCTGTTAATAATCTCTCCCTTCAAGGATATCTCATAGTGATTTTTCATGGTAGTGCAACTTTCTACCTTGAAGCATTTTTTTTTTTTTTTTTGGCACAAGTGTTATGTCCCCTATAAAACTCTGAGTATTTTAAGGGCAGAATCTATACATATCTTTTTGCCTATCTCTTTACCAGTCTACAAAGTACCGCAAAAATAATAGCTATAGAATTACTGGAATTAAGTGATCAAAATATAGCGGTCTTATGTCTCCATCTATACAATTATAGCCATTTCCAAGGTCCCTTTAGCAAAAATCACAAAAGTAACTCGCCCCTACCCCCACAAAATAATCTGCAAACATCAAAAAGCAAAAGCAAAGGAAGACAATCACCTCTTTCATGACTGGGGGCTTGTAGGACAATCCTCCTAACTGTAATACTCTCATAATCTTTCACCTGGCTTGTTTAAATTCATTAATCCCACTGGACTGTAAACTTCATGAGAGCAGGAACTTTTGTTTTGTTCACTGTTATATCCCTAGTGCTTCAAACTTAATAAGGGCTCTAAAATATTTATTGAATGAACTAGGTTTGGGTAAATGTCACCTTATGAGGCTTCTGTGACCTCTCAACCTAAATTGGGCATTCATACATAAATATAAGTATGTGCTTTCCCCTAGATCTGTTTTTCACCCTACCTGCCAATCTCAAAAGAAGTCCAAAGTTGATCATACGCATGTGCCCCAGATGAAGGAAACTGAATCTATTCACACAGAGTGCAGTATTACCATTTCCATTTCATAATGACTCTAAAAAACTTTTTCCTTCATGACTTCGCAAGCTCTTGCAACCCCTTCCAATAAACATTCTTTTAAAGATGCTGCCGCTTTCATTCCTCCACTTGGTTCTGGATAACAGATGCCTTAGGGACACCTGGAATCGCAGGAGAAAAGGCTCCGATTCCAAACCAATCAAGTGGCTGAAAGCTGACAGCAAACAGAAAAGGAATGTCAATCCTTTGATCAAAGCATGACACACCGAAGGCCTAGAATGAGGGATGGTCCTTGACAGGGAAGCCAAAAGATGAGAGACAAGGAGGGAGCTACGTAGAGAAGTCACAAAAACCCTCTAACAAAGTCCGAGGCAGGGTTCCAAGTCCCTAGTCCCTAGACCTAGAAATATTCTCAGTCCGCATGCCCCGGCCCGCAACTCCCTCGAAGGAAGCCCGGTCCTCACTGAAAGAGGAGAGCAGTTAGTCTAGGGCACGCAACCGCCCGCAAATTACGATGTTTCCCCTCGAGGAGCGAGTTAACTAATACCCCACGTAGCTACTTTCCCACCTAACCCCTAGCGCGGGTTTGGGAGGGGAGGTCGCGAGCCTCCAGGAGGCTGCCGGGAGCAGAGTCGCTCAGCACAACTCACCGTTCCGCCCCGCCCTGCCGATCCGTCTGGTCCCGGTGGCCTCTTCGGAAACGGTTCCCACACTGGCGGGCTCCGAAAGCGGGAAAACAAAGGTTCCCACAGTAGGGCCGGGGGAAACGTTTGGCAGTGAGACAGTAGGAAGTGACGTTACTTCGCCTTTTCCGGTCCGCCGGATTATGAATGACGGTCGGCGGGAGTATTTTCCAGATAAACAGCCTGTTGTTTTTCTCTCGGCTTCTGTGGAAGTTAGTGGTTTGCAGGCAGCAGCTCCCAGAGGCAGCCTCGGAATTCCAGCTCCGGCTGGGCGGGAAGGCGCAGGCGGCCCAGGTCTCCGACACGCTCACGCACCCTCCCTGCCTGGCCGCGCCTCTGCGACCAGGTAAAGAGGGCGCTCGGGCCGCCGGCTTATTAGCCCCTGCGACCCTCTAAGGAGTACTCTTTTCTTCGGGTGTTGCAGGGCTGAGCATGCGGGGAGAAGAGTGGGAAGGACAAGGGCATGGTATTATCGTCCTGATTTTTCTCTAGCCATGGGGCCGCCTCCAACTCCTTTTTGCCCATTCCTGCCGAAGGTGCGGGTCAGGGCTCTGGGCTCGTCAGTAGTTCGCGCTTCCCAGTTTCCCCCTAGCTAATCCCTCATGCCTTCTTCTGCCGATGGAGGAATGGGGCAGCTTCCAGTTGGAGGCGTTTGTGGGGTGGTTTGATGTTTGCTGTTAAGTGTAATTTCATGTCATGACCTCTTGGGTCACACTTTAAACTTCTTTTCTCTGGCATTGAGTTTTCCATTCCAGCCCTTTCTGATTGCAGAAAGCAGTTCTATGTGAATACTACTTAATATTTACTCCAAAGGACTTGCATCATTTTGGGCCATTTGCTTATGTTTTGTCATCACAGCAGTATCTCTTCGGTTCTTGACTTACATAGAAAATTTAACTTGCATGAAAGTTGCTTTGGCTTCGGAAACGTTTGCTAATACACGTACTTTCCATCCCAGCTTTCTACCTGGTTTTGGGATTAGGTGACTTGTTTTTTCCCCTTTATTCTTAATGCCAGGAGTTCATTCCTTGTCATAAGTTATTGAGTATCAAGAAAAGTGTCAGCTTTAGTAATGTATCTTGTGCTACATTATTGATAAAGCGGTGTATTTCTATTTTTTCTAAGTTTATCTGTAGAAGCAACGTTTACAGGAGATGCTAGCAAAAGCTAGCAAGAACTAGTGATGTGATAATTTTAAACATGTAAACATGGTCATTTAAATCCATGAAAATAAACTGTTATAACACAACTAAGTGATTCGCTGTCATATTTAATAAATCAAACATTAAGCTATGTGGGTGGTGGTTTTTTTTTAACTGCCTAATGGGGAGCATACACCACTGAGAGGATTGTTTTAAGCATACTCATTACTAAAAATTGTTTGTATTACACCTGAAGGTATCGTCTTATGAGGTCTCACTTCAAAAATAAGATTGAAAAAGTCAATGAGATTTGAGAATAATCTTACCAGTTCTTTTTTTATTTTTTGTATTTTGCACTTCTACGTGTTTGCTTTAAACAGAGCTCAAACTTGAGCTTCTGTAATAGTGGGCCTATCAAGTTTTTTTTTTGTTTTTGTTTTTGTTTTTCTGAGATGGAGTCTCGCTCTGTCGCTGGGCTGGAGTGCAATGGCACGATGTCTGCTCACTGCAACCTCTGCCTCCCGTCTCAGCCTCCCGAGTAGCTGGGATTATAGGCGCCTACCACCACACTCGGCTTATTTTTGTATTTTGTTTTGTTTTTTTAGACAGAGCCTCGCTCTGTCACCCAGGCTGGAGTGCAGTGGCGCAATCTTGGCTCACTGCAACCTCTTTCTCCCAAATTCAAGCGATTATCCTGCCTCAGCCTCCTGGTGGGGGCAGGGTTTCACCATGTTGACCAGGCTGGTTTACAACTCCTGACCTCAAATGATCCGCGCACCTCGGCCTCCAAAAGTGCTGGGATTACAGGCGTGAGTCATGAACCTGAATTGTTTTTTTTTTTTTTTTTTCTTAACCTGTTCTTGTAGCTTTTGTATCATCTGTGATTTTTAAATAAGAATAAATACTGAGTATCCAAATAGCCTTTCTAACAGCAGCAATTTAGCAGGCCTCAAAATTAACAAGTTCTGGAGCCAGCTAACCAATACATCTGTAGTATACACAGTTCCCGGGTATATGTTGTTTTTATTATAAGGTATTTAAGGTAGCCTATGGAATTCTGTTATGCAGAATACTGGAATACTTGGAATACAGATACTTAAACCATTTAGATTAAAACAAGCGCAGGTATTGTTTGCTGTGAAAATTCAATAATTTTATTTCATACTTGATATTTCTAAGGTGTTAGCCATTTGCGCTCTGGATCCCTGTTAATTATGAGGTCAGGTTTAGCTGCAGGCATTATGACTCCATGGCAACAGGTGATTCTCCAGAGAGATTACACACTTCATTTAAGGCTAAGATTACAGTAAACTTTTCACTTCAAAACTTTTTTTCCTACATCTTTACTGGGTAAGAAAACAGCTAATTTTAATTATAGCTTTTGTTCTCTAGGAATTAACTGCATCCCATATTACATATTTAATGAGCTTGAAAAATCTGTTTTTTTCTTATCTTTTTTGACCTTAAATATTTAAGGTAATTGGCTGCTATCTATCCATGTAGGGGTAAGTTTTGTCTTTTTTGTTGTTGTTAAATCTATATTATTGTAATAGGGTTCAATATTCAACCAAATCGTGTTTTATGAAAAGCATAAAACACAAGCTAAGTTATAAAAAATTCAAAATGTTGAACATATGATGTAGGAGAGAATTTAAGCAATATTAAATTTTAATCTTTAAGAAAAGTTTGTAATTTTTTCATACTTATAAACTGTGTTGAACTTCTTATTTTGTATAATATAATAGGTTTATATGTGCATGGATTAAGGGTTTCACATTTATATTTTATAATTTCATGATTACCTGACTTTCAGCCTCAGTAACAAATATATTTTTTCAGTATTTGGCTGGGAAAAACTTTTCAATCAGTATAAACCCCTTTTTATGGAAAGAAGCTTGGAAATATAAAGCATAATTGAGTTTTGCCCATCAAAGTTTGCATATTTTAATAGTGCCAATTGGTAAGGAATTTGGTTATAAATTATAAAGGAATATAGCTGGTATTTATTTAACCTGAATATGTGACAAACTTTGATCTGTACAGCACACTACATGGTAGGTATAGTTATTATTGTCTCTATGTTATGTAAGTGAGGAAACACATCTGTAGAAAAGTTTTTTATAGCTTCTAAGAATCAGAACCAGGATTTGCACCCAGTAGTCTGGCTCAGCAGTCTTGGGTCTAATCTATTACTTTATAATTCTTGTTTTATAAATAATCTTGCTAGGCACATGTATGGAATCTAGTTAAGATTCTTAATTCCTTTGCCCTGGACATCAGTGTACATAAAAACTTCACTGCTTTCTTTATGAGTTTGGTTAGATTCCGTTTATACTTTTCTCAGTTCACCTCACAAAGATTATCTTGTTTCTTCATTTTAGTTTATACTTGGTCCTTAAAAAGAAAGAATGGTGTCATGAAGAATGAGATTCATGTTGTACCAAGACTAAAGTTCTTAATACTCCCAGTGATTACTGACATTCATGTATGTACATACCCATTCCTTGAACTAAAGTTTGAGTTCATTAAGCACTGGAGGTATTATAGTGTTAGGTAATAAGAGCTATGAAGAAAAAGGAAAGCTAGGTAAGAGGCTAGGGAGTGCTTTTTCAAGTCAGGCAGTTAGGAGAGGCTGTTCTGTGTTGATATTTACGCAGATAAATCAATGAAATGAGGGAGCAAGCCATGCGAATCTCTTGGAGAAAAGCATTCTAGGTGAAGGAACAACAAGTACAAAAATTCTCAAGTGAGAGCATTTCTGGCACCTTCTAAAAACAGCAAGGACAACTATGGCTAGAAGGGAGTGAAGAAGGATAACAGATGAGGTCAGAAAGGGATAGCTAGGGTCACAGTAGGCCTATAGGCCATAACAGGAAATTTGGATTTTATTCTCTGTGTGCTGAAGAGCCATTGGATGTTTTTGAGCAGGAGACATGATGTGATTTATGTTTTTCAGGATCACCCTATTGTTGGAGAATGGACTGTTTTATGGAAAATGGAGGAAAATAGTTAATAGGCTTTTGTAGTAATCCTTGTAAGCACTGGTGATGACTTAGATTAAGGTGATAGTGGTAGAGGTGCTAAGGAGTTGGATGTAGCATATATTTCAAAGGTAGAGATGGCAGAGTGTGAGAGAGAGATAAAAAGTTGAGTGGGACTTTGAAGTTTTCGGCTTGAGCATCTGGGTGATTGGTGTTGCCATTTTAACTGGAAGTAGAACACTAAGGGAAGGGGAGCAGTTTAAGAAAACATCCATAGGGACATGTCAAGTAGAATATAGGCGTCTCGAGTTAGGGGAGAAGATGTGGCCGGGATATACATGTAAGAGTCAGATAATATTTAAAGCTATAGCACTGGAGATCACCCAGAACAGTGCTGTCATATCATAAGTTGTGCCCCATTAATGAGTCAGGAAATCAATGTAATGAGCAACAACCAGCATTTAAAAAAAACTAACAAGCACAGAGAAAAAAATATCGGATTTATCTCATAGAGTAGGGTAAATATTGCTTCATGACATTTTTGTTTGCATTTTATTCAGTGTATTGTGAGTTACATTATAAAATATGTAACTAATTGTGTGGCATGATCAAAAGTTTGAAACCCAGTATGTATTCAAAGGATGGAGTGTGGATTGAGAAGAGGGCAAAACACTGAGGTGTGGGTCACTGAGATATCTGCAGAGTAGCCAATGAAAGGAATCGGGAAAGAATTGCCAAATAATTTAATCCAGTGCAGAAACTTGTCAAATAACCTAGCCTTTGGAATGCAAGTTTATATCAAGGATAACTGAGACCAGCATACTTGCTTAGAATAACACTATATCTAGTGATTTTCACTTTGGTAAAATTGCTTCAATTTATGAAATTTTATTTATAAATAGTACTATTATATTAGAACAATACCTATTCTTAAATTTCTCTAAGATTTTTTTATAAGTTTAATACTTTGGACTGATGTACAATTCTCATCTCTATAATGGAAATAAAATACTTTAAAGTAATGCACATGTTCTGTGTGCTCAGCACATAGTAGGTAGACAATAAGATGTATGTAACATTTAAAACGTTATTTGCCTAAGATTTATTGAGCTCCTATCAAATCGTAGCCATAAAGAGAAGTTATTTGAAAAAAAAGGAAAACACAGGTTAATAATTTGCAGCAGTTATACACATTTTGGTCTTCATTATATAACATATAATTTATTATGTAATGTTATACATAATGCCATAGATCTTGACTTGAAATTTGATCGCAAAATTTTCAAGCTTTTTTTTTCTGGACTTCGGAGAAGTATGCTTATTTTTAATATGCTTACTGTTTATTTCTCTCTCATTCTCTGTATTTCATCAAGGCAAAGATATATTCATTAGAATGAAAGTACAAAAAAAAATTAGAATATTTTCAAGTCATGAAATCAAAGCCCTAATATTTTCTTTATACCTATTTGTTCCATCAACAAGATTCTAAAGCAAATTGGCATGTCCAGGAAAGAGATGCACACTCTATTTAATATCCTGAAGTTGGTGGTTTTGTCTGCGACTTTCTCACTCTCTCTCTCTGTAGAGTGGCACCTATCAAAGCCGAGAAAGAGCAAATTACTCTATTTCTGTGGCAGGAATGCAATATAGAGTTATAAGGGCTATCCTCCAGAAGCCCTAGAGACAGAAGTTTATTCTATAGTACCTACCTTCTTAAAGCTCGTGACATAAAATTAATGAACTAGGGCATTCTCAAGCTAGAAAAGAAAAAAGAGGAGGGATTTTTTTTTTCCTGCGATATTTGCCTACTTGGAGCAAATACTGTGTTCTACCTCTAAAAAGACACAGTGTAAGCCAAAAACACCACATTTGTACGGTTTACTAAATACTTAATATTTCTTTTAAAAAATTGCATTAGTACATAATAGGGAGACGTTACTCAAGGAAAGTAATTTTTTTTTTTTTACTCTAAGATTATTAAGTGACATTTTTAATCTCCCAGGGGAAAAACCAATATCTATATTAAAAAAATATGTTAAGAATCAACAGTATTTTGTTGCAGTTTCTCTCAGGCATCTCATCAGTTTTTAGTATCACCATGGGCAGGTTATTGCTATTCTAATTTGCTGACATTTAGCATTTTATTAAGTGCTAATAGTGAGAAGAGCTTATAGAATATGTCTAAAACCCTATTTTCGTATTCTTATGTGCTTTGCAAAGTGGCAAATATAGATGTACTTTATTTTTTAAAAATATTTCTGTGTATCTTAAAAGCTATTAAATAGCATGGCTTTGTTTCCAGTTTTTAAAAAGTGTTAGGATGAGCCTCATAATTACTATTTTTTATGCTGCTGGGAAAATGATGAAATCAGTCATATGTTTTTCAAATCTGCTGTCTTGAAACACTTAGGGGTCTTCTTTTTACTATCTTACTGTCAGGAGAGTGAGTCCATAGCAAACTCCTCAAAAAGACTGTTAATTCCTGGAAAGTGTGGTAGGTTCTTTTTGCCCTACTGTTGTTTCAGACCTCACTTTGTTCGATTCTTTTTAAGGACTTACAGCATAAAGGTGTAAGAAGCTTAAAGTGTTTAGCTCTTTGGATTTTTTTAAAAAATGAATTTATAAAAAGAAAATTTAGTATGGTGAAGGTTTTCTAAAATTAAGTGTGCGCTAACATTTTGAATGCACTTAAAAGACAAAAGTTGCATATATACTTTTAAAAAGCTTTTAAAGTAATTTTCCTTCTAATATGTCACTTTTCTGGTATGTATTTCCATGGTGAATGCTTTTAAAGAGTGCCATCTAGTGTCAGTTTTGGAATTTTAATTTATGGATTTGAACATTGGGTATTTTGGACCCAGGAAATGCATGCATTAAACATAAAAAGTCATGACAATTGATAAAAGCCTTAAGGAATATGACTTGAAAATAGCCATGAAGAATCTGACCTCAAGACTGTGTGTGTTTGCACCTTTAACCAGTGTGTATATTTATCTATGCATTCATTTGTCAAATACTGCTTGCTTATGTATATAGTAAATATATAAAGCAGTGAAAAAAATTTTTTTCTCATGAAACATTCTTGTTGGGGAAGAGAAATCAAATAAAAAAGTATAGTATATCACCATAGCAATAAGCACTATGGAGAAAAAACATAAATGGAAATAGAAAGCTTTTTTTTTCAGAGAGCAGGGATTGGGGTTTGCAATTTAAATCGAGTAGTCAGGGAGGATCTCAGTAAGAAGTTGCCATTGAATAAATAAATACCTGAAGGAAGTGAAGAAGTGTTCTAGGTACTGGAAACACCAAGTGCAAAGCCCCTCATGTGGAAATGTACCTCGTGTTTTTGCAGGGGTCCCCAACCCCTGGGCCCAGGACCAGCACCCATCTGTGGCCTGTTAGGAACCCCACCTCAAAGCGGGAGGTGAGTGGCAGGCAAGCCAGCATTACCGCCTGAGCACTGTGCTGTTGGATCAGCGGCATTAGATTCTCATAGGCGTTCCAACCCTGTTAACTGCACATGCATTCACACACAAGGGATCTAGGTTGCATGCTCCTTATGAGAATCTAATGCCTGATGATATGAGGCAGAACAGTTTCATCTGGAAACCATCCCCATCCCCCACCAACCCCCATAGAAAAATTGTGTTTTATGAAACTGGTCCATGGTCCCAAAAATGTTGGGGATGGCTGTTTTAGAGGAATAACAATCTACTTTGGCTGGAACAGTGAGCAATGAAGAGAGTTAATGAGACAAACTCAGAGACATAAAGGAGGATTAGATCAAGGAGATCTTTGTAGGCCGGTGTAGAAACTTTGGCGTTTCTCTAGGAGGATGGGAAGACATTGGAGGGTTTGGTTATCGGGGTGTGAAGGAAAAGAATGGTGTAAACTGAGATGGGGAAGACACATAAGGAGCAGCTTTGAGGGGTGGAAGAGAATAAGAAACTAGATTTTGGACATGTTAATTGTAAGATAGCTATCAGTATCTTTTATGGAGAAATTTTAATATTTTTATATTATGATTCAACAAACAGCTGTCACTTACTTGAGAAGAATCCACTTCTGAAAGAATGAATATCCCCTATCTATTATTTCGTAGGGTCATAAAAAAGAAGCAGTATGGAGGGATGAACACTGTCAAAACTTCTCAAGGATATTATACCTAGACAGCTCTCAGTATTCTTAGTTGATTTGTTTCCCCTTCTATTGATCTCCTGTTCTCACCTATAGTGAGATTCCAAACTGCTTAATTGGGAAGGCTTTATTGCAAAGCACTGAGGTATGTTCATTTTAAAGGAGCTGGGTGTAAAATTTCCTCTAAGGCTAGTTATAACACAGAGTAAAAAAAATTTTTTGGAAGCCATTTGGTCTTCAGAAACAAATCTCATAGCATCGTTATTTACTGCAAACTTTTACTGATTCCTAGAACAGGCTTTTAAAACATTTATCTTTTATTTTAGCTTGTAAATGATTATATTCTAAGACCATAATCACTTCAATTTATATCTTAGGTGATCCAATGAAAGAAGAAAATGAAAGCCATCAAGAAAAATCTTACAGAAGAAGAATACCTGTATCTGGACTTTTCTCACCAAACAAAAGGATGCATCTTTCCTCTTCATACATCTGTAACTTTATTTCTGTTATCTTACTGTGACTGCAAAATCTTTAAAATTTGCTTAGTTGTCACCAAAGAAGTGAGTACAGATAGTTTACTACTAAGAGATGATCTGATCCAAGATGTTGAAATACAGATTATTTCAAGGCAAGAGCTCCCACCAATAGTCCAGAATTGCTGTTTGCCTGCAGTAGTAGAACGATCAGACAATTTTTGTAGAGCAGGACTTGCTGTTGTATTAAGACACATAATCCAGAAATCATATGAAGCAGATCCCTTAAAGAAGGAACTTTTGGAACTTCTGGGCTTTAAAAAGACTTGCTTGAAAGCCTGTGCCGAAGTAAGTATAATGTCTCTTTTCTGTTATTTGAAGCTACACAGTGATACTTGACCATTTAATATTTTAACTTCCTATTAGGAATAAAAGTTCATTTATTAAAAAAAAAAAAAAACACCCACAGTAACCAGTGAACTAAAGTAACCCTTTGATGTAGTTTGAATATTTATCCCCTCTAAATCTCCTGTTGAAATGTGATCCCCACTGTTGTTAAAGGTGGGGCCTGGTAGGAGGTGTTTGGGTCCTGGGGGCAGATGCCTCTTAAATGGCTTGGTGCTCTCACTGGGATGAGTGAGTTCTTGTTCCATTAGTTCAGGAGAGATCTAGCTGCTGAAAAGAGCTTGGTACCTCCCCCTTGTTCTCTCTTAAACCCTCTCTCCCCATGTTGACACACCTGCTCTCCCTTCGCCTTCCAACATGACTAAGAGCTTCTTGAGGTCCTGACCAGAAGCAGATGCTTCTTGTATAGCCTGCAGAACCATAAGCCAAATAAACCTCTTTTCTTTATAAATTACTCAGCCTCACTTATTCCTTTACAGCAATGAAAAATGGGCTAATATACCCTTTATGTGTGCAATATTTCAGTGCATTATTGAAAAATAAAAATTTAAGTTTTAATTTATAAAATTTGGAGACATTTTTAGAGAATAATTTTTTTTCTTTATTTTAGTTATGTTGAGGAATTCTAAATGGAATGTTTACATATAAATAGGAGCTCAAATAGCAATGCTTTGGAAGCCCTGCTTTTTGTGGGGGCTGGGATGGGGGCAGGACAGGGAAGGTGTATTTTAAAGGCTTTGGGAAGTAATGATTTATTTCGTAAGGGGAATACAGGAATGCTAAACCTCCTTTGCTTAATGTTTTTAATTCCAAAGCACTGTGATGTATCTCTTGATATAGCATAAAAGTCTAGTCTAGGGATGATTTAGCTCAAAGCTTATTTCCAAATAAGACAGTTATTTTTCTCAAGTTATGCTGAAATTAAAAAAAAACTTTCATTTCTTGTTTTGTTTTTGTTTTGTAGGTTAGTCAGTGGACCAGGCTATGTGAACTCACCATCCCTTTGGCTATTGAGAATTTTCTGAGAGAGTCTTTTGACCAGCCCCCAACTATACCTGTAGAAATACTACAGCTAGAGAAAAAGCTTAGTGAGCCTGTTAGAGTGCATAATGATGATAAACTCCGCAGGCAGAAGCTCAAGCAACAGAAGGCTGATGGAGCTGGGCCTCCTCTTACTAAGGGAAAGGCAAAGAGCAAGGTCCACACACAGGAAACATCTGAAGAGCTGGACTCTGCATCCAAGAGTCTGGAACTGAAAGTGGCATTCTCAAAGCTCACGGTACAGGAAGAACCAGCTATTACCAACAGAGAGCCGTCTCACATCAGAAAAGCAAAAGCCTCCGACCTTCCACCTCTGGAGCATGTGTTTGCAGAAGGGCTTTACTTCACTCTGGCAGATATCGTGCTATTGCCTTGTATCCATCATTTCTTGGTAAGGTTTTATCTGAACTGTATACTTTACTATGAGTTTCAATCTATGAAATTGCCTAGGGAATTTCAATTCTACTTCTTATTGTCAGTATGCTGCTAGGCAAGTTATTAATATCTTTCTCCATTTTCTTATCTGTAAAATGGAGATAATAATAGTACCTTTCTAATAGGAAAAATGTAAGGCGCAAACTAAAGTTTGTGTGAAGTATGGAGAACAGTGCTCCGCACATAGTAAGCTCTCAATCAGTTAGTAATTATTATAACTTTTAATGTGAAGTTGCTAAAATGTTAACAACTGTTATTAATTTCAAATTTGCAATTATTTGTGATTATTTTCTAATATTAGAAGGTCCAAGCCAGCTCTATGGTGCAATGGATAGCACATTGGACTTCTAATATTAGGGGGTCCAGTATTAAAAAAAAAAAAAACTAAAACTTTTATAATTACTAGTCACATAAATTAATCTCATGTTAGATATTATCAAATTGAAAATATTTTATTCTGATCTGTGTACTTCTCTTTTCTCTATGAGATTAAAATAGCTGGCTCTGCTGTTATGTGCTGGGGGAGAATAGAAAGTTTTTTGAGTAGGAAGATCTCTCTCTCTCTGTCTCTCTGTCTTACACACACACACACACACACACACACACACACACACACACTTCCTCTGTTGAGATAAGAACAGGATGAAAATAATACCACACATCACACACACACACACAGACACACACACACATTTCCTCTGTTGAGATAAAAAGAACAGGATGAAAATAATACCAGAGTGAACATAGGAAGCTTAATTCTCTGCAGCCTTCCAATTGGTTTTCAAGAGCTACATTGCTTTTTGCTTTTGTTTTGTTTTTTTTCTTTGAAGAATTTCACCCTTTTCTTTACTAAGGAATCAGATATTAGATTTTATCCTCATTTTATGTCACCAGCAATTCAGGTATCTCTACAGTCAGAAGAGACTTCTAACAAAAATCTATGTATTCGAAGGCCCTGCTTCACTAGTATTGATCAATTGTCTTTTCTTAAAGAACATTTCTCTTTTCGTCAAAATTAACAGAAAATTGGCAACCAAAACAATGTACAAAGAGGGAGATCCAGGACTTGTTTAGATGTTGATTGGTATTTTTAATGCCAAATGTCATATGTCTTCATAAAGTCCATGGAGTTGAGTGGGAAGAAAACATTGATTTTTAAGTTTTTTCCTTGTCAAATGATTTCTTGATTCTTCTCCCTGATCCCTCTCCTCTATTACCAAGTTGAGTCATTAGAGCAGTCATTTGATATATTATGAAATACTTGGTCTTCTGTCTTCTTGACTTCTTTGAATAATTGTGTTTCCATTTTTATCAGAATTGAGTGAAAGTGGCATATCTGTTCATTTATTAAAGAAATTTATTGAAATTATATGAATATGCAAATTCTCAAAATATTTTCCTTTGTTCCTTTGTATTTTTACTGGATTTAACATATTTTCTTTCAGGGATTCATCTTTCTTTGCTAAAGCCTTGGTATTTGTTATATTTTTCTCCTTTAAGTCACCTTGGATAATAAAGCAGTCATTTTAATTCATATAGTGGTTATATTGCCAGGCCTTTTTGCTTGCGTTAACATACATTGAGGTGAATGGAGTGGCCATGCAAATGATCAGAATCAGGATTAAGTTCATAATCAGTAATCAAAGTCAAGTTACCAAAAGCCTAAAACTGAACCCAGGAACAGAATATTTAGTCACAGGAATAAAAAGTAAAGGACATAAAAAAGTAGAGTCAATTTTGCATAGTCAAGGTTTGAATTACCAGGGGTCAAAATTTAGAAGAACTAGGGAAAATACCCAGTTCTGCTAAACAGAATAAAACCAAAGATACAAAACAATAACAAATAGAATGGATGAGGTTTTTTTTTTTTAACTTGTCAGAGACAAACATGGAAGGGCTAAGGTATTAGGTATAAACCTGCTTCAAGCTCTTCCTTTTCAGAAAATACTTTATAACTTTATAAAGTTAACTCTGATGGCCCAGCACCTCATAATGGAAGGGGCCTGGCAATATACTCTCCTCTGAAAAGTCTTAGAAATATATTTAAAAGGAATAAATTAATATGTACACTCATGTTTTCCCCTCTTTAATTCATTTGCAGGAATCTTCTAGTAGATAGTATAATAAGCACATGGGAGAAGTAGTAATAAATAGCTATACTAGGGCAAAATCCTACTGTTCTGACACTAGAAGATTGTATATTATTTTTCAATCACTGCTAGTAAGCAGGTACACTTTGACAGAACTATTTAAAACATGATTGTACTCCTATAAGACAGAAAGGTTGCATTTTATCATTTTATAAAATCTTTTTGTAATTTTAACACTTATGATTTAATTTTCTACATTTTAACTTCTAATGCTTTTAATTAAATACACACGCACACGCGCATACACACACGTGCGCGCGCACACACACACACACACACACACACACACTTTAATAGCTTAGGTAAAATAATTCCTCTTTTAGAAATTGATTTTTTAGCAAAACTAAATACCTCTTTCAGTGTCCCCATTGGCATAAAATTGGGAACAAAATAGACATCTCACTTTTTGCTAGCATATTGCAAAAATGGTGGATGCCACTTATTTAGTGGTAAATTTGTTTTTCTATGCCTTCTCCGATGCATTAGGTGTTAGGTCCTCAAGAGTTTTTAGCTTTAACTCACTAGTTCTAATTTATAAGTAAGAAACAGAGCTGGGATTATATTTCCATTTAGATATGTTATTTACTATTTTTTCTGTGCTTACACTGCTCACCTGAACATCTGTGAAGTATATTTTCAAAAAAGTAGGTATGACTAAGGAAATGATATAAAATAAGAATAAAATATTTTATATAATAAGAGATTGCAAAGGAGGAGATATTTTGAATAGATGGAACATCTTGCTTCTCTTTTTATTCAGACAAATTTTTCTGCCCGTTTTTGACAGTTAACTACAGAGTTACTAAAATTTTATTTTTGCTTAGGTAGCAATACATTTTTTTTTGAAACCATTATCTTAAAAAAATTATCTTTTTTTTCTTGTCCTTAAAGAACTCTGTGATACTTATAATGGTTTTGATCTGATAAGCCAGGTAACTATTTGGTAATCATTTCTTAAGAAGAAACTTAATTTTCATTTCATATAGATTTCATTAGCAGCTTTCTTAAATATATCTTCATAAGTGTAATGAATGTGGTTCATTACCTTCTGAGCTATCTGAATATTAATAGAGTGGCCTGGCATGTTGATTAAATGGAGTGACCCGTCGCACAGGGTAAACCTCCTCAATTTCTTTTAAATGTGAATTATTGTTATTTAATCACAACTTAGTTTCAAAAGAAAGGAAGGATGCCATGTACATCTAACAAATAAGAATAAATCACTAAAAACAAGAGTACAGGAAAAATGAGGAAAAGAGAACGTTTCTGGTGTGATTATCATGTCTAAAGATCCAGTCTGAGGGAATGCCCTTAGCATCTAATCTATTTCCAAGCAATTAAGAATTCTGGAAGGAATTAATAAACTTTTTGGCTCTCAGAGTGCCATGTAGAGTATTTTTCAAACTTTTTTATACTTTAACTCAGTAAATACAGATGGCCCTCCATATCTATGGGTTCTGTATTCATGTATTCAACCAACCGCAGATTGAAAATATTTGGGAAAAAAATTGCATCTGTACTGAACACATACCGACTTTATTTCTTGTCATGATCCCCTAAACAACACAGAATAACAATTATTCGCACAGTGTTTATATTGTATTAGGTATTAGAAATAACCTAGAGGAGGATGTGTATAGGTTATATACAAATACTACACCATTTTATGTCAAGGACTTGAATACGGGCATCTGTGGATTTGGGTATCTGATAGAGGTTTTGGAACCAACCTTCCATGGATACTGAGGAACAATTGTAATACATTTTACAAATTGAGTAAGTGTACAAATAAATGTATATCTTTAAATAATATGTAAAAAAATAATTGCAAAATAACTTACATGATGTATACTCTGATATTTTATATATCATTTTTTAAAAACCTACTATGTTGATTTCACGACCCCTAAATGAGTGATAAATAGCAGTTTGAAAAATACTGAGAGGGTTATTCTCTGAAGATAATAAATGGATTCTTGATCATTTGTTCATTCATTCAACAGAGTATTTGCAAGGTAGTGTTTTAAGTGCCTCAGTATTCAAAGAGTCAGATACAGTCCTTGTTCTTATAATCAATTACTTGTGCTCATTTTATCTTAAAGTCTGCTTAAAATACAGTATTTTATATATATGTATGAATTTTTTTATTTTCTGTCCTTTCTGTCTCATGCTTTGGTATTATTGTTAAATATATTTGTAGAGATTTCCTGTTACTTGACCTTTTTATTTATCTTTTCGTATTCACGTCATAATGTGTTTGTGACATTATAATGGTTTCTGTGGAAACAACATTTATTGCCTCTCAAAGAAGCAAGAGCACTCTAAATTTTAAAGAAAATGGAGTTTGGTGGTAGTGCAAGGGAGAAAGCATCTGACCAAGAGGAAACAAAAATATATGAGTTTGTATCAGAAGGAACAATTTAAAATTTTTCTAATTTGAAAAAATAAGTTTTATTTTAAGGACTGCTTTATAAAAAAAATCTTATAAATAGTGCTAGTTCTTTTTTTTTAGTTTTAAATATTTACAATTTTCTCTTTTATCTTTTTACAATTTTCTCTTTTATCCTTACCTCATTGTGTCATTTTTAAAAAATATGGTTCTTAAGGGTGTGTCTTACATTATTTTTAAGGAATGTCATTTAGATTCTGCCTAATAGTTCACACAGAGAAGATAGCTTCACACACACACACAAAATGAAACTTTAGATCACTATTAATAATACAGGCTCTCAATTTTTACACTTCTGCAGTGAGCTGCAAAATTTCTCTTGAGACCCGTCAAAATGCATCAATGATTGTATACTATAGATATTAAATTGTGATAATTTAAGTGTTACATTATTTGTTTTGAAGAAGTTAATACTTATTTTAATTCTTTCCCCATTAACCACTTAACCTAATTTGCATAAGAATATGTTAAGGATTTTAGGGTTTTGATGTAATGTTGCCCAGTTAACTGTCTATATGCAGTGTGTTAAGAACTTATCAAGTATATTGAGGTTCGAGAAGAGAGGAATGTGTTCATGGCCATGAATTACAGATGAAAGGGTTTCCTGATTGGAATGAAGTTGATTACACAGGAGTTCCTAGAGAGGTTAAAAACATACTACCAATGAAAGATGATAGACAATTGAATACAAAATGTAAAGCTTTTCAAAATGATTTTCAGTTGTACTACTTATAGCTATTTGCAAATGCCATTGTTATTTATATTAATTCTTTTTGGAATTATTATATTCTTCTTTTTCTATTGATTGTTGTTTTTCATTGTGTAGATGTACCACAGTTTAACCTTTGATCTACTGAAGGGCATCTTTGTTACTTCCAAGTTTTGGCAATTATGAATAAAGATGCTATTAGTATCTGTGTTCGGGTTTTTGTGTGTACATAAATTTTCAGCTCATTTGTAGCACAATTACTGGATTGTATGGTAAGAGTATATTTACATTTGTAAGGAACTACCAAACTGTCTTTCAAAGTAGCTGTACTATTTTACATTCCCTCCAGCAATGAATGAGAGTTCCTGTTATTCCACATACTCACCATCATTTGGTGTTGTCAGTGTTTTGGATTTTTGCCATTATGATAAGTGTGTAGTTGCATTTCCTTGTTTTGGCTTGTAATTCTCTAATGTTATGTGATGATGGGCATTTTTTTATATACTTAGTTACCATCTTTGTATCTTTTTTGGTAAGGCTTCTACCCAGATCTTTGACGTATTTTAATTGTTTTTCAATTTCTCGTTGATGAGTTTCTCCAACTTTCATATTATAAAATGAATGATAAAAACATAAAAGACACTTCACTAACAAAAATATACAAATGGCAAATAATCACATGAAAAGTTGCTCAACATCATTAATCATAGGGAAATGCAAATTAAAATCACAATGAGACACTGCTACATACCCACGTGAATGACTAAAATCAGACTGATAATACCAAGTATTGACAAGTTGTGGAGATACTGGAACCTCCACGGATTGCTATGGGAATTGTAAAATGGTATGGCAACCATAGAGAAGATTTTGACAGTTTCTTTAAAACTTAAATATACACTTACCATACAACCTACCAACTCAACTCTTAGATTTCCAAAGAAATGAGAAACAGTTCTACATAAACACTGCTACATCATAATATATAGTAATATTATTTTTAATAGCCAACAACTGGAAACATGCAAATGTCTATCAACCAGTGAATGAGTAAACAGAATATATCCACATAATGACTACTACTCATAATAAAAAGAAACAAACAATTGGTCAATGCAGCTATAAAGATTAACTTCAAAAGCATAATACTAAGAGACAAAAGAAAAACACATTTCATGATTCCATTTGTATGAAATTCTAGAAAAGAAAAAACTACAAACACAAAGCCGATCAGTGGTTGTCTGCAACTAACTGTGAGAGCAGAGATTGACTGCAAATCACAAGGGAAATCTTGGGGGTGACTTAAGTATTCTAGAACTAGATGGTGGTAGTTACACAACTACATATATTTATCACAATTCATTATTTGAACTATTCACTTAAATATGTGAATTTCGTGGTTTGTGAAGTTATCTCAACATAGCTGTTATAAACAAAAAAAAGATATAATGTGTTTTATTATTTTCCTACCTAGGTAATTATCTGCAAAAAATTTTCTGAGAAGCTGGTAGAATTTCCATTGCTAACCTCTTGGTACCAGAGGATTCAGGAAGTGCCAAGAGTGAAAACAGCAGCTTCTAAGTGTGGGATCCAATTTCTCCATTTACCAGAGTTGTTGACAACCTCAAATGAACAGCATCCAAACTTAAGTGAAGTCCCAGGTGTAGAAGAACAAAACGATCCTTTATTTATAGGAGGACCAAGACCAACCATGGCCAAGCTAATGGTACTTAATTATTTTGTTAAAATTTCTTTGAAAAATTCTATGTGATAATGTTGCTGAGCATTCTACTCCAACTTATAATCATTTGTTGACATTATTTTTGTTATAACTTTTATTTGTAGTTTGCTTACTTCACTCTTTACCAGTTAATATTTCTGCTACTTTTTTTCATTTATGTGAAGTCTACTGAATTGAAAACTTTTAGTATTATGTATTTTTGGAGCCAAGTATGTCACAATATATAATTGTAAAAAGCACTTGTCTCAAAACTTTTTTTAAATTTTTAAAATATTTACCAGTTAATATTTCTTTACCAGTTAATATTTCTGCTACTTTTTTTCATTTATGTGAAATCTACTGAATTGAAAACTTTTAGTATTATGTATTTTTGGAGCCAAGTATGTCACAATATATAATTGTAAAAAGCACTTGTCTCAAAACTTTTTTTAAATTTTTAAAATATTTAGGATATTGACCAAAGTAGCATCATACCTGGTCAAGTGTATTATTTTCACATAATTGTTTTCTGTTGTAAAGTTTTGGTCTCAGCCTTTTTTAGCTTGGGTAATGATTTCACGTTAAGGAAATATAAAGATGAGGCTGGCCTGGTAGCCTACAGCTGTAATCCCAGCACTTTGGGACGCTGAGGCAGGTGGACCACTTGAGGTCAGGAGTTCCAGACCAGTCTGGGCAACATGGCAAAACCCCGTCTCTACTGAAATTACAACAATCAGCTGGGTGTGGTGGCACGACCCTGTAGTCTCAGCTACCGGGGAGGCCGAGGCACCAGAATAGCGTGAACTCAGGAGGGCAGAGGTTGCAGTAAGCCGAGATTGCGCCACTGTACTCCAGCCTAGATAACAAAGCGAGACTCTGTCTCAAAAAAAAGAAACATAAAGATGAATATCTCAATTGACTTTCTAAAGTTTTGTTTAACTTTGTAATTTTTAAATTCTTTGAATTTTATTTTTATTTTAATCTTTGCTTTTAATGTTTTCGTTATACAACAAGCCTGGGCAACAGAGTAAGACCCTGTTTCAAAAAAAAAAAAAATGCATATGCTTTATTTTCTCATTGGGGCATAGTTTGTTTTCAGTAGTACCAATTGTAAAGTTTTCAACAATGGGCTTTCCTTTCCCTAACATCTGAAACAATCTGCAAAAGTATTTTGCTTTTAATAGGTGATGTGAAGATTTATTTGAATAGAGAATTCATGAAGTAACTTAAGTTATCCATCGAAGTTGCACTGGAAAAATATTCATTATATTTCCCTATTTGGTTTAGGAAGTATTTGAGTTCTCTAGTTAACAGAGTTTACTGATTTAGAAATGCACAGGAAGGCTTTGGTATGGATACCAATCCCTTAACTCTTCAGCTAAGCTCTGTAGCCTATAGATTAAGTAATGAAACATTATTATATAGTTCATTTTACAAGTTATTGAGGCATATCTAGATTTTGATGTGTCTTCATTATATGACTATACTGTCAAGGGATCTCTGGTTGACTTCTTGAGTAGATATGGAACTTCTTTTGGAAATGATGAAAATATCTTAAAATAGTAGCGATAGTTGAACAATTGTGAATATTCTAAAAACCACTGAATTAGATGCTTTAAAAGGCTAAATTGTATGGTATTAATATGTAAATCATATCTCAATATAGTTGTGTTTTTTTTAAAGATCCTAAGGTAAGAATGAGTTTAGTGAAATAAGAAATAGCAAGAAAGTCAGTATGGCTAGATTGAAGAAGATAGAAGAGAGGTAGATGACGTCAGAGAGATGTGTTTATCTTTCTGGAGGCAAATGAGTGCTCTGGGCCTATGGGCCAATAGCCATATCTCTAGCCCTAATGAAAGATTCTGTGTACTATTTCCTTTGGGACACAAATTCAGCTAGTTTTCATAATGGAAAATAATATCATATACTGATACAAAAGATTTATTGCTGAAGCCTCAGAGAGTTTTTATTTGAATAGGTTATTCCTAAAGATAAAAATAACTGAGCCATGGATATATATACACTGTGGAATGTGGACCCAGAATGTGATTGGAAGGGGTCTGTGATTCCATGCATATGCCATGCCACTGTACCTAGATCAAATAAACAAATGTACAACTTCTAAGATGGTGAAAAAGGCTGAAAATTTTTAATATATTGAAAAGTGGTCCTAATTCTTGAAAATATGGGGAACATTTGGTTAAACCAGAGGAATTTTTCTCTAGTGACATTAAAGACACTTATAAAAGACTAGTATGAGTGGTGTTTTGTGGCATGTGTTAAAGTGGTAGCTTTTAGTAATGTAAATATAGCTTATAGGCTGTGGCGGTTTTCATGTATGTAAAGAGAGACCTTGATGGACATATGCAGTGTTTTTTTTATTATTTCCATGTGGATTGTTTTTGATAACATTTTTTTCTTTAGTCTTTGATATCCAGTATACTTCACTTCTATGGATTTTCTAGTAATCATTTTAAAATAGCTTTACTTTTTATTATCTCAATATAAAAAATAGGAAAGTAACTGTGATATCAAAATACTCAACACATTGTATTTTTATTTAATTAAAATATGTATTTTGGGGAATAGCTGAAGACTATTATTTATGCCCCTCCTTACCAATATAAAAATGTAATTTTTTAGCCTTTAAGAATATAGTAAGACTATATTAATTCCTTAATTTAGAAAGAGGCTATATTCTTTTCTAGGAAAATGGCATTGAAGTGATGTTTTCTCCCCACCCTTGCCCTACTTGGACTCTTGATTGGAATGTTCTCCCTGCAGCAGTCAGTCCTAAGGAAGGTGAGTTTTCTTTTTTCTTTAAGTTTTATTCACAATTTGGATACTGTCTTCAAGATCTGTCTTCTAATTCTATAAACTTCTCTTTGGTTTTATCTAGTATTCTGATTACACTATCAGTTGAGTTTTCTTTTTATTTTTATTATGAAAATTATATATAGACACACCACTTGGATTTAATATTTCCCAGATTTTTCTACATTTGTTTTATTTATTACTGTTTTTTTCTTTCCTGGCATATTTTGGAAAAAAAAAAATCCCAGGTAACATGACATATTTTAGTACTCATATTTAAAAAATATTGATATGTTAAATAATCATGCCATTATCATAACTGATAAAAATTACCAAAATTTAATGATCTAATGTCCAATTCATAATCCATTTTCTTCAATTGTTTAAAGTATTGTTTGAGAAATACTGTTTTATTGTTAAGTTTTAAGTTAAATGGTTGTATTTTTCATTGCTAGAAATTATATTTGGTTTGTTTTCTGTTTCTTCCTTATACTTTTTTAAACATAGTTATTTTATATTTGTTATTTCTAATAGTTAATAGTTATTTTATATTTTGTACTTGTTATTTCTAATACTTAATGTTCATAGAGGTATAATTCTGCTGTTTGTTTTTTCTGTTGACTTTATTTCTGGTCACTTATTTTCCTGTGAGTTTTGCAATTTTGCACTGTGAATTCATTTAGGGTTACCTCAATCTGTGGAAATCTTGTGGGACTTGGATTAAGGGTAAATTCTCACAGAAAAGGATTATATTTGCTTACACCTACTAAGATTTAAGACCATTTAGCCTTGGTTTTTCAGCTTCAGATTTCTTTAAAAAAAATGCTTTAATTTAATTATATTTATTATTTTTTCATTGACACATAATTATATATATTTAGGGGGAACAGTATGATATTGTGATACATGTATATAATGTATAGTGATCAAATTAGTATAATTAGCATATTCATCACATCAAACATTTATCATTTCTTTGTATTAGGAACAGTTAAAATCTACTTTTCCAGCTATTTGAACTGTTATTAATTATAATCACCCTACAGTACTGTAGAACCAAGGAACTTATTTTTCTTTTCTAGCTGTAATTTTACATCCATTAACCAAATTCTGGCTATACACCTTTCCCAGGCTCTAGTAACCACTATTCTACTCTCAAATTCTATGAGACCAACTTTTTTTACCTTCCAAATATAAGTGAGAACATATGATATTTGTCTTTCTGTGCCTAGTTTATTTTTTTAAAATATAATGTCCTCCAAGTTCATCCATGTTGCTGTGAATGACAATATTTATTTTGTTTTTATGGCTGAATAGTACTCCATCATATATATGTACCACATTTTCTTTACCTCTTCATCTGTTGATGGGACACTTAGGTTGATTCCATATCTTGGCTATTCTGACTAGTGCTGCAATAAACATGTAAGTGCAGATATCTCTTCACTGTACTGATTTCATTTCTTTTGGATATACCCAGCAGTGAAATTGCTAGATCCTGCAGTAGCTCTAATTTAGTTTTTGCGAAAACTTCATACTATGTTTCATAATGGCTATACTAGTTTACATTCCTACCAATAGTATATAAGAGTTTCCCTTTCTTTGAATCCTCACTATGTTTATTTTTTGACTTTTAAATAATAACCATTCTAACTAGGGTGAGAAGATATTGTGGGTTTGATTTGCATTTCCCGATGACTACTTATTTGTTTTTGCTATTGAGTTTGAATTCCCTGTGTATTCAGTATATTAATGTTTTGTTGGATGAATAGTTTGCGAATATTTTTTCTCTTTCTCCTGATTGTCTTTTCACTTTGTTGATTATTTCCTTTGCTATATAAGTTTTTAGTTCAATATAATCCTATTTGTCTGTTTTTGCTTTTGTTGTCTATGCTTTTAAGGTCTTCATAAAAACTTGCCCAGTCCAATGTCTGGAAGCAATCCCTTTATATTTTCTTCTAGTAGTTTTATAGTTTTGGGCCTTACATTTAAGGCCTTCATCTATTTTGAGTGGATTTTGGTATATGATGAAAAATGAGGTCTACTTTTATTCTTCTACATATGGATATCCAGTTTTTTCACTACCATTTATTGAGGAGACTGTCGTTTCCCCAGTGAATGACCTTGACACCTCTGTATAACATGGGTTGGCTATAAAGGAATGGGGATATTTATAGCCAACTCATGCTATACAGAGGTGTCACTTTGGATATTTGTCCTCTGTAAATCTCAAGTTGAAGTTTGAACTCATATGTTGAAAGTGGGATCTCAAGGCAGGTGTTTGGTTCATGGGGGCAGATTCCTTATGAATGGCTTTGTGACATCCTCATGGTAATGTGTGAGTTCTCACTCTTAGTTCCCATGATAACTGGTTGTTGAAAAAAGCCTGGCACCTCCTCTACTCTCTCTCTGTCTGCTTCCTCTTGCTATGTGATGCCTGCTCCCCTTTGCCTTCTGCCATGAGTGGAAGCTTCCTAAGGCCCTCACCAGAAGCAGATGCTGACACTATCCTACTTGTACAGCCTGCAGAACTGTGAACCAAATAAACCTCTTTTCTTTATAAATTACCCAGCCCCAGATATTCCCTTATAGCAATATGCAAATGCATAAAAACAAGTGGATTCATTTCTGAGTTCTCTATTCTGTACCCTTGGTCTTGTGTGTCTGTTTTTAATGCCAGTACTGCACTATTTTGATTATTATAACTTTACAGTGTATTTGAAAATTAGGTTGTATAAGGCTTTCAGCTTTGTTCCTTTTGCTCAGAATTGGCTTGGCTATTCAGACTATTTTGTACTTATATATGAATTTTAGGATTTTTTTTCTATTTTTGTGAAGATTGTCATTAGTATTTTTATAGAGATTACACTGAATCTGTAGACCACTTTTGTTACTATGATCATTTTTAACATACTAATTCTTCTAATGCATGAACATGATGTATTTCTTTTTTTGTGTGTCCTCTTCAATTACTTTTTATCAGTATTTTATTGTTTTTCTCTAAAAGTCTTCCACTTCTCTAGTTAAATTTATTTATTTATTTATTTTGCTTGTTTGTTTTCCGGTATACATATGTTACAGAATTTCGTATGTTGATTTTTGTATCCTGTGGTTTTGCTGAAACTGTTTCTCAGTTCTAAGAGTTTCTTGGTAGAACTTTTCAGTTTTTCTTATAGGTTTTTCTGTGTACAAGATCTTGTCATCTGCAAATAGGGACAATTTGACTTCTTCCTTTCCAAAAATTGTTTTCTCTTGCCTAATTGCTCTGGCTAAGACTTAGTAGGATTCACTAAGTGAGTAAGAGTAGTCAGAGTGGGCATCCTTGTCTTGCTCTAATTCTTAGAGGAAAAGCTTTCAGTTTTCCCCATTCATTATGATGTTAGCTATGGGTTTGGCATAGTGGCTTTTATTATGTTGAGGTATGTTCCTTTTATACTCAGTTTGTTGAGAATTTTTATCACAAAGGATGTTGAATTTTATCAAATGCATCTTGTGTATCTATTAAGATAATCATATGAGTTTTGTCCTCATTCTGTTGATATGATGTATCCGATTTATTGATTTGCATGTGTTGAATTACCCTTGTATTCTTGTGATAAATTCCACTTGATCGTGGTAATGACTTTTAATGTGCTGTTGGATTTTCTGTTTGCTAGTATTTTGTTGAGGATTTTTGCATCTTTCCTTATCAGGGATATTGGCTTATAGTTTTCTTTTTCTGTTGTATAATTTTCTATTTTTTGTTGTATTCTTGTCTAGTTTTTGTATCAGGGTAGTGCTAGCCTCATAGAATGAGTTTTGAAGAATTCCGCCCTCTTCAATTTTGTGGAAGAGTTTGAGAAAACTGGTATTGAATGTTTGGTAGAATTCTGCTGTGGAGACATCAGGTCCTAAGCTTTTCTTTGATGGGAACTTTTTATTACTAATTCAATCTTGTTACTTGTAATTGGTCATTTCTAGGAAGTAGGACACTACTTCAGCATAGGCATTGGGAAGACATGACTGCTGTTGGTGGCCAAGGTACTCTTTTTTTTTTTTTTTTTTTTTTTTTTTAGGAGACTGTGTACCTTTTCAGCTCAGACACAGAGGGGTGTGACTGCTCTTGTCAGTCAAAGCCCCATTTACCTGGAGTGTCTTGTGTTGCTTCAGTACTGGTCCAGAGAGGCACATTGTAGCAATGACTGTGAGAGGATTTTAGAACAGCTTTTTCAGGGCATCATTTTCCTTAGAGGCAGTGTACAGCTTCAGCTCAGTCCCCTAGGAGCAGGTGCAAGCATGACTGAGAGACGGAACAGTTCTGCCAAAGCACCATTTCTCTGGGAATGAGTGCGCAGCTTGAGCTCTAGCTGTGAGTGGGGGCTAGGAGGGGTGCATGAAGCAGCTCCACCACTGCTTGAGCCCACAGGGAAGGGTAGAAGAGCTAGTCACAGCTTTGGGATGTCAGGCCTCTGGCAGGGGTGGTTTGGCAGTAGCTTACCCTCAGAGATGAAGGGATATTGTGGGTACTCGCCCCCAAGCAACATTCCAACAGTAGTTCCAGTCTGAAGATGGCATTGTACAGTAGCCACATAGGCCCCAGGATGCAAGGCATAGTGTCAGCTCCTTCTCTGTGGGACAACAGCTATGTGGACTACAGGCAGCTCCCTCAGCTGGGCTTAGGTACCCCGATCAACACTTTGAACAACTATAGTCCTGACTACTGGAGTGAGGACTATAGTTTTGCTTGCCTTTCCCCACAGGGAGAAGTTCCTCCTAATTCTGATCCCTGCTAGGGAATGGGGTTCTGGAGACCAGGTGTTTTCTTCTGTTCTCTGTATGGCTGTCCTGAGTTCCTGTGTTCACCTGGGTTTCTGTTACTCCTTTGATGTACTCCAGCACTCTCCGTTAGTCATTTTCATTATCATATACTTATTTATTTGTCGTTTAGGTTGTTTTTGTGGTGGGAACTTGGGAGGCTTGGGCATGTGGAGTGCTAGGGGTTTCTTAAGCACATATTCTTTAAACGTTTTCTCATCTAAAACTGAGACTTAAACAGACAAGTTACCTTTTATCATCTTCCTTTGTTGTTGGGTAGAACTTTTTAAATGCATCTTTTCAGAGGGAATATAGCTTTTCAAGGTTTCTGCTTTCAGGTAGAGATATTTGTTCCCACTCTTCATCATGCTGGGCTGAAGGACTGGCCTCTCTTTGTCCTACTGTTAAAGTCTGAGTCCCTATTATTAGCAAATACCCTCAGGGCAGCTATAGTACAATACTGTTGCACAAATTTTCAGCAATCCCCCAACTTTTTACCCCCTCACATTCTTAAGGCCCTATAAATTTTTTTATTCTCAGAAACCCACCTAGACATGTAAAGGATGCTCGTTCATTTTTAAATACCATTTTAGGTGTTGTTTAGATAGAGAATTCTTTAGAATAGCTCAGTGTCCTATTTCTTCAGTTACTAATTTATTCTTTTATTTAGCCTAATATGACTTTTAATTTTTAAATCCTCTTTGAAGTAGTTTCCTTCCCTTTTCATATTCTTCTTTTCTGTGATGCTGCTTAATATTGCCTGTATCTCATGGGTCAGTGCTGTTCTGTCAATCAAGGAGATATTTAGAATTCTCCCAGAATAGAAGATCATGTTGGAGAATTAATATTTCTGCCCAAAAGATATTTTATGAAAATGAAATTGAATATTTGGTCTTTTATTAATTGTATACAAAGATAGTAATGAATTTGCTAGTGTTTTTAAATTTTACATATTTTCTGACATTTCAAAAAATTTAAATGTTTTACGGTACTTACAATTGATTTTGGTTATATACAATTAAGTTATAATATAGATTTTGAACAAGTTAAACTTACAATTTACTAAATTTAAAAATCCAATTTTCATTAATATTTATTTTTATCAAGAAATGAAAATAGGGTTTTCTAAATGCCACGTTTTGCTTTATCCATGATTCATTTACTATGGAGCTAAAATAATATTTTCACTTATTAGTATGAGCAATCAATTACATCAGCTACCAACTGAAGGAGATCTCACATTAAACATTCATGGCTGGTCGTTTTTCTGGTTAGAGGTTCATATCTAACAGAGTTCATGGAATATATTACTCATTACATCCCTATAATTGGATCATCTTGTTTTCATAATATTATGACAAAGAAGCAACTCTAATAGCAGGGCTACAGGGTTTACTCCCATTACATTCACTGTTTCTTAAAAGGTTTATAGTCTGTTAAAGTAAGGTAGAATTATGGCATTTTAGATTTGTTGTTTTCAGTTCTGGTAATTTCAAACATTGCATGATAATAGGATCTTTGTGAAATAAAATTATGTAGGGGTGTGGAGGATGACTGTGAAAACCAAAAAAAATTTATGTTTCTGTACTGTCAAGAGAAATCTCTAATATTTATTAGAGATTAATATAACCTGTATTATATTAATCTGTATTAATATAACCTGTATTGTATTAAGATTTTTATTGGTAAGTGGTTCATTTGGATGTCTCAAAGACTAACTCTTTATACTGAATTCATTGAATTACATCAAGATTTTGGTACATATTGTAATAGTCATTCTTTTTACTAATAAAACCTGTATTAATTAATCCTCATGATGGAAGCTATTTTTTAGGCCTATATAATCTGCCATCTTCTGCTCTTACCCATTTCTCTCCCTACATCTTATCTACCATCCCTTGAACTTTTTACTGATTCTTTTATACAACCTATATTTACTATTTACATGTCTTTCCTTTTTCTTCCAGTCTTGAATATTCTTCTTTCTACTCACCTTGCTTGTAATTATACTCCTCTTTTAAGGATCAATTCAAACGCTGCATCCTTCATTAAGTCTTCTGCTATGTAGTCAGAAATTTAGTTAACTACCTATGGCCAGATACTCAGCTTCTCAGTGTCTTGGTTGCCTCATCTGTGGAATGGAGGTTATAGTATATACCTTATGGGATTGTTGGTACAGTCAATGCATTAATGTGTAAAGCAACTCGTATAGTGCTTAGGAAATTGTAAATGTTAAATATTAGCTCATATAGAAGTCACAGTTAATCACTGCCTCTTGACATCCTGTTACTACTTTCTCTTTGTTGTTGTTGTTTTTAATTTTTTTTTTTTTATTTCTTAGAGACATAGACTCACTCTGTCACCCAGGCTGGAGTGTAGTCGCTCAATCATTACTCCTTGCAGCCTCTAACTACTGAGTGCAAGCAATCTTCCCACCTTATCTTCCCGATTCGCTAGAACTACAGGTGCATGTCACCACACGTGGCTAATTTTTTATTTTGTTTAGAGACAGAGGTCTCACTATGTTGCCTAGGCTGGACCTTTTGTGATTTCTTATACTTAATATTTTGT